GAATGCTTCAAGATCATCTGTTTTATAGCTGAGTACTATTTCATTGTATGAAAATACATCTTTTTCATCTACTCTGTGGTTGATGGGCATCTTGGTTGTTTCCAAGATTTAGCTTTCTTGTTGTTGTTGTGAGCACTTGCCTTACTGTTTTCCATTATAGCTGCACTATCTTTCATTTGTAGCAGCAGTGCACGTGTTCCCATTTCTCAGCATCCTCGTCTACACTTAACTATGCTGTGTGTTTTTGCTGGTAGCCATTCTGTTATCAAAAGTGTATCATATCATAGCCATGTTACATTTTTGTGTTTTCATTTTCTTTCTTTTTTTTTTTTTTTTGAGACAGGCTCGCCCTCTGTAGTTTAGGCTGGCCTCAAACTCAGAGTGATCCTCCTGAGTGCTGAGATCACAAACATGTGACTCACCAAACTTCACACCAAACTCCTGTGTTTTTTCATGACTGATATTTTAGAATAATAGATAAAAGTAGTGCCATTCTTACCCAGTATGTTACAGAGCAGTGAGTCAGACCTTTACAGAGTAGTGCTAGTATTGGAGTGAATGTCAGTTATAAAAATGTCAGTCACCTGATATTTCTCCCCCACTTTCCTATTTTGATTATCAGTATTTTAAAAAGAATTATAAAATTGTATTTTGACACTTTCAAATGTCATTTCTTACACAGATTGACCTTGTACAAATAAAACAGATGTTCGCTCAGATGTATCAGAAAACCTTGGGCACAGTGATTGCAAGTGACACAAGTGGAGATTATCGAAAGCTGCTTCTCGCCATTGTGGGCCAGTAGGAGGGGATTTTTTAAATGGACCACATCCTTCAAAGCAGACTGATCTACATGCAGAATATCAGCCATTACCTAACCAAAACAAAGGACCGTCAGGGTTAATGTGCTGGGTTGCACATATTATTATTGCCTTAATTCTAATGTTATCTTTTTCCTGTATGTACAATTAATGTAAAGCCGTATCACAATGATGTAGTAATTTTGCAATATTTGTAAGCTTCATTCTCACAGCTTTGGTTCTAATGAAGATTTAAAATTGAATAAAAATTTCAATGATCTCATTCTGTGTAATTAGGAGCAATTATGTGTTAATGTTGCATATCACCTCTGTGTAGTTCAAAAAAAGAGAAAATAGTATTTTTTAAAAATGGACTGGTCTACCTTGATTATTTGAGGACATGATTGCTAATCCAGGCATTTAATGAAGGGTTGCCAGCCTGGTGGCACACCCCTATAATCCCAGCACTCTGAGAGTTTGAGGCAGGAGGGCCATTAAGCTTATCCCCAGCCCAGGCAACTAGTACTTAGTGTGATCCTGTCTAAAAATACAAAAAACAGGCTACAGCTGGGCAGGCTGACACATGTCTGTTAAGTCCAGCATCCTAGGAGGCTGAGGCAGAAGGATCACAAGTTTGAGCTTAACCTGGGCAATTTAGTGGTTTAAGTAAGACCCTGTATCAAAATAAAACTTTAAAAAGGGCTAGGAGGGGGGTGCAGAAGACAGCTGCTTATCCTGTAGCGGCCAGGACACAGTCTCATGTGATACTCAAAGCAAACTCAGGTGTAATCCCTTGTAAAAATCAAAAGGAAAGCTAAATAAACACTTGTAACGTGCAATGGCACAGGGTAAACATTTTCATTCCAAAATGGAGGAATAGAGGAATGCAAAGGAATTGAATTGACACAAGACCAAAACCGAGCAGGGCAAACAAATCCTTTAGCTCCATGTCCAGTACCACAGCATATTGTGGTATAATGTAAGTTCCTGAAGGTGTGGGCAGCCCTGCTCTGTGGCCTCTCAGGCTGGCTCCCCCTTGCTACTTTAGTTTTCTAGGGTCACCACTGTGCCTTCAGCTTCACTCACAGCTTTAAGCATCACCCTCTCAGGGTCTTCTGGGAGGGCCGGAGACCCTGTCACACATTTATGGCTGGTCTTCCAGGGCTTCTAAAATCTGGGTGGAAGCCTCCATTACCCCATTGCACTTGCATTCTGTATGCCTGAAAAATCAGAACCACTCAAGTGATACCAAGGTCTCCTGGGGAAAGGAGTGTGTGAGGTGTTTACTCCTGCTATTAAGTAATACCTGACAGCCAACTGCCCGAAAGGTGACTTCTTCTGAGGGATGGTACCCCAGCACACCCTCTAGCCTTGGTGTATGATATGGATACTGAGTGTGATTTCATGAAGATTAAGTCCCCCTCACCCCACAACATGACACCCCTTCTGCAGCCCATGGACCAGCAAGTGATCTGCAACTTCAAGAAGCTGTACACAAAGGCTCTTCACCAGATATTTTAATGTTACTGAAGAGATGTCCTTGACCCTGAAAGAGTTCTGGAAGAAACATTTCAATGTCCTCCACTGTTTCAATTTCACTGACAACACCTGGGAAGATGTCACATACTGGACCTTAAACTCAGCCTAAATCGTGGCCAGAATGTGTCACTGAAGGCGGCTTTGAAGGGTCTGATGCACACTTAATAGAGGAGATTATGTCCTTGAAAAGAGTATGGGTCTGGACATGAATGGTACAGACACAGAGGAGCTTGTCAAGGACCATGAGGAGGAGCCAATGATGGAAGAACTTGCTGAGCTCCAGAGTGAGCACTTACAGTGCTTGCTGAGGAGCATTCCACTGAGGAAGGCAAGAGGTTGGCAGTGACGTGACAAAATCCATTGGGGAAAAATGTGTAGCATTCAGGTACAGTGTAAAGAACTCTGTTGTCCCCTTTAGTCAAATTTCTAAATAACTGATATTTTATTGCATTTGTTCCATTGCTTACTCTTTGTCTGCGGGTATGCATTGACCCTAGGTATTCAGTCTTTTTCCAGACCTTTTGAGAGTCAAGAAAGCAAACCACCGGCATGCTGTCTCACCACTCCTGAACACTCCACTGTGTTTCACTAACAGGTGCACTCCTGTGTAAGAGTAAGCAACCTTCTACTTGAGATCAGCGTTGGTACCACACTGCCATCACATCTGTGGTACCCATCCACGGTTTGTCTGCTGTCTCTACAAGTTCTCTTTCCTTTGTGGTTTCGAGTGCAACACAGCAATGTGTGCTATATTTGGTTCTTACATATCTTCAGACTCTTTTAATCTGGAACAGTTTCCAGGTTTTCTAGTGTTTGACACTTTTTTTAAAGAGTGCAGGCCTCGGGCTGAGGATATAGCTCAGTAGCTGAGAGCTCAGATAGCATGTAGTACCTCCACCTCCAGCACTCATGGTAGAGAATGCCCTGCAACTTGGGTCCTTCAAATGGAACATACACTCTAGAAAAGAAGCAAAATCATTTTGCTGCTTTTGGGGCATCTCCCCAGGAAGCACACAATAGACTCCTCCCTACGCTGGTGATGTTAATTTTTTTTCACCTGATTATGCCATTTACTTCACTGTTGTCCCTCTATACTTGGTAAGTATTCCTTGGAGGAGTATTACAGAACTTTGCCAATATCCTGTACCCTGTACCCTGACAAGCCTGCACCCACCAGCCTCAAGAGCCATCTAACTCCTGTCTGAATCAGCCTCTGCTATGGTATTGCCAAATGGTAATTCTCAGTCATTCCTTCTGCACTTCTGGGTTGGCACTCTGCTGAAAGAGCCTTCTTTACATTTTTACAATGTGAGCTTGAATATCCTTATTTTATTCCATGGGTTGTAGTCTGTTCTTGTCATTGTTTTGCTGCTAAAATCATCCTTAATTTGGCCAGTGGAAATTCTTTCAAACTGGTTTCACACTCCAACATTTTAAAGATATATATGTATTGCTGAGATTTATCCATGTTGTGTGTGTCTGTAATTCATTAATTTTAAGAGTAATATGCCACTTTGTGAAGGTACCACAATTGATGAGCACTTGGGTCGTTTCAAAATCATTGTTATGTTTTGCTTTTCCAACACTTTAAAGGTTGAATTTTGATCATATTAAAACTGCATTAGGGGCTGGGGTTTTAGCTCAGCGGCATAAGCGCCTGCCTTGCAAGCAGGCAGTTGTGAGTTTGAACCCTGGTACCGATAAAAAGGAAAAAGACAAAAAACAAAAACAAAACTTTGCGTTAATACCTTATACTTCGTCTGTTTATTTTACAAATATTGAGCACTGAGATGTGGCATCATTTTGCATTGCCCCTAACAATGTGAGGCTTACTTTTAAATAGCCTTTTATCTGCTTTTTTTGGTTTGTTTTCTTTTTGTGACAGCATCTTGCTATGTAGTTCAGGGTAGCTTTGAACTCACTGTGTTCCTAGATTGGCCTTGGCCCAGAGATGTTAGACCCCTGCCTCAGTGTCTGAGTGCTGGGATTAGAGGGGTATGCTATCACACACAGGTGAGAAAAGGGCTTACATGATCTATAATCCCAGCGCGCTGGAAGGCTAAGGCAAGGAGATCTCAAATTCGAGCCCAGATTATGTAATTTAGGAGACCCTGTCACCAAAAAAAGAGAGAGGCTAGGGGTATAAAAGGATAATAATGAAATGATCGGGGGTTTTTGTTTGTTTTTAAAGAGAGGAAGGTCTCGCTATATTGTTGCCCTGGCAAACCTCGATCTCCTGATCTCAAGCAACCCTCCTGCCTCAGCCTACCAGAGCACACCACTTAATTTCTGTTCCATCTGCTTACTAAAGGCTTTTTTTTTTTCTTTAAACAAGTTTCCTTTTGGTTTTTCACCAGTTTACGGAAGAATAACAAAAGAGTACAAAGCAAAATGGAAAGGTGGGAAATCGTGCACTTAACCCAAGCTCTCGCAACGCTGAGGAAGATGTGGTTGAAACCCTGCCCAGAGCCAGCAAACTTGAGGCCTACGCGCACAGTTCCAAAGCGCAGGCGCAGAAACTCACCTGGCAACCCTCGATTTGCAGCGCCGAAAACGTCGCAAATCTTGGAATAAGTTTGTGGCAAACATAGAAAGTAACTTCTCGCGAGAGTGGTTGCTATAGTTACGAAAACGCGTGCGGCTGCCGCAGGTAAGACAGTTACTCTCCCCTCCTGCGGCAAGACTGTATTCCGTCACCTCAATTTTCTGCTTCCCCAGCTAATGCCAAATTGAAAAATCGGTGCAGCCTAAAACTCCTCTGACCTGCCCTCTCGCCACCCAAGCCCTCACGCCCGAGCTTTTCCTGAATCCTCTCCCTCCAGTCACATCGCCTCCTTTTCTAACCTGTTGCTACCTGGAGTCTCCCTTCTGCTGCTTCCGAGCGAGCGGATGGAGACTTCGTGCCTGCTTAGGGGCAGCGAGGGCCCGCGCGACCTGACCTGACCTGACCCAGATTTCTCTCGTTTCTGGCATTCGCGTCTGCAGTGCTCGGCATGGGGCTGGGTATTGCGGGCGGTAAATGTAAACAAGACGGGTTACTTGTTTTCAGGAACTCAGGGGAGCTTTGGGGGAAGTCGTTGCACATCAGTATCGCCATTTGTTCAGTGCTTCATAGGTTAACAGTTTCACTATTTTAGGAGAGGTTCACAACAAATGAAACGCAAGTCGGAAATTATCCATTTCTCAGACCGTGATGCTGAGTTGCGGAGGAGTTAGGCATTTGCCCAGGGTCACACAGTTACTAAGGAGAAAACTTCCTCAAAATCCCCAGTCCTGGGCTGCAGTGTAACGCCGTGATAAAGCGCTTGCCTAGCATACAGGAGGCCTTGGATTCAATCCCTAGCTCCACAAAAACTAAAATTCCCAGACCTTGTAAGTCAGCTTGGGGTAATTATCACAAGAGAAGTGTAAAGGACTGAGGAATTCAGAGGAGAGGCAAATGCTTCTGACTGGGGATCTTCATGGTATTGAAAGCATTTGAGCAAGATGAATAGGATTCGCCCAGTGGAGCTGGTGGAGGTGGAGGGGATAGGAAGAGAGAGGCAGTTATAGGAGGAAGGAATAAAATGTAAAATTACAAAGATAACAAGTGCTGGCAGTACTAAGCCACAGAATAAGACGGGATTGGGCTGATGGAGTCCAGAGGGCTTGACATCGCAGTTTAACTTCATTTGCCAAATGAGGGCAAATAAGGCAGCAATATTATTGGGTATGTGCTTTATCTGCTTGGTTTTTTTTGTTGTTGTTGTTTTGTTTTTTTGGGTTTTTTTTTTGTTTGTTTGTTTTGTCTTTTTCATCGGTACCAGGGATCGAACTCACGACTGCCTGCTTGCAAGACAGGCGCTTATGCCACTGCTTGTTTCTTTAATCTCATTTTCTCTGTATTTCTTTTCACACTTAATCCAAGAATACCAAGCCACTTGACCTGCTTTTCTTTTTAAAAAATTTTTTTCTTCTAAATCTTTTACAGTTTTTCTTTCTGCCTGGAACATCTTTCATTTTAGTCTATTTTTGAGCTCCAGGTCCCCTCCTACAAAGAGTTTTCCTGACATGCGCATCCATTTGTGTACTCTCAAATCTACTCAGGTCTCAGCTTCAGTACTTCCTTGCTGCATGACCAGTAGTAAAATAAAAACCTTGTGGCACATAAAAACCTTGTAATCCCAGCACTGAGGGAGGCTGAAGCAGGAGGACCACAAGTTAAGTCGATTCTGAGCAATTTAGTGAGACCCTTATAGTCAGGAATTTCTAGGAGAAGAAGACAATACAGGACATATAATTTATAGTTGTCTTGGTTACTTTTCTTTTGTTTCTAAGACAAAATCCCCAACACCCAAAATTAAGGAAGGTGGGGCTGGGGATTTAGCTCAGTGGCATAAGTGCCTGCCTTGCAAGCAGGCAGTCGCAAGTTTGATCCCTGGTACCGATAATAAGGAAAAAGACAAAAAAAAAAAAAAAAAAAAAAAAAAAAAAATTAAGGAAGCAAAGGTTTATTTAGCTCATGGTTTGTAAAGGTTTCAGTCCATAATCAGCTGGCTCCAAGGCAGGGTGATGGCACTGGGGCAACACTTCAAGGCAGCCGCTAGAGAAAGCAGCCAGAGCAGAAGGGAAGAAGAGCAAGCCTCTTTTCCTCCATGGCATTGTACACAGGCCACTCCTCCTCCAGGGCAGGTATAGCACTCACAAAATCTCCCTGCCCTCCTCTTGCACAAAAGGAGGATGTTTACAAAGTAAGAAGCCTGCCTCCCTGCTGAGTCTCTTAACTTCTAAGCTTCAAGTAACACAATATATCAGCCATAACATAATGGTCACCCAGAGAGTCAAATATGCAAGAGTATAGGAAATCAGGGTTTATACATTGAGACCCAAAGAAATTCAGCTGAGGGCCTGAATCCCAAGGCTACCTCCTGCATGAGTCCAGCTGAAGACCTGTGAGCCAAGGGCAATATCTCATGTGAACTCTTTTATGGATCTGCACTGGGAAGGCCCATAGGTCAGCAGTGGAAGCTAGAAAGTCTGTGCCAGCAGCCTGAGGGTTCTGCACTAGAGCCAAGAAGTTATGCTCAAGGGGGCTGGGGATTTAGCTCGGAGGCATAAGCACCTGCCTTGCAAGCAGGCAGTCGTGAGTTTGATCCCTGGTACAGATAAAAAGAAAAAAGACAAAAAAAAAAAAAAAAAGAAGTTATGCTCAAAATGAGGACTTGGGCTCCCCTGAAAAGTACCACAGTCAATCCTTAGTGACATCAAGGTCCTGAGCTTCTCAGGTGATGAGAACAGTTGAGTTCACGTCAGGAAGCCAGAGTGACAAGCTTCTGGAGATTGGACAGCACACCATCATCTCCTCTGGAGCCAGGAAGCAATGCTCAAAGTAAGGACCAGAGCTTCCCCAAGGTGAACCACGGCCATTCTCAGAAGCTGCAAGGTCCTGAGCTCCTCCAGACAATGAGAACACCGAGTTCATATTAGGAAAGAAGCTCAATAAGCTCCTCCAGGAGAACCAAGGGCCACAGCAGAACCAGTACCACCACAGAGAACCGATAACACTAAATAAACTGTTCCCCAGTTCTCCCTTTTATCTTGGCAACAATCCTCAGCACGCAGGCCACCCACACTCAGCAACCACACTGGTTCAGTTCAGCTGGTATGACAAGCTGACCACCAGTTACCAGTCTACCACACCCTGTCTCAAAACATTCTAAAAGTTTTTGGAAGGGCTAAGGGTATAACTCAGTATCAGAGCCTTGGGTTTAAACCCAAGTACTTACATAAAGATAGCAATGTTGTAAGATGGTTGGTTTCTTTTTTCCCTAAAATTGAGGTTTTAAGTGTCACCTGAAGGAGGAGATGCATATAAGGTAACATATGTAAAGCCCTTCATACACTAGTGTGTTAGTAAGCAATCGTCCCAAGTTAATTCCCCGAGGCTGGAGATGTTGCTCAGTAGAACCATTGCACAGTGGGCTCAAATTCCCCAAACACTGAAAACATTTAGAGAAATGCCCTATCCTCTTTTTCTGCCCCTTTGGTCCCCACTACTCTGTTCCTCATTCCTCTTCATAGCACATATCACACAGCTGTAACTCCTGGTCATTTTTGTCTTTTTCCCTCACTAGATTTTTTTTTTTCCTTGCTCAAGTTTTGTGTGTATGTGTGTGAAATACATAATTTTATTTTACTTTATATTTTATGCAGGAGAGTAACACTTCTTTTCCTACCCAGAGGCAAAATATATTTTCAAAAATTTAGATATTGCCCACTGCATTAAATTGAAATTAAATTGAAATTAAATGCTTCCTATGTATGCAGTCAGTGATGGCAAAAAACTTACAACACATTCCATTTTAATATATCAAAAGTGTTTCCAAGGCAACATTATCAAAATGATCACACTGCATCTCGCTCAAGTTTTAATTCCTTGAGGCTTGGGAGTTTGTGTCTTGTTTTATATCCTCAGCACGTACCACTGTGTTTCACTTAAAAACATTTGTTCCATTAATGATTTTGATGGAAGCGAGGATGGGTTAGGATAAAAAGACAGCTGAGTCAGGAGCCCAGTTCGGAGTGTTTTGGTACAGTCTAGCAAAAGGGGAAGAAAGGTCCAGTCCATTTAGTACCACAGTATTTGATGACAGGAAGGGGAATGGGGGCAGGAAATATAGCTCAGTGACACAGTGCCTGCCTGGCAAGTGCAAGGTCCTGAGTTCAGTTCCCAGTACAAAAAAAAAAAAAAAAAAAAGGAAGGGGGATGGCACACAAGACTTTTCACTTACTGAGGAAGTTGTCCGTGCTACCTCGGCCCGAAGAGCCCCGGGAGAGACACGGTGTTGGACAAATGACAGGAGAGCTGTGGGCAGTGGGAAGAGACGGGAATGATCATGTGTGAAGGCACAAGGAGCTGTTTTCTTTTTCAGATCACCAGTCCTGGAAAGACATAGCACAGCATGTCTTCGGTAAACGTTTGAACTGCATAGATAAGTTCTCCTTTAGTGAGGAAACATGGTCTTTTTTAAAATGAAATTTATTTTCGAACTTGAGTCCTTAGTGTTGAAAAGTAGTTAGCAAGTGTGTCTGGCAAAAGACGTACGCTAAGACCTTCCTTGTCCAGTGGACTGTCATCTTAATGTGCCGCTTTCTTTGCTCGCAATACTTTTTGTCAAACCTGGAAGTAATTATTTTTGTTTTGTTTTTGAGAGGAGAGGTCTTTGTGTCGCCAAGACTGTCTTCAAACTTGCACTCAGTGCCTGAACACTGAGTAGCTGGGATCACAAGCGTTTGCCACTGCCTACTCTGAGGTTTGCAGATTGAAATAAAGTGACCAAGGAACAGTGTGAAGGGTGTGTGTGTGGGGTGGGAGTGGCGAGATGGGGTCCTGCTGTCTCTCAAGATAATTGGATACAGAGGCAGGGATCTTTTTAACATCAACCAGCGAGCCCTCCTTGTGGCCAGCTCCCTAGATCTCTGCCTGTCCAGCAGCAGAGGTTGGGAAGGGGAACAAAATAACTCTGGGCGACAGCATGGCCTTAGGGTTAGTGTTGGTGATGATGCGGGTCGGGGTCTTATGCAGCTGTGCTACGTGATGGGAAAGGGTCTCATATGTTCTCGTCACAGAAACCAAAGACCAGAGGCTCTGCCCAGCAGCTGCTATGGACCAGGCGCCGTCCGCAGGCCGAGTGGTGCAGATCACTGTGACAGACGGATATGATTTGGTAAAGTTATTTCTGGAAAGCCACAGTGTCCTCAGTTCCAAAGCATCACGGCAGAATGCCGTTTGCATTATTTCCAGCCTCCAAACCTGCTGATTTACATAGCTGTTTCCTTCTCAGTGTGCCTGATTTTGGTCTGTGATCAGCACGTAATGTTTCCGTGGGTCTAAAATGCCTGGCAGTTTGAATGCTACATTGAACAGGGGTGAAAGAGTAATACTTTTGCAGTTTGTATTTATTTTTTTCTCCTTTTTTTCCTAAGAAAGACCTAAATTCTTTCAGAGTTTTTCCTGTGATTCATTTAGAATAATGAAATGGCAAAATATTCGGCATTTTTAATTTTAAAATGCTTGTTCCAAAAAGAAAATGTAATTAGGAAGCTCCACTTGTTTCTAAATATATAACATATATTGCATATATGCACAGCAAAACACTAAAATGCATATTTAATATTAATAGTGCTTATATGTTATAATGAGAGATTACTGATAATTTAGTTTCCTATATGATTTTTCTCACTTTTTCACATGTTCCACAATATACTTTTATAATCAGATAAAACACACTAAGTGCTGTTTTTCAAAACCTTAACATAACAGCATGCAAATGGAATGTCACGTTTGGCTACAATTAGATTTGGTTACTGATTTTCTACTTGCTCCAAATGTATTTGTTAATTGCTTGTTAGAAAAAAACAGAAAATGCTACTTAATCCTGGTCAGAATGTGTTGCCAGATATGTGCAAAAATTTTCCCCTTTAACGTGCCACTGTAAAGCAGTATGTCTCTGCCAACAGAAAGGCTCTAAAGGAGATTCTCCAGTGACTGCTATTCGTGCAGAATTCAATCAGGTGGTTCTGGGAGACTCTGCAAAAATTACTGTTTTTCCAGATGGAACTGCAAAATACAATTTCACCAGCAGTTTTGAGTTCAATCCTGAAGGAGGAATCACTCTAGATGACCTCGCTCACAAACCTGTGTTCTGTAAGTCCTTGTGGTTCAAAAAATGCTGTTATGTGAGTGTATGATGAGGATGTTATGAGGTATTTAGTAGCTGTTGTTGGGAATTTTTTTGTTTGTATTTTTTTCTTGTTTTTTGAGCAAAGTCTCACTGCATGGTCCAAGCTGGACTTGAACTCACGGTCCTCCTGCTTCTGCTTCCCAAGAGCTGGGATTACAGGCGTGTGCCACTGGCTGGAAATGGAATGTATAATTTAACCTGTTTCCAGACTGGAAAATTTCTCTGAGGAATTCTACCATTTGTTTGATGAACTCACATTAATTCTGTATGACCTCTTCCAGAAAATAGAAGACATTTCACTTTGCTTGGTGGAAGCTAGTATTATTCTGATGCCAAAACTAGACAAAGATTATACAAAAAAGGAAAACTCCTGGTCCATTTCTGTCATTATTTACGTAATAAGATAATCTAAACAAATAGAGTTTAGCAGTATATAAGAATTATATGCAATAACTAAATGGTGTTTATTCTAGAGATTCAACATTAATTAAGGCAAGTGTGGTGATACATACCTGTAATCCCAGTACTTGGGAGGCTGAAGCAGGAGAATCACCTTGAGTTCGAGGGCAGCCTGAGCTACATAGTGAGTTCAAGTCCAGCTGGAACTATATAGTGAGATCCTGTTTGAAACACCCTGCTTCCCCACCAAAAAACAACACAGCCCATCATATTCACAATCGAAAAAAGAAAAAACACACAGTTATTTAAGTCAAATTCATTTGACAAAATACAGTACCACTTCATACAAAAGACTCTCAGAAAAATATAAATAGAAGTTCTTCAACTTGATAAAGACTAACATTGTGTTTATGGTAAAAGACTCCATGAGGTCAGGAATATAGTTCGGGGGCACAGCACCTGCCTGGTAAGCGTGAGGTTGTTAAGTTCGATCCCCATACAAATAAATAAATACATACATACATACATACATACGTAAAAGACAATGATTTCCACCTAAGCTCAGGAATAAGTCAAAGATGTCAGGTTTCTTATTCAGCACAGAACTGGAAATTCTAGACAATGCAATAAGAAAGAAAATACAGAGCACACAGACCTGAAAGGAAGAAATAAAACTGCTATTTGCAGATATGATGTGATGATCCATGTAGAAAACATCACGACATCTAGAGCACTTGTAAAACATAAAAGATAAGTTACACAAGATCACAGGATAAAAGATAATGTATAAAAATCAATGTACAAATATTGCTTGTTTAAAAACTGAGTTCCGGGCCTGTAAGTAAGTGGTTAATTGTACTGGTTGCTAAATGAGGAACTGAACACAGTGTGTAAATTATAATACTCAGAACAAAGAAATGGAGTCCCGCTACCCCATCCTTCTGTCCTGGCTGCTCGGGTCTCATGGGTCCCCTCCTCCAGCAGGCGGCCTCTCTGTCCCCCTTCCTCTCAGAGGAGTCTGCCTTCCAGCTCATCCTGGTCCCACTCAAGGAGCCGCCGGAGCTTCATCAAAGTCCTGGAGCAGGGAAACAAACAGTAAGCATGGTGTCAGGCACCGGTTACATTATGATGGAAGCGAACTGGAGCAGCGTGCCGGTGGAATAGATTGCTGGCATTTTCTCTTTTGCGCCTGTGGAGGCTTTACGGGCTGAATGAGAATCAAACTGTCACCACTACTTCTGGTTATAATCCATGCAGGGACAGCCGTTTCAGTCATCTTCAAATGTGTGTGATACGCACTGGAAGGTTCCTGTCTTTGTAGATTGCTCCTCTTCTGCACAGTGCTGTGTTTTATGTTGGTTACTCGAACCTGACCTGTGTGTCCCAAGTTGTCACTGTTGTTGCCACTTTTTGTGTGGTTGGTGAGGGTTTCAACCTGGGCTAAAGCTCTTAGGGGCATTAAAGTGCCTGGGGTCTCAGGATTGTTCAGGAGCTTCTGCATTGTCAACTGTCACCACGGCGTGTCGTTTCGGCTCCATGACAGTACGGGATCCCTGAATGTATCTGTGACCTTTGGCTTTCTGAATGTGATGTTGTGGGCAGGAAACGCTTGGTGTGTGTACAAGGAGACCGGCTCGCACAGTCCCTCAGCCCCTGCGCTTCCCATGGCCCAGGAGGGGCCGCTCCTCCTCCTCCTGGAAAAATCCCAGGGAGAAAAGCTCTGGAGCAAACTTGTGTCTGCGTCATGACTTGTTGCCAACATCTTGAGAAGAATTTTTGTTTTCTAATAAAAGTAATGAGTTTTTCAATAGACTGGTAGATTTAAAATTTTGCTAGTTTTTTTACATAAAATTTGCATCTCTCCTAGGCATTTATTTTTTAATTTTTTTGTCTTTTTCCTTTTTATTGGTACCAGGTATCAAACTCACGACTGCCTGCTTGCAAGGCAGGCACTTATGCCGCTGAGCTAAATCCCCAGCCCAAAGGATGGTATTTTTTTTTTATCTTCTCCTATGCATTTAAATTGTAAATCCGTATTCATGGATGTAAATTTGAAAGTTCAGGGGCCTGTTAGGAGGCCATCCATGTTTTTAAATGAACTGTGATTTCTTCACTAAACTATTTTGCTTTGAAAGTGTTTGTAGCTCAGGCCTTAGAGTATCTTTACTCAGAAAACAACTATTTTGTCTTATCATACTAGGAAGAAAATCTTTATTTGGGATATACACTGCTGGAAGTTTGTATAGATTATATACCTAAGAGCTGTACTTGTTAAGAAAGCCTTAATTACATAAATTGCATTTACCAAAAACATTTAGTCTAAATTTTGTGTCTGAATATTGTTCATGTTATAAAAATGTTTAATTGCACAAATACTGGATACATGTTTTGTTTCTGGTTTTTTTTTTTTTTTTAACCTGTTGTGCTTAATAAGTATACTAAAACTGTTAGGATCAGGGGCTGGAGGTTTAGCTCAGTGGCATAAGCGCCTGCTTTGCAAGCAGGCAGTCGTGAGTTCAATCCCCTGTAAGACAAAAAAAACTGATCAGGGAGTTGGACATGTCTGACAGAGGTGTAGTTGACTTAGGATTCTGTAGCCTGAGGTCTGAGCTTCTCTCCTGGTGGTAATTTAAAAGGCCTGCCAGAAAGAGCCCAGTTCACCCAGACGCTGTATGTGTGTAGATGTGCCCATTAGCTCTCTTATTGCTTGCCCCATGTAAGTGCAGGTAGGGATCTGGGCTTCCAAAAGGAATAAAATATATACCCTTAAAAAAAAAAAAAGAACAGGGCTGGGGATATAGCTTAGCGGCAAAATACCTGCCTGGCAATTGGCAAGCACAAGGTCATGAGCTCGATCCCCAGTACAAAAAAAAAAAAAAAAAAAAGAACAAAGAAATAGTCAAAGGAGACTCTAACTTGATGACTTTACTTTTATTTGTAGAATTATTTTTTGTTGTTGTTTGTTTTGGAGATGAGGTCTCGTTACATGGTCCAGGCTGGCCTTGAACTAACAGGAATTCCTTACCTTGTTTTATTTCCATAACTCTTACCTGCAGGACTGTAATATATAACAGAATATAAAACTACAGTACTCTACTGTAAAGTTCCATCGGAAGAAGTACAGTACTGTATAAACAAGATGTACTGTACAAAAAAGACAGAGGCTCTATCAGCAAGAGGTACAGAACTGCACATACAAAAAAGATAGGCCATAAATCCCAGCAGAGGATGGTAAATCCACAGCACACCACGGTTATGAGTCTGAACAGTAGTTTAAAAAGTAGGTTGTTGAACCAGAAATACTGGTATACTAGTTGTAAATACATTGACATCAATATTTAAAATATTGTACCTTTTACAATTACTTCTAAATTGAAATAGTACAAACTTAATATAAAGATTTGTAGAAATGGAGAAATACAAATTGGAAGTTAAGGTGTCAGTTTTCCCAGGTTACTATACAGGTTGAATATAATTCTCAGAATCCCAACAATATATTTTTAGCTGTAGATAAAATTATTCTTAAGTTTATGTGGGGACGCAAAATAATTAAATAGCTGAAACAATTTTGGAAAAGCAAAATGGGAAGGATGAGTATGTTGATTTCCAGACTTCTTATGTAGCTTCCAAATCAAAACTGTGTAGTATTAGTGGCAAAGTATATACATAGATCCATGGACGTCTTAGTTACTTTTCTTGTTTCTCAGACAAAATACCTGACAGCCAAAATTAAAGGAGGAAAAGTTTATTTAGCTTAAAGTTTATAAAAGTTTCAGTCCGGGGTTGGCGATTTAGCTCAGCAGCATAAGCGCCTGCCTTGCAAGTGCAAGCTCGTGAGTTCGATCCTCAGTACTAGTAAAAAATAAATACATAAATAAATGTTTCAGTCCCTAGTTACCTGGCTCCAAGGCAAGGTGGCATATGGCAGAGGGGTAATGCAGAGGAGAAATGATTCACTGTAGGCAGAAGACAGCAAAAGCAAGCAACAGAGGACCACAGCTCTTTCCCTTATCCAGGCTACTTAGGGTGGGCAGCACGCACAGCCTTATCCTAGTGCCTCTGAGTCTAGCATTACACCATGTATCAATCCCAGCATCACACACTCGAGGTCCAGCCACCTCTGAAAAAGCCCCACCTCTGCCCACATGGGGCTTTGAGGAGATATCAAGACACAAGTCATAACAATGGAATAAAACAGAAAACCCAGAAATTGACCTACCCAAATATGTCCAACTTTTTTTTTTTTTTTTTAACAATTGTGAATCCCATTCATTGGAGGAAATACAGCCTTTCTGGAAATGATACTAGAGCAATTGAACACCCATAGATAAAGGAATGAACCACAACTTGCTTCACACCTTACACAAAGTTTGTTAAAAAGATCACAGTTTAAACTGTAAAGCTCCACAACATTAAGAAAAATTATAGGACAAAACCTTCAGGATCTAAAATAAGACAAAGAGCTTTTAGACCAAAGACCAAAAAACAGAGAAACAAACTTGAGACCATAATGGTAAGTGAATTAAATCTGACATACACACCTAAATATTGCATGGTTTCTCTTTTATGAGAGCCCCATTCTATAAAGTGCAAAATAAAAGATGGATGATAGAGGGGCTGGGGATTTAGCTCAGCGGCATAAGCACCTGCCTTGCAAGCAGGCAGTCGTGAGTTTGATCCCTGGTACCGATAAAAAGGAAAAAGACAAAAAAAAAAAAAAAAGATGGATGATAGAACATAGTGAGGTAGATCTGTGCTGTTTGGGAAAGGAACTGAGAGACAGGAGGAGGAGAAAAAGGAGGGAATGAGAGTCCGAGGGGCAGGGCTGCAAAGTGCTGTGTGCCCACACTGAGTCCCTGCATGGGGGTCCAAGAGGTGCCCGGAGAGGTGAGGTAGGAGGGGTGAAAAATGAAGACTGTTCTGTACGTGTTACAGCTCCCCGAGAGGGATGCACCGCAAAGTACTCCAAACGTACCAATAACATTTTTAAAAATAGTAATGAGAAAAAAATGATGAATTGGAGTTCATTATAATTTTAAAAACTTTCTCTGTGACAGAATACAGAATGACAGGAAGTATTTGCAAACCATGGTCTGAAAAAGCACTGATACCTAGCATATATAAAGAACTTGCAAAACTCAGCAGAAAAAAAAAAAAAAGATCCAGTTAGAAAATAGGCAAAAGACATTTCACCAAAGAGGGGCGTGGTGGCAAATGTTTGTGATCCATCTCCTTGGCCTGCTGAACCACGTCATTTTAGCACTCTGTATATATTTAAAAATGAAGACATGTGAAAAGTGGTCCCAAAAGTTTCAAATTATTTGATCCTGATTCAAACAACTATAAAAGGGGCTGGGGATTTAGCTCAGTGGCATAAATACCTGCCTTGCAAGCAGGCAGCTGTGAGTTCGATCCCCGGTATCGATAAAAAAAGAAAAAAGGAAATGCTATTGAGGGACATAAAATTAGAACAAAACACAATGGAACATCTTGTTCTTTGGAATGCTCAATATTATATAGATGTCATTTCTCCTACTTTTATCTGTGAATTTCATATGACCTTGAAATCTGTCATAATTTTTTAAATTCTAGATTTCTTTTAGGAAGAGGATTTCAAAAGGCTGATCGGGAAATTATGAAAAGAAGGATAATAAGAGTTATTAGTTCTATGTAATAGTAAAACAATATAAAACCACAATAAAACAGTGGTAATGGGGCTTGCACAGTCATTCAGAGACCCGGACTGACAGAGAGGTCCAGATCCAGCCCTCAATGCTTCTGGTAAATTACATCTGACCCAGGTGATTCACAAGTGAGTGGGTGAAGAGGTGGATTATGTAATTAAGGGTGTGAAGACACCTGGGGAAAAAAGTAACCAAGCTCAAAATTATACTTCCATAAATTCTAGATGGACAAAATATGTGTATTAAATTAAACTATGTATAAAGTACCATAAGAAATCACAAAGTTATTTAATTACAGACTGACAAGCTTAGAATCAGTATGGGGATGAGTGCATGTTAAGCAGCTATGGAAGACAAACCACAAACTGAGATATAATTTATAACTCATTTCTAGACAAGAGGCAACTTTCCCTTTCAAGAGATGGTATCGATCAATAAGAATAACAGGAACTTAATAGAAAAATGCGCGAAACACATGAAAAGATGTGAAAACTTCACAGGAAATGAAATATAACTGATCAAGAATGTGAAAAAAGGGGGATGAGGATTTAGCTCAGCGGCATAAACACCTGCCTTGCAAGCAGGCAGTCGTGAGTTCGATCCCCGTTACTGATAAAAAAGAAAAAGACAAAAAAAAGAAAAAAAAAAGAATGTGAAAAAATAGTCTCACTTCAGTGAGAGAAATACAATTATCCTTAGATGCCGTCTTCATGTATCAGATTACAAAGATCACAAGAATTTCATAACCACAAAGGCAAATTCGTTATCAATTTGTATTATCTTTGCTGAAAATGCTGAAGCAGAACCTGAGTTTACAGGAAACGCAAAGGTTAAGAAACATCATGTGGGGCTGGGGATTTAGCTCAGCGGCATAAGTGCCTGCCTTGCAAACAGGCAGTCGTGAGTTCGATCCCTGGTACTAATAAAAAGGAAAAAGACAAAAATAAAAATAAAAAAAAGAAACATCATGTAGCCAGAGCTTTAGCTCAGTGGCATAAATACCTGCCTGGCAAGCACAAGATCATGAGTTTGATCCCTGGTACCAAAAATAAATAAATAAATAAATAAATAAAAGAAACACCATGTAGGAAAAAAAAAAGATAAATGCAGACAATATTGATACCATGTAACTACTGGCCTAGTGTCTTCAATAAATCAATGTCATAGCTCAAAAGACTGTGAAAAAAAGGAGAGACTTCTCAATGAAAAGAAACATAAGACGCATGATAACCAAGTGTTCCAAGTTGCCTTTGATTGGATCCTAATTTGCATAAACCAGCTACAAAGTAAATTTGGGGAAAAGTGAGAAATGTTAACTGTAGACTATAGATGAATTCAGGAAGCATTTAATACTGTTAATGCATGCTTGCTTGACATGATGAAGATACTATGTTTTGTAGGAGAACGTCGTATTTTGGATTTGTATACTTTCAGAATAAGATGTCATGAAGCCTGTAATTTATTTGAAACTACTTCATTAAAATGAAGCAAATATGATGGAAGTCTTTCAGCAGAGGAAGTTGGATATGATGAAACAAAAATAACAACTTGCTAATCATTGTTAAATACAGTTGATGCTGAGGGATGTGGTACACGCCTGTAATCCCAGCACTTGGGAGGCTGAGGCAGGAGGATCGCTGTAAGTTTGAGGGCAGCCTAGGCTACAAAGTGAGTTCAAGTCCAGCCCGAACTGCATAGTGAGACCTTGTCTCAAAAATCCAATTTAAAAAAACATAGTTGATATTTATAAATGTTCATTATACTATTTTACTTTTTGTACATTTACTATTTTTACAGTAAGCACACAGAGTAATAATGCTCTAGTACCGTGGTGGCAAATCAGTGGCACACATGTTGTTTGTTTTTCTTTTGAGGCAAAAGATGTTAATGCCTGAGGTTTTTTCCCCTACACTAAAAGCCCCAGTATTCAGGTTTAACTGCAGCGTTGGCACTTTGTGATAAGTAAGTGGGCTTTGGGTTGCAGTTTGGGCTGTCGGTCTCTAAAGGCTCATCCCTGCTCCAGTGAGAATTCCTGTACACGTCTGTGCCTGGAGTCAGGCCAAGGTCTGCTCAGCCCCGTCCTAGGCAGTATGAGAAGACCTGGGACAAATGTTTTCAAAGTTCAGGTGGTGACTTTTAGTTACTCTGAAAATTAATTGAGGGAGGTCATGATCATAAAAGTTTCTTAAATAAGACAATAGAAAACACCTAGGGTTTTAGTTTAACATGGGTTATATTATATGAAATTTTGTTATGTCAATAGTTTTATATCTGTGAGTTCACGATTCTGATGTAAAATTCATGGGGTTTTTTGGTCTTTTTGAGACAGGGTCTTGCTATGCAGTTCAGGTGGGCCTTCAACTTACTTTGTAGCCAGGCTGCCTTGAACTCACTATGCAGGCCAGGGTGGCCTCCAAATGGCAGCAATTCTTCTAGTTCAGCCTCCTTAGCGGTGGAATTACAGGTGTGCATCACCCCAGCTGCATTTCTTACCATTTGCAGGCCAGAGCTCAAAGGTCACTGACATCGTTCACTTTTTTCCACTAAAGTCACTGATCCTGGTGTCTTCTTGGCTTTCAAATGGTTTTTCCCAGTGTCAGAGATCAAACCCAGGGCCTCACCAAAGCCCTGAGCTACATCCCCAGCCCGAGCTAATTTTTCTTCTATTTCTTTGACAGTGTTTTGCCCCTGCACTTTGGTTATCTGTTAGATGAGTTAGAAATGTTCTCATTTTGTTTTGATTTTTCTAGTAACCATGACTGAGGTTTTACCAAAGGAAAAGAAACAGAAAGAAGAGAAGACCTTGGTTCTCGGTCAAGCCGTGGTGGACCTTCTTCCTTTACTGGAAGGTCAGCTAAGTGATTTGCCTAAAAGGAGAAATAGCCGAGTCCACAGACCTCAGCCCCGCAGGCCCGCAAACCAGGGTTGAGGGAACAGCACACTTGCTTGTCCCTGTTGGTGCGGTACCAAGGCAGCCTGCCCTCCCTGGCTCACTTTGCTTTGCTTTTCACAGGAGAGACTTCATTTGAAATGATGCTCCCTTTACACCCCGTGCAGGGCTCCCCGCTAGAAACTCCTCGGCCGGGCTATAAGGTAATCAGAGCTGTAACTCACTGTCTGCCCTGCCACTCGGTGTAACCCGCCCGCCCGCTAAGGATTCAGTCCATTTGAGTCCACTTCATGGGCCTTACACACGCCAGCTTGTGCCCTCCCACTGCCCTCCAGCCTTACCTTAGTTAGTCCATGCTCTGGTCACTGCACACTTAGTGAGAGGTCTGGAAAGCGGAGATGAGTAAGGCAGAGACCAGCCTTCCAGGAGCTCACAAGCTACCATCATGGCTGATTATAATCCAGAGAGACAAAGTGGTGGGGATTCGGGGGACAGGAGCACAGGGCAAGTTTTGGTTCCACAGCCTGAGGGAAGCTGTAGGAAAGGCTTAACCATGGAAACCCTTCTTCTTTTTTTTTTTTTTTTTTTTGGTACTGGGGATCGAACTCATGGCCTCACACTTGCCAGGCAGGCACTTAGGTCACTGAGCTAAATCCCTGGCCCTTCGAAACCCTTCTTGAGCTGCGTGCTAATGAAGAAAATGGTATATGAAAGGGTGTGACACCCTTTCAGGCATGGGCCTCCTTCTGGTTGGAGACTTCTCATTCAGCCATTCCAACCCAGGCCAACCTCCTGAGCATCAGCCCTCACCACCACCTGCTGACTTTCTCTGCCGTGCTCCCCATGGCATTTGCAGCTCAGTGTCCTCCAGCTGGACTCAGTACATTCCTTTAAGCTTCCTCTTGCTTTTATTTTTTATTTTTGGTACCAGGGATCAAACTCACAACCTTGGGCTTTACCACGCAGGTGCTGTGTTATATTGTATTTTTTAAGATTTGATTTGGGAGGCTGAGGCAGGAGCATCAGTGTAAGGTTGAGACCAGCCTGAAGTGTGTAGTGAGACCCTGTCTCAGGAAGACAAAAAGAAAAAAAAGATTAGATTTGATTCGGCACTGAACCCGGGGCCCATTCTACTAAGCTGGTGCTCCACCTCTGAAACCCACGTCTGTCTTATTTTGCTTGGGGCCTCATTCCTCTGGGAAGCATAGGACATAGGTCCTGAGTTACATCCGTGACCTCTTACTTGGACCCTAACTGCAACCGACCTCCCAGTCCACCTTTTGCCAATCCCGGCTGGCCTGCTTCCTAGGTGTCCCCCCCTCTTCCTTCTTAGTTTCACTCCCACTGTACTCCCTCTTCCTCTCTCACCTGGCTCCCTACAGGTGATCTCTGGTCTTGCCTCCCTCCACCTCCACCTTCCCAGTGCTGCACAGCTGAAAAGTGACTCTGGTCGCCTCTCTTCACCTGTGCAGTGGTTCGCAGATTCGTCCACCGAGTACCCCGCAAGGTCCATACCCCTTAACAGGCGGGCCTAGCCCAGGGCCTCTTACTCCCCTCCCAGCACTCCTCTGGACTTTATGCTCTAGAATCCTGCCCTTCTTACCCCTGAGCTGAGTATACGTGTCAGATGTACTTGTGATTCTTTGCCATCCCCTTTTGTATCAACTTTTCTCTTGACCCAAAACTATTTTCTCCTTCCTCCCTCTGCTTCTAGGTTGCAAATTCCCATTTATTGCAAAAAGGTAATTCAGATTTTCTAATTTCTTACTCCCCCCCAGCCCAGTAGTTATCTACTTCCTCCTTGGAGCTTCTCAACTGGAGCATTTTGTGCAGTTCCTTATTATAGCATTTTTGTCATAAAACATGGAGCTACATGAATTTCACGATGATGGGACCATATCTTCATCTTTATATCCCTAATGCCATTATAAAAGTGCCTAGCGCCTGAAAGACAATCAGTACACATTTTAGCTGGGTGCAGGGTGCACACCTATAATCCCAGCACTTGGGAGGCCAAGGAGGGGGACTGTCACAGCTCAAGGCTACCCTGGGCTACAATAGTCAGTTCAAGGCCTGCACTACAAAAGCAAGACCCTGTCTCAAGCCACCCCTCCAAAATTCACATTTTATTTTGTATTCTGTGTGAAAGTATCAGAGATACAGACATGTTTATATATGAATTGGTATATATATTTGAAAAATACTTTATTACAAAGCATTATAATTGAATTATAAAAGCAATCGTAAATATAGGCTAGCAAGAAAGCACCCTAGGGACTGGGGATTTAAAAAAAAAAAAAAAAAGGGCTAACGAAAACATCCTAGTGTCATTCACATGCAGCTACTGTTGTTAGTGCAGTATGGAATCATGCAGGCTTATAATTCCTCTTCCAGGGCTGTGGCACAGTAGGAATGGCCTTGGTTTAGGATGAGGTTCTCTCTCTTTTTAAATCAGTACCAGGGATCAAACTCATGACTGCCTGCTTGCAAGGCAGGCGCTTATGCTGCTGAGCTAAATCCCCAGCCCCTGGATAAGGTTCTCTTTGGGGCTCTTTCTCTAACTTTCAGGAACTGGGGAAAATTATTTCACTCCTCTATTGGAAATAAGTTTAATCTTATTTTGAACAATGATTTGAGGTAATGTAAAAAAAGAGAGGCAGCTGGGCATGGTTGCACCTATCCATAATCCCAACACTTGGGAGGCTGAGGCAGGAGGATAACCTAAGTTCAAAGCCACCCTGGGCTACATAGTGAGTTCAAGGCTGGTCTGAACTACATGGCAAGCAAGATCCTGTCTCCAAAAAAATATGCAATTTTTAAAATGCCATATCATTTTAATCTTTTACAGCAGTGCAGTCTTGAAGTGAAAGTGTTTGTGGCAGAGCCCTTACTGACTGCAGCCCAGGCCTTAGGGAGCAATCTACTGAAGGTCACTCTGGAGGCTGCCTACTCTGTGCCTGAGTGTTTCAACCCACTAGGGCCTCCACAGAACTACCTGGTGGGTCTACAAGTTCCAGCACAAGGAGAGGTAAGGCCCTGCTGCCAAATAGTTATACAGATTCACATAGGTTTGTACACGCAGACAGCTCTTCCTTACCTGCTAAGACATCATTCAAAGCAATCTACTAGCGGCTGATGTTGTATATATGTAGTACATATTTTAATACCTATAATGTACATAGTAGTCATATACTAATTAATGACTGATAATATTTGAGTGTCTTTTCATATGCTTATTGGCATTTATAAATTTTCTTCGGAGAAATGTCTGTTAAGTCTTTACCCCATTTTAAATTAGATTGCTTGTATTTTATTTATTTATTTATTTATTTATTTATTTATTTATTTATGGAGATAGTGTCTTGCTAAGTTACTAAATTGCTTAGGCTGGGGTTGAACTTGCAGTCTTCCTGTCTCAGCCTCCTGGAAATCCTGGGCTTACAGGCATGCACAAATGGGCCTGCTTAGATCTTTTTCTATTTTGTGTTAATTTTTGTATATAGTGTTAGGTGAGGGTCCAGTATCAATGTTTAGAATGGTGTATCATTGTTTTAATGTGCATTCACTGATTATATGCAGCATGTTTTAAATGTTGACTATCCTATTTGCTCTATTATAAATTGCCTATTTATGTCTTTAACTAATTTTCCACTTAAAGTATATTTTAAATAAATTATAAGAATGAAAATACCGGCTGGTCCGATGGCAGTGGGTTATCAGAACTTATTAACATTAGTGTCACTAAAGTTGGTATGCCACGCCGCCACTGCTAAATTTGACTGGCTTTAAAAAAAAAAAAAAAAGAATGAAAATACCAGGGCTGGGGGTTTAGCTCAGTGACATAAGTGCCTGCCTTACAAGCAGGCAGTCGTGAGTTCGATCCCTGGTACTGATAAAAATGAAAAAGACAAAAAAAAAAAAGAAAATACATATCTTTTTAATTCCTTGTCAGACTTCAGTTTCTGCATTGTTTTGTTGTTATTGTTGTTTTTGATATGAGGTACTCCTAGGTAGTTCAGGCTGGCCTTGAACTTGCTATGTAGCCCAAGCTGGCCTTAAACTGGCAGCAATCTTCCTGCCTCATCCTCCCAAGTGCTGGGTATGTGCCATCATGCCTGGATAGTTTTTTATTTATTTTTTAAAATTAATTAATTTATTTATTTATTAGTCTTTTTGAGACAAGGCCTCACTATGCAGCTTAGGCTGGCCTTGACTTACTTTGTAGCCCAGACTGGTCTCAAAATTGTAACAATCCTCCTGCCTCAGCCTCCCAAGTGCTGTAATTACAGCTGTGTGCCACCATGCCTGGCTTAGCTTGTTTTTTTTAAACATAATTTTAAAAATAAGTATATACCGGGCACATGGTACATGGCTGTAATCCCAGCACTTGAGAGGCTGAGGCAGGAGGATTGCCGTGAGTTCAAGGCCAGTTTGAACTACATAGTGAAACCCTGTCTCAAGAATAATTTTAAAAGTATAATAATGGCTCTTACATAAACACAAAATGATAGGATATGAAAATTTTTACTTGGCTAATTGGTGAGTGAATCAGTTAAGATCAAGTGAAAGGAGAATCTAGAGAAGTGACCAATAAATAGGCATTAGGACTACTGTAGTAAATTTGCAAGAACCATTTACATCACCACCGGTCAGCAAATATTTGCATAACTATGGACAAGGATAATTGGCATGATTATCAGTTACAAACAAATCTGGACAAAATATATCTGCATAATGATGAACAAGAACAATTTGCATTATTATCAATTATCTATAATTTACAGTGTTATAAGTTAACAAAGCCAAAGGCACCAGCTGCTGTGTGGAATCATAGCCATCAGCAGTCCAGTGAAAAGATGCTTAAATGATGTGTTTTTGGTCCGATTCAGAGTCCTTTATAATTTTTCTCCTATGTGATTTTTTTTTGTAGAAGGACTACCCCATCTTATTCAAGAATGGAACTCTGAAGCCTGGAGGGGAAAGAGAACCTGTTCCCCGGCCCAAAAAATGGCCTATTGCCAACATTCTTGCTCCAGGGGCCAATAACATTCCGGAGGCCTTCATCGAGGGCGGCCCCTATGAGGAGGAGGAGGGAGAGCTCAACCACCCCGAGGCGAGTTGCTACAGGAAGCTTGTGCACTTTGGGACTCTCTGTAACTTATGTATGTCTATCACTTGCCAAAATAAAATGCTTACGTAATCCTGATGAAAATATGTCTCAAGTCCAGCAAACAAAATAATTTGCATGACATTTAATTTTTATTTTATTTTTTGAATTTGTAATAAGGTCTTACTTTGTAGTAAGGCTGGCCTTGAACTCTATGTAACTCAGGCTGACCTCGAACTCACTGTAATCCTCCTGCCTTGGCCTCCTGAGTGCTAGAATTGCAGGTGTACACTACCTGCCCAGAAATAGAATCCATTTTATTCTTCTACAGGACAGAGAATTCAGGAGCCATGCAGAGTGTGCAAAGAAAAGGATTGTTTGGGACCTGGAGAGTCGCTGCTACCTTGACCCTCCTGCAGTTTCCAGGTAGGAAGAGGCAGGAATATGTGCAACCAAGCAAAGCCATTGGTGGGGAGAAACTTGTAATAATCTTACTCATATATTTGCATTATGGTGATTTGATACTTTGTCACCACATCTGTGTCAGAAAGGTGCCTATAAGGGTGGTTTAAATGAAGTGAGCATTTACTTCTCTTTCATGTAGAGAAGTCCGGAACTGCTACGCATCGTGGCTTCACAGAGCTCTCAAGTAGCCCAGGCTTATTTTATCCTCTACCTTCATTAATACTGAAGAGGAAAATCATTAACTTTTTAGAGTTAAATTTGAGCAGATTTGTCTACCTCTTTTCCACCTAGACCAAGTTCATATTTCCTTTATCTCACTGACTGTACGCTAAGCCCACAGGTTACCTCGAGCACTTGTTTCCCACAACTCCTGGCTTACCCAAAGTTTGAACTTGCATACTTGCAACACAAATGCTGTAGATTTCTCTTGGGCCAATCAGTAATAATGACCTAAGATGTAACCAGTCAATCATTGCCCAACACTCTTCTTCTGTATTCCTGCTTGCAAACCGCATATAAGCCCTAGACTATCAGAGATCGAGGCCTGATACTTTAGGAATGAATCCTGATCATGTATGTCAGGATAAATAAATCTGCTTCCAAATCCTGGGTGATGTTTTCCTGCTTCTGTTTATTGCTGCAATATCTACAAGTTGCCTTCTATCTATGAGTTTGTCTCATGGCCCAGGATGGCTGCTAGAGTTCCAGCCTGCATATTTATATTCCTGGCAAAAAGTTGGTAAAGAGAAATGGGTATGGATTAAAAAAAAAAATGGCCATGCTATCTCTCTTAGCTTCTCCTTTAGAACCTGACAACCTCACTTTATATCTCACTGGTTGTTTCCAAGATGAAGAAATGCTAGAACTTCAACTAAATGAGGTAATTTTATAGATTTTGGGAAGGTTTAAAAATTGCCAACTTGATAAACTTTTTTATACGTGTGTGTTATCTTCTAAAACAGAAGAATGTTTTTCTTTAAATTATATGGCCTCCATTTTTTAATATAATAGTCATGGGCTGATGTTTTGATTTGTAGCTTTCAGAAACGAATTGCTGACTGCCGGCTTTGGCCTGTAGAGATCACGAGAGTTCCTCTGGTTAATGTACCCAAAGGGAAAGCTGGCAAAGTTGATAAGGTAAAAATATACATTTAAAAATATTACAAATCTGGGTGTGGTGGTGTAGGCCTGTGATCTTAGCACTTTGAGGCTGCGGCAGGAGGATTGGTGCAAGTTTGAGACCAGCCTGGACTACAAAGTGAGCTCAAGGCCAGCTCGAACTGCATAGTGAGACCCTGTCTCAAAAAAAAAAAAAAAAATTTACAAAGCCAGGTGAGTGGTGCATGGCTGTAATACCAGCACTCAGGAAGCTAAGATGGGAAGACACTTGAGCTGCTTAAGGCCAGCCCAGGCAACTGTCAAGACCATGTCCAAAAAACCCCACAAAAAACAGAAACAAGGGGCTGGGGAGTTAGCTCAGCGGCATAAGCACCTGCCTTGCAAGCAGGCAGTCGTGAGTCCGATCCCCAGTACCGATAAAAAGGAAAAAGACAAAAAAACCCCAAAAAACCCACAAACATTTATTTATTTATTATACTTTGGGAGCTTATTTTATTTTATTTATTTATTTATTTTTTGGTCTTTTTCGTTTTTATCGGTACCGGGGATCGAACTCACGACTGGCTGCTTGAAGGCAGGCGCTTATGCCGCTGAGCTAAATCCCCAGCCCTAGGGAGCTTATTTTATTACTGTTATTTGTACATTTCTTTTTTGACAAATGTATTTATATTAAATGTAAATATTGAGATGCTAGATCAGACCGACTGTTACTCTGCTTCTAATTCTGCTACCAAAGGAACGTGCAACCTAAGCCGCTCTTCTTTGGTGGTGACCAGCTCATGCAGCTTCACCCTGTGGTTTCCGTGCTGAAAGTCCCAGTCCCAGGAAATCCCTGTGTTCCAAGAAAACCAGGATTGTTTGCTCCCACACTTCCCCACTGTCCCTACTAATTGCTCAGGCTTTATTTCCAGATATCACATTTCCAGGTGGCCCCTCATTACAGTTTTACTGTAATCAAAGCTATGAGAGAGCTATTTTTCTAAGGTTGAAATTGGCAATATGGTTTAACCTGGTCTATTTTTCCTGAATTTCTTTTTAGAACCAACAGCTAAATGTGTGCTGCTAGTAAATGTGCAGAGTTCACAGCCGTGCTACCGTTCTGCCAGCAGAGGGCGTGGATGAGCCCAGAGCGTGTTCTCTGCCGTCTGCCTGTCTGGCCCTGCCACTGCTCCTGAACCCCCTGAAGCTGGGTCTTTTCTGTTCTCCACATTAATGGCATGGCACGCTGTGTGGGACCCAGCCAGTCCTTGATAATGATCTAAATTACTCAATTGGCTTTTAAAATAGAGGGGGTTTTTTAGCTACCAACAGAAGCATTTCCCCTTCTTATCATATAATGCATATAGGCTACCTTTCTTTAAATTTCTTAGGCACTTGATGGTATCACATGAACACAGGACTTTTTAACCTAGTTTCTATTTATTATACCAGGATAAGACAAAAATTACTTTTAAACTCATAATTAAGTGTATTTTCTTTTAAAAAATTGAATTTTTTCCTTACAAAAATATGGCAGCATACATAAGCCATTAAAAATGATCTGAAGATATATTTATTGATTTTGGTTTTTTTTGAGATCAGGGATCAAACTCACAACCTTGCACTTGCCAGGCAGGCACTTAGGCCAGTGAGCTAAATCCCCGGCCTATTTATTATTTACTCACCTTTGCAATGAGTGACATTCATTCTCTTTCATCTGTGGTAGTTACTGTGAATCAGTTAAACTATTTTCTTTCGGAACCCAGATAAATACACAGAATTGTTCTCAACAAAGCATGCTAAAATCCTTGCACTGAAGAGTTATGCTATTGGCCATGACTGCTCCAAATGATTTGTAAGATTTGTATTTCTTGTGAATCTATGAGCTAAATTTAGCTAAGAGCCAGGGCTTCTAATTTCTTTTTAAGTTTTTGTTATTTGTTTAGTGTTTTTTTGTTGTTGTTGTTAAAAATAAATCTTCAGGGGCTGGGGATTTAGCTCAGCGGCATAAGTGCCTGCCTTGCAAGCAGGCAGTCGTGAGTTCAATCCCCAGTACCGATAAAAAGGAAAAAGACAAAAAAAAAAAAAAATAAAATAAATCTTCATTTTCTACTAAGGAGCAACATGATGAAATTGACTTTCTGGTCGAGTATGTATTATGGAGTAATTTGAGTCCATATTGAAGGAACTGCTGCCTTTACTGTTTATTAACACTTCATGTATATTATCTCTGTGATCACGTTTATTTTTAAATCCATTTCAAAGATAAAGAAACTGAGGCCTAAAATGTCTATGTAACTGGTCCTTAGACTCATAATTAGCAAAGTAGCAGAGTTGGTTTCTAAAACTGAGCTTTTGCTGCGGGGTCTGCGCTCCCTCCTTCTGCTACCTCACTCTGCAGCACCAAAACCTCTCTGACTTGGTCCCTTTAGAATGAAGATGAGAGTCAGCTTTCATTTCATGGCGTGGCTTACGTTAACATGGTCCCACTGCTGTACCCCGGGGTGAGGAGGATTCGCGGAGCCTTCCACATCCACCCGTACCTCGACAGCACGGTCTACGAAAAGGTAGGAAAAACTGCAGGACGGAGAGCAGCTTGATTTACTCTTGCTGTCTCTCTTGACATACACATCTCTGCAAGTGATTTTTAGTCTGCTTGGTATAACAGGATGTTAGACTCTTGTAGTCATTCTTCTTTGGACCTTCGCAACCTGAAGAAAATACAGAGCTAAAAACTGGAATCAGCTCAGATCTTCAGCAGCTTGCGAACAGAAAAACCCACTGTGCGATAATCTCACAGTGGAATGGTATTTGACCGTAAAAAGGACTGAAATAAAGATGTATACAGCAGTAAGGGTGAACCTCCAATACACTGGATCCAACTGATGCACTGCATCCAATGCTAAAGGAAAGAAACCAGACAAAAAAAAGTATATACTACATCATGGTTCCACTCACGTGATTTAAGGGAATAATTTATATTGACAAAAAGTAGAGTAAGGTGGTTTGGAGCTGGACGTGGTGGCACACCCCTGTAATCCCAGCATTTGGGAGGCTGAGGCAGGAGGATCACTGTGAGTTTAAGACTATCTTGAGAGCTAGGGATTTAATTCAGTGGCATAAGCGCCTGTCTGGCAAGCATGAGGTTGCAAGTTTGATTCCTGGTACAAAAAAAATAAAATAAAAAAGACCACCTTGAATTTAGCAAGACCCTGTGTTATGAAAAAAAAAGTTTTTTTTCATTAGTGCATGTTTGCAGTACACAGTATTACATTCCTCATGGATGGGGAGTTGGTGCACGTACATTACCACATCTGCATTCTTTTTTTAAAATTCCTTTCTCCCGTTCCTTCTCCCTCTATCTCTTAGTCCTTTTCCAATTTGCAAAACATTTATTTCCCTATTTTCTATTATCTATCTTTTATTTTGCTCTTTATTTTGTCTTTCTTATATAAGAGAAAACATGCTATTTAAGCTTGTGTGTCTGACTTATTTCATTGCATATTATGATCTCGAGGTACATTCATTTTCCTACAGATGACCCAAGTTTATCTTTCTTTATGGCAGGGTAGAATTGTATTGTGTATAAACACCACACTTTCTGTATGCATTCACCTGCTGATGGACATTCAGGGGCTGCTTCTAAGGTTTAGCTATTACAAATCTTGCTGCTATAAACATATGTATGCATGGATCACTCTAATATGGTACAATAGCTGGGTTGAATGGAATTTCTAGTTTTAGTTTTTGAGGAATCTCTATAATTGGTTGTGTTGGTTTACGTTCCCATTAGTAGCGCAGAAGGATTTGTTTATCCCCCGCTGCCTCGCCATCATTTGTAACTATTTGATTTCTTGATGATGATAGCTGTTTTTTTCAAGAAAGCTCAGTGTTGTTTTAATTTGGTTTCTTTACTCACCAGAGAGATTGAACATTTTTTCATGTATCTCTTGGCTATTTGTACTTCTGAGAAGTATCTATTCATTACAGTCAGACATTTTTTGATTGGATGCTTTATTTTGGAGTCCAATTTTTTTAGTTCTTTAGGTAATCTGGATATTACTCCTCTGTCCAGTAAATATTCTAATGGGTAATATATATTCTGTCATTTTTACTTACCATGAGTTACTAAACCTTTCTCTATTATTGAACATTTAATCTTACTTTTAGTTTTTGCTGTTTTGGATTTCCCAAAAGTTTTCATGAGTATAGACCTTTTTTTGGTCATGTTAAATTGTTTCCTTGGGATCAATTCCTAATCGTAATTTCTGATTCAAATGTTACTGCTCAGTTGGTATACAAATAGATAATGGGTCTTTTATGCAACTATTGAAAAATAACTGGGGCTGGGGATTTAGCTCAGCGGCATAAGCACCTGCCTTGCAAGCAGGCGGTCGTGAGTTCGATCCCTGGTACCGATAAAAATGAAAAAGACAAAAAAAAAAAAAAAACTGTTTACAATGATGAAATAATAATAAAAGTCTGTTGCAGTCTACAAAGAGTCGTTTTCCTCCAGGAAAAAACATGGTAAGATTGGCTTTTTCCCTGTGCACATAGACAGTTATCACTAGGTCTCTAAGGGAATCGGTTCCGGGACTCCTTGCAGGTTCCCAAATCCATAGACGCTTAATTCCCTTATATAAAATGGCCTAGTATCTGCATAGGACCTACACACATCCTGCTTATCCTTTCAGGTCTTCTCTAGGTTACTCATGACGTCAATGCAGACTAAATGCTATGTAAACAGTTGTTAAGACTGTATTTTTTGGGCACTAAGGAAAAATATGTGCATGTTCAACACAAATAAAATATTTTCAATATATTTCTGGTCTATGCTTGTTTGAATCCATGGATCTGGAGAATCTACCGGGTGTGTATGATCACATTTTTTTTTATAACAATTTTAGGAGTTTTTCTGAGACAAGGAAACCTGGGCTGGCCTTGAACTCTGTCCGCCTTCCTCAGCCTCCTGAGTGCTACAGTCACAGGCATGACATGATGATTAAAAAAGTAAATGCAGCAGAAAGAATGAGCAATTATGAATGCACACATATCTAACAGCACAATTACTTCATGATACATGAAGAAATAACCAACAGAATTGAAGGCAAAAATGGACAACTGGGCAATCACATTTAGAAATTTCAATATTCTACATTCAATACTTGATAAGACAACTGTACAGAAATCTGTTTTGGGCAGGAGATGTAACTCAGTGGCACAGCGCCTGCCTGGCAAGCGTGAGGCCCTCAGTTTAGTTCCCGATGCCGCCGTCCCTTCCAGTCGATGATAAATATAAATGTACCTACATACCAACCAATCAAACCTAAAAACTACCCAGGAGAATTGAAAAGAGCATTCACACGAAGATATGTATAAAAGTTCACAACAATCCAAATGTCTGTGCTACTGAATGGATAAACAAATGTGGTATGTGTTATAGTACAGGGGATTCTGTTTAATAGTGAAAAATGAAATAACAACTAGTAATACCCCCAATCACTGTGCATTTTGAATGAGTAAATTTCATGAAATGTGAACTATATCTCAATAATTCTGCTTTTGTAAAAAAAAAAAAAGGGGGGAGGTGCTGGGTGTTTAGCTCAACGGCATAAGCGCCTGCCTTGCAAGCAGGCAGTCATGAGTTTGATCCCTGGTACCGATAAAAATGAAAAAAAAAAAAAAAAAAAGACAGGACCCACTGATACCTCCTTTAACACAGATGAACCTCAAAATCATGTTAAGTGAAAGAAGGCATCACATTACACAATGTCCTTTATACAAAATAGTCCACTGTACAGTTTATCCCAAAGTGGAGAAAGATTGAAGAAAACTTTTAAAATTTTGTATCTATGAAATACAGTAATCATGACAGATGTGGTAAAATTGTGAGTGATTTTATTTTATGTTTTTTTTTTTTTTTTGGAACTGAGGATTGAACTCACCTCTCACTTGCCAGGCAGGCACTTGCACCCCTGTGAATGAATTTTAGTAGTCAAAATTTTTCTTTAATTTTCAAATTGTCCTTTTAACAGTGTTATTGCTGTACAATTAACGAATAACAAACTGCATTTATTTAGCATGCCGTTTTAAAGTTTTGGCCTGTAGACGTACACCTGTGAAATTATCATCACAGTCAAGATCCTAAAGCTCAGAGTGGTAGCACACACCAATGAGGAGGGTCTGGATATTTTTACCTAGTCTAACTTATTTTGAGAATCATCCATGTTGTTTAAGTAAAACACAGTTAAAAGATTTCTTCCCAGTCATTTAGCTCTAGTTTGGCCCGTGGAAAGATTTTACTTTGGATTTTATTTTTTGTCTTTTTGAGACAAAGTCTCACTATGCAGTTCAGGCTGGCCTTGAGCTCACTTTTAGCCCAGGCTGTTCTTGAACTTGCCACAGTTCTTCTGCCTCAGCCTCGCGAGTGCTGGGATTGCAGGTGTGAGGCACCACCCCTGGCTTACTTTGGACTTTAAGCTTGACTGAATTATATTTTTCCAAATATAATTGATAAGCAAGTAGTAATTAGGCCAATATTATTTCTTATATAAAAGTAAGTTATATCATTTAAAGTTATTTGAAATTATGTGTCAAAGATGAAACATTTTCTTTTTTTTTTATGTTATTGGGGACTGAACCCAGGCCATCACACTGGGCTACAATGCTCAGCCTTCTTTTTTTTTCTTTTATTTTGAGACAAGATCTCACTAAATTGCTGAGGCTGTGCCTGAACTTGGTGTGCTCCTGCCTCAGCCTCCCAGAGTACTGGAATTAAGAGGCATGTGCCACCACACCTTGCTAGATGAACTTTTTTTTATCAGTACCGGGGATTGAACTCACGACTGCTTGCAAGGCAGGTGCTTATGCTGCTGAGCTGAATCCTCAGCCCCGATGAACTTAATTTTTTCCTTTCCTTCCCTTTCTTTTCTTTTGTACCAGGAATCAAACTCACGACCTCACATTTGCTTGGCAGGCGCTGTGCCACTGATTTATATTCCTAGCTAGATTAACTATTTTCTGAAGATAAGAGTTATGAGATAGTGGAATCAAATTGAGTCATAGGGTTTCCTCTTAAAATTTCATGTAGGGTAGGCAGCTAACTTTCTGTGGTGTTTTTGCATGTTATAGAGAAATGCAATGGGGTTTTTCAGGTCCTTTCTTAGATTCTGCAATGTAGAAATTATGTGGAAGATGAAATAAAGCTTTCAACTGTCTCATTTGCCTGTGATCATTGCATTTTTTTTGTTTGTTTCCAGACCAAATGTTTATTCAGCTTGTTACGGGACACCGGCCATCATTTGATTCAGAATAATAAAGTAGGAGCAGTTACTGCCTCACTGCCCAAGTCACTGGTTCCTAAGACTCCGAAAGAAGACAAGACAGGCAAAGAGAAGGACACAGATGGAAAGTTAAAGCCTGGCGAAGGGGTAGGTGGCGGAGCGGGCCCTCCTCTTAGACCCCAGAGGTGTCGCTGTGGTCTGGCCTTGCTCGCAACGTAATGATCCTTGTTCTGGCCATTTGAGGACTGTCTATGAATTCAGTTTTTGAGGTGTGTTAACTTTCTTGCAGCAAGTGCCTAGTGTAAAGTCTCAGAGCTCAGATACTCCTGTGGAAGGCGAAGCCTCTCTGAGTCACAATCCAGAAGGACAGGTAACTATGCACAAAGGTTTGGAAAATGAAGTTTGAGTTCATCGGATCTTTACTGCGCCAGACAGCTGGAGTGGGAGGTGTTCATGGAAGGGCATCCGCGTTACCATGCCAGGTTTGCCCATGATCGTGGGGGAGATTTGTTTTGTTGAGCTTCTGTACCGTGAGTTGGTACCAGATAATCTTTAAGGTTCTTTCAGCATTAAAATTTTGTGCCTCGCTTTAGTTCTGTTAAAGTACAGCGAGGGATGCACAGATACATCAGCAGCAGCGTTTATTTATCTGTCTCAAGACACTCAGCGATGTGGCAGCAGAACAGATGGTACCTAACTAACCATGATATACAACTGCACTGAGTGCTGGCGTGGAGGGACCAGGTGAATTCTGCGGGGTCTGTCAGGGTGGGGCCACCTCCCAGCAGGCTTCACGCGAGAGGTGACCACTGAACTAAGCGGTGAATGACAAAGAGAATTCAGCCAGACAAAGATGAAGGCAGCAGCCAGGGGACAGCACGATTCAAAGCACAGAGAAAATTTACAGGAGCAGAACTGAGGGGCTTCAGTCAGTTCAGTATTTGACATTTAAGAATGAAAAGAAAGGAAAGGTGCAGAAAGAGGCGTGGAAGAGAGAGAGGCAGTCATGGTATTGAAAAACAGTTCACTTAAAAGTTTGGGCTACAGGTGGGGAGGGGCTCTAGACTCATCTTGCAGGCTCACACCAAAAGTTTTTAAGTCACATGAAAGTAAGACCTCTTGCAAGGGTGTGAAAGAGACTGAAGTGCGGTAGGGCTTCACACGTTTTTCTCGCAGTGCAGATGAGTGTGGAGGACAGTTTGATGCAAGGCAAGGGGCTCGGAGCCGGCAGAGGAAGGTGTTTAGAACTGGGACCATTTGGGATTGTTGGTTTCGAGTCGCACTTTCTGTAAGGGCAACAGTGCCATGAAGACGGACGCCAACAGAGCTGATGTGGGAGAAAGGAGAAGTTTGCATGTTACGGTGTATTTAGGATCCTGCTAGAAATCTGTGTTGAGCAGTCAGAGTTGGTAGGTGGTGCTGGGGAGACTGAATGGGGCTGTAACGAGGCTGTGAATGTTTCTGTAGGACCATGACACAGGATTTGTGGAAGAAAAAACAGCATTCAGTTAAAACAGTTCCAAGCATAGCTGCATATGGTGTCACACACCTGTAATCCTACACTCAACAAGGCTGAGGCAGAGGCCACCCTGGACTCCATAGTGAGTTCAAGGCCAGCCTAAATGAGATAGCAACACCCTGTCATGAAGAACAACAACGAAAAAACCAGTTCCAAGGAAAAAGAATTACAAACAAGGTTAACACGACTTCAACTGAGGTAGAACTGAGGTTGCCGAACATGGTGAGGTAGAAATTTTTAAGAAAAGTGAAAACCCTTTCCTCTAAGATATAACTGTTGTTACCCTATGTCTTTCCAATTACTTTTCTGTGTAAAAAATATGTTAACAGTTTACATCATTCTAGATATATACATGTATTTCCTCTGTGCATTATATTATGTTACTACATTTTCTCATAAATGTCTTTTTTTGGAAATAAATAAGACAAATGTCTTTACAGCAATATTTAGAAGCAGGGACATACATTGTGTTGGAGATTGAGCTGGACAAAGCCTTGGTTCCCAAACGATTGCCAGAGGAGCTAGCCGGAAGGTATGGAGCAGTGGTTCTCATAAAAACAGTTTTGGTCAAAACAAGAAGTTGGTTTGTTCCCACAAATGTAATTTCCCCAAGCTAAGCAACAGTTTTCAGTTGTTGCTGCTGTTGTTTTTAGATGGAATTTCTTTCCTTATTGTAGTTTCCTTATTACAAAAGCATTATATGCTCGCTATAAATTTTTTTAAGAAAATAAAGATGGACCAGAGAGTATAAAAACACCCAGATTTATACTCATCTAGTGATAAACACTTTAAACATCTTCATGTGTATCCTTCTGAAGTTTTTTTTTTTTTTTTTTTTTTTTTTGTCTTTTTCCTTTTTATCGGTACCGTGGATCAAACTCACGACTGCCTGCTTGCAAGGCAGATGCTTATGCCACTGAGCTAAATCTCCAGCCCCTTCTGAAGTTATTTTAAAGCCACTGGATTATAACACACATTCTCTGTTTGTTTCTCTCAGACACACACACACACACACACACACACACACACACACGAAGTCACACACACATATATGTAATTCTTTTTTCTTCTTTGTGGTGCTGAGATCGAACCCAGGGCCTTGTGCACACAAATGATTTACCACCAACCCCTGTATGTGTAATTCTTAAAAAACTTTTTTATATTGTACCATCCTGCTTTGCTTTACTTGTGTAACTAGAAAGTTGTGTATCACATCTAGGTTAACCAGTTGGTTGGCATACAGTGATTCAAAGTATTCTTTTATCCCTTTTCTCACAGTAGAATTGGCAGTAATGTACCCATTTTTATTTCTAATCTTAGAAATTTGAGTCTTCTCACCTTTAATCTTCTAAAGGTTTGTAAATTTTGTTGGCCCATTTTTTTCTTAATCGGTACCGGGGATCGAACTCACGACTGCCTGCTTGCAAGGCAGGCGCTTATGCCGCTGAGCTAAATCCCCAGCCCCTTTGTTGGCCTTTTTAATGGTCAAATATGTACACTTAAATTTTTTTTCTATTCCCTTTTTTGTCTTGACTCAGTTAATTTTATAATGAAAGAAATACAAATTGAGGGCTGGAGATTTAGCTCAGTAGGCATAAGTACCTGCCTGACAAGCATGAGGTCATGAGTTTAATCTGTGGTACCAAAAAAAAAAAAAAAAAAAAAAAAAACCAAACGGGAAATGCAATTAAAATTACCCTGAAGTACCTTGTTTTTACATTACTTTATATCATAAAGGTTTAATAACTCATTCTAGTTTTTTTTTTTTTGGCATGGGGGAATCCAACTCAGGACTTTGTACTTGCTGGGCAGGCAGTTATGCCACTGAGCTACATCCCTGGCTCATTCTGTTGTTGAGGAGGATGTTTGGAAATAGGCCCTCTGTTGCAAACTAGGGGAGAATAAAGTAGCAAAACTCTATGGGAGAGCAATTTGATAATTGCTTTTTAAATAGGAATTCATAGCTGGGTGTGGTAGCGCATGCCTGTAATTCCAGCACTCAGGAGGCTTAAGCAAGAGGATGATTGCGAGTTCAAGGCCAGCCTGGACTACACAGTGGGCTCAAGGCCAGCTTGAACTGCATAGTAAGACCCTGTGTCAAAAAGGCTAAATAAATAAATATTTTAAAAAATAGAAATTCATGAGTCTTTTTTAACCCTTTTTCCTGGTAACTCACTTCCAATAGTTTATTTCCATAGGTTGGCTCTGGAGTGTACCCCAGAAGCTATTCCTTATGCATGTCAGGTATATTTTCTTTTGTTTTTTCATTCAGGGTTTGACTATACAGTTCAGGTTGGCCTTTAACTCACTGTGTAGCCCTGGATGGCCTCAAACTCCCAGCAATCCTCTTGGCTCAACCTCTGGAGTGCTGGGATTACAGGTGTGCACCACCCACCCAGCCAGTTAGGCGTGTTCTCACAGGGGACCTTGGCACTTGCTATCCAATGCCTGATATGCTTTGTTTCCTTGCTTGTTTGAGACAGGATCTCGCTCTGTAGCGGAGGCTGGCCTGGAGCTGACTATTAGCCCAGGCTGGCCTTAACCTCACAGCAGTCTCCCTGCCTCAGCGTCTCTAGCGTTGGATCTGCAGGCATGTGGCACCAAGTCTGCCTGCCTGATGCATTCTGACCCTTTAGTATCTTCTTCACTTCTCTGTGTCTTTCCTCGAATGTTATCACCTCAGCGAAGCCTTTCTTGGCCCTTTCTTGGTTAATATACTGTGCCATTCTGTGCCCTCCGAACCCCACTGAGATTCACTGGCTTGCTGAGCTGTTTTTCTCTGAGGTACATATTACTAGCATACTTGTCTTAATTATTTATCTCATTTATTGTCTTTCCTTCCCTTTTAGAATATAAGCTCCACGAGGGGAAGAGTTTTTGTCTATTTTGCTTAATATTCTATGCTTAAAACTAGAAACCCATATAATGGACAAGAGGTACTCAGTATATTTGTTAGGCACTTTGTATATATTTTCTGCAGAATATAGAACATTTTTTTCTGGAGTAAAAATTGGGAGTTTAGGAAACAAAGTTAAAGGAGATAATTTCCTTTTTATACTTTTAAATCTTGAATCATGTAAATGTATCACCTATCAAAATAAATTATATTAAAATTACTGTGAACAGGGGCATATAATTTTATAAAAAGTTGAATTTGTATGTTTGCCTGTGGACTTGAGGGCAGGACAGTGTACTCTAGCAGAATCTGGTCAGGGGTGTAGCTCAGCGGCTCAGCACCTGTCTGAGCTCAATTCTCAATGCCAGAAAAAGGAAAGAAAGAACCTAAAAGTTCAGGGAAAAGAGCAGTAACTTTTTCTGGCAGATTCTTGGCTAGGTTTCCTCAAAATGGAAGGTAAAAGTTTTGCATCAGCAATTTGATGATAACAGAATGTGTTCTTAACCTTAAAATTTGACATTGTTGTAATTGTTGTACTTCTGCAAACCATAAGCAAGAGTATACTTATCCTAGATGGAGAATGAACAAAAGCTTTTACTCGCTGATGCCCAGATTTCTGAATCTTTAGAGACTTAACTAAATGCCCCCCAAATCACGAAACTCATTGTCTTCCAACCCCTAGGCAAGCCGTGACTTGTGCATAGTGACAATTTTTTAAAAGATGAAAAGGCAAAGCTGGGGCTCAAAGAGCGAAAACTCCACTTAGATGTGCTCTGAGTAGCTGCTCCCTGACTGCTCCCTGATTAGCTGATCCGGACTAATCACGCGCTGGGGTTTTCATGAGGGAGCAGCGGGGAGGCGGCCTCAGTTTCCTCCACCCAGGTGGATCTAGAGAACAAATTGGCAGAGAATACATTTTTATAAATTTTAAATATGTTTTTTTCTGATTCAGGGTCAAGGAAATGATTCCTCCAAGGCCGCCTCTTACCCGTCGGACGGGAGGGGCGCAGAAGGCAAGTGTGAGACACAGTGGAAGTGTGGGTGCTGAGAATCCAGGGCGTACATTTGAAGTTGGCGTGGACCCTTCAGTTTGTCTTCCAGGAGGAGTGAAAACTCGCCCGAAGCTGTACTGTTTTCATTCTGGGTTCCATTTGTGATCAGGAGTGTGCAGTGAGCATCCTACAGTATTTAATCTGTGGCTGGTGGCTTCTGAGCTAGGAAGGAAAGGGCAGTTTTTATCTAAAGTGCTGTTGAACCTAAACCTAACTCACTTTTAGACTTCCTCTGCATAGTCTTGACCACTTGGGGGCCTCTTTCTCAGATGCTTTGTGTTATTTTAGGCCGTAAGTGACTACCACACACAGATCAAGAACATTTCTAGAGCAATTCTAGATGAATACCATAAGATGTTTGGAACACAGGCGGCCAAACTAGGGTGTGACATAGACAGCGAAACCCTGGAGGAGCAGAAGTGCCAGCTCAACTATGAGCTTAATTGCTCTGGAAAATACTTTGCTTTCAAAGAACAACTCAAGGTAAGACATTTATATATTTAATTACTGTCTGGGATTGTAGGAAGCACCTTTTCTACCTATCCATTTAACATTTTTTTCCTCTGATTATCTTCAGCTACATTCTCTGTGACAGATTATTAATAAGAGCTCTACTCCTGCAGTTTTGGATTGGCTTAGTATCCATTCTGAGTGTGAATTTGTCAGAAATTAAATTTAACTTGATTAATTTTCACAGGCTAGATTTTGAATCAGTTTTCATGTTGCTGTAGGAGGCAGAAACTGTGTTATTGATTTTTTTTTTGTCTTTTTCGTTTTTATCAGTACCAGGGATCGAACTCATGACTGCCTGCTTGCAAGGCAGGCGCGTATGCCGCTGAGCTAAATTCCTAGCCCCCTGTTACTGATTTTGTAAATCTCTCTTTTTTTTTTTTTTGTACCAGGAATCAAACTCAGAACCTCGCGCTTGCCAGGCAGGCACTTGTACTGCTGAGCTAAATCCCCAGCCCTTTTGTAAATCTTTATTTCTACCTAGTATGCAGAATCATTAAGATTTGAGAAATAGTTACTTAATAATAATTTCTTAGGTAATAGTACTGGCTATCATTTATTGAATGTTTTCTATGTCAGATAAATTTGTAAAAGCTTCATATTTTACTAATTTAATAATCATAACAACCTTATGAGATAGGTGCTCTCCATTTCCCATTTTACAGATGGGGAAATGCAAAATTAGTTGTTTAATTTGCCCAAGGTTAGACAGTGAAGATCAAAGACAGGGATTCAAATTCAGGCAACCTGGCTCCAGAATTGCTGTACTACTCTGCCTCTCTATGGGCATTAACTGTGTGCCCTGTTCTTTAGAAAACAGGGAGAGGGGCTGGGGATTTAGCTCAGCGGCATAAGCACCTGCCTTGCAAGCAGGCAGTCTTGAGTTCGATCCCCGGTACCGATAAAAAGGAAAAAGACAAAAAAAAAAAAAAAAAAAAAAAAAGAAAAAGAAAACAGGGATAAAGGAGACAGTGGGGAACAAGTGAAAAACTCAAAAGACAAGAGGGTATTGTCAGTAGGTAGTATTGTCACCCTTCAGTTTGATTCCTGGTTTTGCCTTTACTAAGTCGGTGACATTGGGCACATAGCTATCTCTCTGCCTCAATTTCTTGACCTAACAGGGAGGGCTAATATTAATATTATGTCACTGAATAATTATGAGAGTAAAATAATATGATGCATGGAAAATGCTTAGGATAAAACTTGGCAATAATAGTTAGGGAGGAAAAGAGTGACGAAGCTGCCTGGTTGTAACAATGTGCTATGTTTATGCTTTATATATTCTAAGAACCCTCAGTAGACTCCTGAGACTATGTTTGTACGAAACTCTATGTATACATTGTTTTTTTCTGTATCTACATGTCTACATAGGTATACATACCTTTGAGAAACCCATTTTTTCATTTAAAGAAAGTACTTTGTCTTCTCTTTCGAATATCCAAATTGTTACTTCACTATTCTTATGCTTTGCAGTCATTGTTAAGTAAAATAAAAACTGTTAGAAGTAGGAACTGTGGTACCGTGACAGTCATCCTGGTAACAAGGTGACTGGCAGGTGGTTAATGGGTGGTATAGCTTGGAAATGCTGGACGGCGTGGTTCACATCTGTGGTGGATGGAGCAGGCAGCGGGAGATTTTGTCATGCTACTCAGGGTGGGACACAACTTAAAATAGCTATTATTTAGTTCTGAAATTTTCTACATAATATTTTCAGATGGCAGTGGACCATGGATGACTGAAACGGTGGATAAGGAGTACTATGAAGCATTGCAAGCTTCTGTTTTCTCCTTTTGGCTTTTAAGTTATCTTCTAAAATAAGATAATAGTACTAAAGCTACATATTCACTTAACAGATGAGGAGACAGAGGCACCAGACTGCAGAGTAATTTATGCAATTGTATAGTGGTAGCATTAGAACCAGAACTGCATTCTCTGGGCTTTCAGACGGGGCTGTCTCCCTGGACGTGGTCACTATGACAGACATAATGTGTCAACATAATTGAGGGTTTTCTTTAGCTATCTGACTCTTTTTGCAGGGTGTGAATCCTGTACTACCCTTTTCCTTGATGGCAGCATCAAGGAAGAAACCCATAGAGCATGTTGCTTGAGGGAACATCAGAGACCTGGAGAACTTAATCACTGTCTGGTTTTGATGAGCCTTACACCCAAGGTCCTGACCTGTGCTTCAGCGTGGTGCTGGTCCTGTTACTAATGGAAGGGAAATGGGTATGTCTTGCAGCACGCTGTGGTAAAGATTGTGAGAGAGAAATATCTGAAGACAACATCATTTGAAAGTCAGGAGGAACTACAGACATTTATCAGTGAACTTTATGTGTTCTTGGTAGACCAGATGCATGTGGCCCTAAACCAGGTAGGTGAACTGAGAGCTTTTAATTTTTCTATGTAGAGCATCAGGGTCTCCCTTGAGTTGCTACTTTCTTTCTTTTACTTAAAAAAAATTTTATCAAGGCATCTGCTCGTGCTAGGCACTGAAAACACAAAGATGAATAAGAACTACCTCAAGTATAAGATTAATTTGCGGAGAACCATGGTTATGATCTTTCAATTTCCTATAAAAGTTAATTTTGTAACTTGCAAAAATGTGATGCAATTTTCAGAAAAGATAAGATAGGTGTTGGAAATTGGGAAACAAAAACCATTATTTGTTCTGTGAAGGTTTCACAATTCTGAATTTTTTATTCAAGAGGATAAAAACAAATGATGAGTAGTTTTCAGTCTTACATGTTTTATGTGGTTTTTTGGCTATTTATCTAGTTTTCAATCTGTATATATAATAAGTAACTTTGTGAGACTTTATAAGATAAGTAAATCTGAGGCTGGAAAAATAAAAGTGGATGAAAAGAGGGGAGATAAAGAAAAGGATTAAAATGTGTTATGTACACTTACCAATCCCTTACCTAGAATGTGGTCATTATGTATTGCAAACATGTACCAATAAAAGTGAAAAAATTACGTGTTCATGTGCTCTATCTAAATGACAGTGGCACTTCAGATGTGCTTTTCCTATGACTGCTGGTTGGATTCCTCCTGGTGGTCTCTTGGCTTCTGTATTTGCAGCTCCTGTCTTGCCTTCATCTGCTGTTTTGTATGCATTCAGTTATGGTTTATTTGAAAGCAGTGGCAAAATTAGTCTTTGTACCCTGGTGGCCTCTGACAGCTGGGCCTCCTCAAGGCCTCTGTTCGCTCTGTTTATTCCTTCCGTGTTGTCCCTCCCACCCCATCAACGACCTGGAAGAGGAGGGCAGGAGTGTCCATTACTGGGGGGCTCAATGGACAGGCCTGCCTTGGGCACGAACGACATCAATGATTCGATTTGGAGACCAACTGAGAGTTGAGCATGGTTGGGAAATTGCTGCTGTCTCCAATCCTGAAGAATCCTTGCCTAGTGAAGGAGGCAGACGTAAAATAAAAATCGTAATAGAATGTGATAAAGGCATGACAGGGACATGGCTGTTAGAGCGCAGGTTAGGGTTATCTAAGAAAAAGCGACCAGTTTTACACTGGGATTCTTAGAGGACTCACAGAGGAGCTGTGCTGTAAGCTGGGCCTTCAAAGACGAGTAGAAATTCTTTTTCAGGCTGGAGATTTAACTTAGCAACATAAGCACCTGCCTTGCAAGCAGGCAGTCGTGAGTTCGATCCCCGGTACCGATAAAAATGAAAAAGACAAAAAAAAAAAAAAAAAAAGAAATTCTTCTCCAGGTGAATGTTTCAGAGCAGTGAATCCCAGGGAGCACTGCGGAGGAGGAGGAGCTTGGGAGAAGCTGGCCTGTACAGGTCCTGCAGAGAGTTCAGGAGCAGAGCTGAGGTTGTGGGGGCTGGAGAATCAAGAGATGAAGAGGGAGAGGGAAGGAGGCCCTGTGTGCTATATGTCTGACTTTTCTCACTAGCACTTGAGGGCAATAAATTGAACTGTTTTACACTGAGGAATATCATGATCGGGTTTACATTTTATGTTTAAAAAAACCCAGTCCAGGGGCTGGGGATTTAGCTCAGCAGCATAAGCGCCTGCCTTGCAAGCAGGCAGTCGTGAGTTCGATCCCTGGTACCGATAAAAAGGAAAAAGACAAAAACAAAACAAAACAAAACAAGAAACCCAGTCCAGTGGTCTTATTGGAGGATAGATTAGAGATGGTGAAACTAATGTCAGCTGTTACTGCATAACAAAGACGGGTTCCTAAGTTTAATGTTCAACAACTAGGCTAGTGATACCAACATTAACCAGAACAAGGAATGCACATGGAGTGAAACTTCTGGGTGCAGGTGATATGGAATCAGATTTGGACATTAGCCACCGTGGGGTTTTTCCTCAGGGGAGACAGAGCTGAGCTAGAGGTGAGATTTGGGGAGCCACAATCATAGATGAAGCTGCCTGAGAAAAACACAAGGAAAGAAGTGAGCCGATGTTAGAACCCTAGGGAACACCAACATCACTGGGATGGATGGATGGGTGGAAGAATAGAGGAAGGAGACAAATGGAATTGTTAAGAAGGCAAAAGAATCAAAAGACATTAATGCTACAGGAATCAAGGGGAGAATTGTATGAAAAAATGTCAACATTAAATACCCCTAGGGAATTCAAGAAAAACAAAATCTGTGACGCTTTCATTGGGTTTGGCAATAAGGAAGTTATTTTTCATCTCTACACAGCAATTTCATTGGGCTAATGTGGGAGGACTCAAATTAGAATGCAGTGAGAAGCAGACATATGATTAGGAAATGTATAAATATAGATTCAACAAGTTGGATGAAGAAAAAATAGAAAAATGGAAACTTGAAACTCTGGGAATTTCCTTTCTGGGGTTGGAAAACTTGGAGCACTTCGACGGGTTTGGGGCTAGGGGTCAGTGTGCTGGAGAGAAGTTGAACATTGGGAAGGAGAGGAGGGGAGATAAGCCGCAGCCAGCTTGGGCTACAGCACAGAAAAAAGAACTGACTCGAGGGTGAGCCTTAAAGCACAGAAGTGGGCAGTGCTTTTTGCTTCCAGACAGAAAGCAAAGAGACACACAGATGCAGAAACAACTTAGATGTGGAGTTAAAAGGTTTTGAGTGTTTTTTGCCTAATGTGAAGTAAAGTCTTTATTGAAATGAAGGGAATAAAGGTTGAATGAAAAGCTTGGAGAAGAAAATGTAGATACGGCATTGCATTATGGAAAACACAGCTAAACAAGGGCCAAGACGCAGAGGATGGAGAGGGTACCAAACGTCTTCAGCTAGGAGGAAGGCCTCAGAGGCTGTGCAGGCTTGGGTGTCTCTGTGTCTAAGCCAATCTTTCTTAGAACCGGTTAGCTTCACCTGTTCAGGAATGAAGTCAGACTGTACAATTGCTTTACTTGGGGAGTTTTCAAGATGAGGATGCCTGAGGCTTGGGTATCCTCGTGAGAGAGTAGTATGGGCAGGTAATCACCAGGTCCAGGCTGATGCATTTGGGAAATCATGGGCTTTGGAGAGTGAAGGAAATAAAGTCAGAGAGCTGTTTTACATGCACTACATGACAAAATAGTGGGAGATTTGGCATGTGTTTTTCAGGGAATGCGGTATTACATAGAGGTAGAGAATTTCTGGTATTGGGGTAGAACTGTTGCCAGAGGCACTTAGGAGTCATCGTCATCAAAACTAAAAAAAAAACAAACAAAGGCATTAGTCACTTAGCAGCACTCTGGCTCATCTCAAATTTGACTTTACTGTCCCCATTGTTAGCAACTGTCTGGTATCATTTTTATTTAAAAATGTTATTAGTACATACTTGTACTATTGATCACACTCAATCATCTTTCTTTCTCTCTCTTTCTTTTCTTTCTTCCTTCCTTCCTTTCCTTTTGAGGCAGAGTCTCGCTATATAGTGCAGAGCTGGCCTTGAACTCACTTATGTAGCCCATGCAGGCCTCCAACTCACAGCTAGTCCTCCTGATCCTGGGATTACAGGTGTGCGCCCTGATACCCAGTTCTTTATTTTTAGTTAAAGAATATCAAGTCTTCCTGACAGATCACACCTGATTCAGGAGATTATTGATTACACCAGACTTTTCCAATCTGGGTATATATCTTTTTTTGGTTTTCCTCATACTCTTCGGGTTTTTTTTTTATAAAATATATCTTTTTGTAGGATCAATCTGGATGCCTCACTGAAGGTATAAATTTAGATTTCAAGGTTTCATTTTTAGTTTCTCATTTTCTCCATGTTTAAAGACTGTAAACTGGGTGAGGTGTCAGTAATCCTAGCACCTGAAGCTGAGACATGATTTCAGTTTGAGGCCAACCTGGGCTACGGAGTGAGTTCAAGGCCAGCCTGAACTATACAAAAGACTAAAAAAAAAAAAAAACAAAAAACTGAAAAATAAATAAATATCCAGGTGTTCCCAACTTTTTCAAGTCACAGCACCTGAAAAATAGTAGTATTTGTCCTATACTTGGGAGAACGTGGTGGAAGCTGTTTGGGGTCAGAGACAACTTATAGAGGGACTCAGGCTGCTTTCAAGTTGGAGAGTTGTTTCTGTGTTTACAATTTTTATTCACTTCCATGAGCTCAGATTTTTGTTATTCAAATATCTGAGCTTCTGTTTTACCCTTGATACTTGTCTCTTGGTTCTCTCTGATTGTCTTACTTTAACACCAAGGTTGTAAGAAACTTCTGTATCATCTTCGATGTTTGACTGATTGCATATTTGGTTTATTTTCACAAACCTGTCTCTTAGTAATTTCTTCGTTTTGTTTGCTTATGGCTTTGTCATTGACAAGATCATGCTGGATGACATCCAAGGCTCCACTGTAACCATCCCTAGTAGCAATGAACAGCTTCGGCTCTTTGCCTTTGAAGCAGAAGTCAATGAGAACTTTGACATGGCAGCAGTGTACTATGAAGAGGTAAACATCTTCTCAGGGCTTGTTTTTCCTATTATTTGTGAAATATAAGTACAATGAATAGTAATTTTGATTATTGAAAATCAAACTTGATTGATGAAATAATACATACATAAGTACAGATGTCAGTAGAACACAGTTCAAAAATAGGCCATACAACTGAGGTCATTTGCCTTTTGATAAAGGTATACAAGAAATTTAGTGGTGGGGGGTGCCTGCCTGGTAAGCACGAGGTCCTGAGTTCAATCCCTGGTACCAAAATAATAATAATAATAACAATAATTTTAAAAAAATTTAGAGGTGACAAGATATATCGTCTTTCCAACAAATTGTGTAGAATAGTGAGTCTTATATATGCAAAATAAATGAGCCTTAACCTAACCTTACACATTTTACAAAAATCAACTCCAAATGGATAATAAATCTAAATGTAAAACATGAAGCTATAAAACTTTGAGAAGAAATATGGGAGAATATTTTCTTGACCTAGAGTTAGAGTTCTTAGGAGAACAAAGGCCAAAGAAAAACGTGCTAAATAGAACTTCATCAAAATAAAACAAATTTAAAAAATTAAAACTCAAGAGGCTGGGGATTTAGCTCAGCGGCATAAGCGCCTGCCTTGCAAGCAGGCAGTTGTGAGTTCGATCCCTGGTACCGATAAAAAGGAAAAAGACAAAAACAAAAAACAAAAAACAAAAAAAACAAAAAAACTTGTGCCCCATAAATGACAGAGAAAGAAAAACATAGAAGAAAATATTTGTAAGACATACCTGATAAAAGAATTGCATCTAGGTTATAAAGAGCCCTCAAAAAACAGCATCTGTATGTGTAATGTATGTGTGCTGGCCCCCTGTGAGGAAGGTAATCATTACGTGCTACAAAAATGTACTAACAAAAAATAAAATTTGAAAATAAGTTTAAAAAAACGGTGCATAAGCATTTTTGCACTACCTATTTTTTTTGTCTTTTTTCTTTTTATCGGTACTGGGATTGAACTCACGACTGCCTGCTTGCAAGGCAGGCGCTTATGCCACTGAGCTAAATCCCCAGCCCCATACCTATTTTTAGTTATTTAGGTTATATATCAAAGAATGAAATTTCTGGAATGTATGGTAAACCTGTGTTTGTAAGGATTTTTATTGGGCTCTTATGTGGATTTACTGTACATGTAGATTGCTTTCAGTAGTATTGACATCTTAACAATATTAAATCATGATGATGAAGTGTCTTTCTATTCTTTTATGTCTTCTTTAATTTCTTTACCCAATATTTGTAGTTTTCACTTACGAAGAGCTCCTTCCTCCCACCCCAGGTTGTAGATAAACTCATAATTGCCATTTAGAAATTATTATATGTACCTGCTGAGACACAAAGTGAAATTTTAGGCTGTCAAAGTATGGAATGAATTATGAGTGACCACATATTGAAAAGAAATGGCTCTTTTTAAATTATGTTTGAAAGTCTGGCCACTTTCTAAAAACTGGAAATTGTGCTAGGCTTGTGGGATTTCAGGGTAAGCAAAAAGAAGTCCTGGCCTCTTGCTTTCATGGAACTCAGAGTATCTGTCTAGGGCCTGCTGTGTGATGTTACATGTGCAAAAAGCTGGACGCAGAGCTGCAGTAACCTTGGCCCTCCTGGTGTTTTGTGTGCCTAGAGGTTGGTCCGTGAGCCCCAGAACCTGGAGCACTGGCTGGATTATGGTGCTTTTTGCCTCCTAACTGAAGACAACATCAAAGCACAAGAGTGTTTTCGGAAAGCTCTGTCTTTGAATGAGAATCATATCCACAGGTAGAGGCAGAAGGGAGATTAGACTCTGTAGAAGCAGATAAATTTCTACATGAAATTATCCTGCTTCCGTGAATATGGCACAGGCCCATGCTGTTAACCATGTTAGCTGTCTCTTCTCAGCCTGTTGCTGTGTGGTGTGCTCGCTGTCTTGATGGAGAATTACGAGCAAGCAGAAATTTTCTTTGAGGATGCCACTTGCTTGGATCCAGCCAATGTTGTAGCCTGGACTCTACTGGGTATGTTACTTTCCTGTGATACCAAAGCAGTGTTTTCCATTATAAGGCTGTCCCTTCTCCTGTATTTGGGAGGATGAGGAAAGAGGATTGTGATGCGTTCAAGGCCAGCCCGGGCTACCTAGTGAGACCCTATCTCAAAACAAACAGACAGACAAAAAAGACTTTTCTACTCTTCAATGGTTGATAATGTGGTTTCTTCAATTTTGGGGAAAATAATGAAATGCTACAAAAATTCATTATATGAGCATAGAATACTGGTCATATGTCTTTCGATGTTTTTCTTTCCTCAGGTTTATACTATGAAATTCAAAACAATGATATTCGAATGGAAATGGCGTTTCATGAGGCCTCTAAACAGCTTCAGGCACAAATGTTTCAAGCACAGTTAACAAAGCAAAAGAGCATTGGTACCATCGAGGACACTGAAGAAGGAAAGAAAATAGAACCTAATTCAACCACCCGGGGAAGCATGAAGGATCCTTCGGTCACGATCCTCAAGATGGAAGCCCCACAAGGTAGAAACGGGGAGTGCAGATGGTGGGTGTCTGTTGGGAAACTTACTGGCCTTTTGAGTAGGACCTGGCACAAAGTAGGCACTAAGTAAATATTTATTAAATGCATGAGCACTACAGTTATTTTGGGAATATCATGGCAGACTTCTAAGTATTTCCTTAAACCATGCGGGGTGGCTCACACCTGTAATCCCAGCACTCAGGAGGTTGAGGTGAGTTTGAGACCAGCCTGGACTACAAAGTGAATTCAAGGCCAGCCTGAACTGCATAGTGAGGCCCTGTCTCAAAAAGACTAAATAAATAAATAAACATTTCTTTATTCAGAAGATTAGTGATCTGAAACTTCAGTTGATGTTGTTATTTGACAATTATAGAATTTACCATCCTCTTTAGTATACCTTAAAAAGGGATACCATTCTAGAATGATTTTCTTTTCCCCTCTCCTTGGATAAGTTCTGCCTCATAATTCTTAAATTTATTGTTTGTTTATGCACACCTTCTTATCTGTTTTTCATTGGCATTCTTTTTTCCTCTACTTTAGGAAATCACTCATTTGCATATATGTAATATGTGTGCTTTTTTAGTGTGCTTCTTGCATATGTGCATTATTACTGTGTGCATGCATTTTAAAGTTTGAGGTATGAGCTGCACCTACTTCAGTATTTAATTTAATACATTTTGACACATGGACCCATTCATGAAAACATCACAGTTAAGATAACAAATACTGGGGTTGGAGGTTTAGCTCAGCGGCATAAGCGCCTGCCTTGCAAGCAGGCAGTCGTGAGTTCGATCCTGGTACCGATAAAAAGGAAAAAGACAAAAAAAAAAAAAAAAAAAAAAAAGATAATGAATACTGAACTCCCTTCCTGGTAAGCGGCCCTGGTGCGAACCAGGAAGAAAACCAGCCAGCGTCTCCCATGAGCCTGCCTACGCAAGCTGAGAATCAAACATCCCATCCTCCCTCTCCCACCCCATTAGCAACTGGGAGCCAGAGGTCTGAGCATCTCTTGGGAGGATGACCTATGCAATATAGCGAATATGGGGGATTTCCTTCTTTTTTCTGTTTGAATGAAATGTTGTTTTCACTGTTTTGCTTTGTTCTGATTAAGTGTTTTGCTCTATTCAGTATTCTCTTTTGATTGGTTTTATAATGTTCTGTTTTGATTTCGCTATACATGATTGAATGGACAACTATTGTGAAGATAACGAGATATACTACGGTGCCTATTACTGTTATCCTGGTATCCTGCTCTGAAGTTCTGTACCAATTTCCCCGCATTGTCTCAATTGGCTTTGTTCTGGGGTATTTTACTACCTTCAAAAAAAAAAAAAAAAAACAAACCAAAAAAAAGATAACGAATACTTCCCTGGGCCCAGTTCTGTCTTTGTCTTGTTCGCTTTTCAAGATGACCACTAATCTGCTGTCACTAAAGATGAATTTGCCATTTCTAGTGCTTTTTAGAATTTCTAGAATAGAATTACACAGCATATACTTTTGTTTTTTTAATCGGTACCGGGGATCAAACTCATGACCACCAAGGCAGGTGCTTATACGGCCGAGCTAAATCTCCAGCCCTTGCTTGCCTTTTTTCATTGAGCATAGATTCACCTATACTATTGCTTATGTCACTGATCCCTTTTTATTGTTATGCTGCATCCACTTGAATAGATATAACACAATTTGTTTATTCACCTATTCTTGGATATTTGGGTTTTGTGGAGGGAGATTATTGAAATATAGCCACCCTGGACATCAGTCTATAAGTTTGTACGTGGATATGCTTTCATTTCTCTTGGGTAAATTATCTAGGGATTAAATGGGTTATTTACCAAAGTGATTTTAATTTTCTAAATATTTGGGGTTTTTTTCCCCCTAGATATCTTTGTTTTATGTTTCTAATTTAATGTTATTGTGGTTAGGAAATATACTTTGAACATTTTAAAATTATTGAAACTTGCTTCATGGCTCAGCATGTGGTCTTAGCAAACATTCTGTACACACGTGGAGACGTACTCCATTCTTGATGGGTAAAATGGTTTGTAGATGTCACCTAGGTCTAGTTAGCTGATTTTGTCATTTAATTTTATATCTTTTATAGTTTTTACCTCTGAGATTTTGTTTGAGTAGTTCTTTTCTCTTCAAGTAACTGTATAATAGTTTCACATTTAGCTCTTTAGTCTAGAGGGACTCTATTTTCGGATACGATAGTAGGCTGAAGTCCAGTTTTTTTTCTCTCTAGACATAGTGTTCTCAACATTAATTACTGAACAACCGTTATTTCCTTTTTGATTGAAGGTATAGAACTTAAACTTTGAACTCTTCATTCTGCTATAGTTATATAAATATAAAAAAAGAGTGTGACATATATACTCTTTTACTGTTTTGATTTTAGAGTATGCCTTAATATCTGGTTCCCCACCTAATTACTTTTTGTTTTGTAGCTTTCTCAGCTACTCATGGGCCATTATTCTTCCATAAAGATTTTATAGTATATTTATCAAGTATATGTTCAAATATAGCAGAAATTTTTATTTGGACTATATTTAAATTACAGGTTAATTTAGGGATAATTAATGATTTTATATTAGTAAGCTAGCCAACTTAAGCTTGTAGAAAGTTTATCCATTTTCTCAGATCATCATCTGTGTTGTTAAAGTTTTAACATTTTCCCCAATGAGACTCTGTTTAAAATAATTTAAAATTGTTCGTAGATTCCATTGCTATCACAGTAGTATATTATTTAACTATGTTTTAGTTATTATTTAACTTTAGTTTTAGTTATTTCGCTTTGGCCTAACTTTTTTTATCAGTACATGTTTGTAGTACATAATGATTACAGCATGGAGAGTTGGTACATGTACATTATACATCTTCATTGGTTCTTTAATTCCCTTTCCCTCTCCCCCTATCTCTTGTTCTTCTTCAAATTGCAAAACATCTATCTCCATTTTTCTTATTATTGTATTTTATTTTGCTCTTTGTTTATACTTGGATTTCTCCTATGAGAGAAACCATGAGATGTTTAAGCTTGTGCCTCTGATTGATTTCACTTAACATTATTGTCTCAGGATGCATCTATTTTCCTATAAATGACTTGTAGTACTTCATTGTATATAAATACATTTTCTTTTTTAATTTTAATTTTTCTTGGTACACGTTTGCAGTACATAATGATTACATTCATTGTGGGGAGTTGGTACATGTACTTATTTTTGCCAGCATCAGATTTATTTATTTAAATATTTATCAAGTTAATTGTCATAAACAGATACACAGCAAGACTAACAGACCCAAAACACAGAAACAATTATATTGAATCAAGGTACACTTTTTTCCTTTGCTACTGGGGATTGAACTCATGACCATGCGCTTGCTACTGTGCTGCTGAGCTATATCCCTAGCAAGGTACACTTTTTGATACATTGGCCATGCTGGATTACAATAACTTTTTCTCTTCTTTTCTGTATTGTTCGTCTTTTATTTTGTACTTTATATATTGGCTTTCTTGTATAAGAGAAGTGTGTGATAGTTAAACTTGTGTGTTTGATTTACTTCACTTAATATTATGGTCTCAGGGTAACATTATGATCTCAAACAATTAAGATGTATTATGTATCAGTTCCCCATACTGTGATCATTATGTAAAACAAACTAATTAATAAAAAATACATTTAGGCCAAAGAGAGAAATAAAGTAGCAATAACTAAAACTATCGTTGGTCTCACAAACAACTCAAGTTTATCCTTCGTGGCAGAGTAGTACTTTATCATGTATCAGTACCACATTTTCTTTATCCAGTCATCTCTTGATAGACATATAGGCTGTTCCCAAGATTTAGCTATTGTGAATTGTGCAGCTATAAACATGATACATAAACGTGCATCACTGCAATACGATGCCTTTAACTCTTTTGGGAAGATACCTAGAAGGAAGAGAGCTAGGTTATATGGAATTTCTAGTTTTAGTTTTTTGAGGACTCTCCATATTGATTTCTATAATGGCTTCACTAGTTTACATTCCTACCAACAATGTAGGAGGGTTACTTTTCCCCACAGCCTTGCCAGAATTTGTTATTATTTGATTTCTTGATGATGTTCATTCTTTCCAGAGTAAGATGGAATCTCAGTGTTAATCTGCATTTCTCGAATCTTCCGATCCGTAGTCAGACGCGTTATCCATTGCGCCACTGGCCCACCTCTTAATCTGCATTTCTCTACTGACCGGACATGTTGAATATTTTTCCATGTACTTATTAGCCATTTTTTGTTTCTTCTTCTGAGAAGTATCTATTATTTCAGTTTCCCATTTTTTGATTGATCTTTTATTTTGAGGAGTCTAATTTTTTAAGGCTATCAAATAAGTCTGTTCTGCTTGCAGTATTTGGGGAATTTTTCTGGTGCTTTGCAAATCTTAATATCCAAGGTAAGAAAAACTTTCTCTATCAAAATTTTGTCTGTTTAGGACCTGGAGCTGTGTTTTCCACTGTAGAAGAAGTTCCTGAAGATTCTCCCAAACTGCAGTCTGAGTCACAAGAACCCTTAATGACTGGACAATATCAAGATATAAGTATTGGACCCAAACTATCCAGCATGGGTTTCAAGGAGTTACCAGCCAAAAAAGGTGAGTAGATATCAAGATTCCCTCTTGAAAGAGGGGCAAAAGTAAACTAGACAAAGATAAAATTCAGATTATAAAAGTGGAAATCCTAACTTGTTTGAATTCGTATTGACTATGTTCTTTCCAGTTTGCTCCAAAATTCCAAACTCAGTCAATAAATTTATTGTAACTCTTTCAGTAAGCAAGCATTTTATGTTTAATTCATAGAGGTACCCAACAAAACACCTGTCACTTCCTTAATGAGTCTTCATTTGAAGAATACCAATTGTGTTTCATAGTCAAGGGATCTGAATACATTTAGAAGTTTTCCATTTGGTTGGGACTTATCTTTGGCTCCACCAGCAGATTTATTAAGACCTCTGGAGTTCTGTTTGGGGGAGCAGTGCTGGAGACTCCTGTTTTCCACATTATGATCTTATCACATTTTATATCAGAATACTCTGTTGGATACATTAGCATGTCTGAGCTTCTGACATTTTTTCCTTTACATCTGATTTTCTATCCTTTTAATATAATATTTTCAGAGGCATCAAAATGTCAAGATCCGGCACCTTTTCCACATGCTGCCCCACATCTTGGCGTCTCCCAAACTCCTCACAGCATCTTCATGGAGACCATTCGCTTCTTGATGAAAGTCAATGCTGTGCAGGTCAGAATATTTGGGAAAGCAGAGTAAATGGAAATACTTTAGTGATAGTAGTATCTCTGCAATCTTAAACATCTGTGATACAAAAATCAAATATGCTTTTTAATGCTGGAGGTTGAATCCAGGGCCTTGTGCATGCTAAGCAAACCCTTTTCCTGAGCTGCACTCTAGCTCTTTACACATACCTTTAAAAGTACATTTTAAACCTAATGAAAATATCCAGATATGAATTGCTCTGCAGACAGCATCAGCAGATATCACTGCAGGTCTCCTCCATATAGAATACCCACAAAGCAAAGTCAGACTCAAGTCCTATGCATCCTGATACCACTTTCTTATGGGAACTTATATCATCTGAACGTTGTTCATAAGCCAGATCATATCCTCCTTCCCTTCCAGGTATGAGCAGTTGAAAACAGATGGGGGGCTTACATTAATTTTATTGTTAGGACAGTGCTGCAGCCAAGCATGGTGGCACAAGCCTATAATCTTAGCACTCTGGGAGGCTGAGTCAGGAGGATCACAAGTTCAAGCTCAGCCTGGGAAACAGCCACCTGGTAAGAAGACCATGTCTCAAAATAAAAATAAAAAGGCTAGCGATATAGCTTAGTACAAAGACCCTTGGTTCAGTCCTCGGTACTTAAGGGGAAAAAAAACTGGGCTGGAGAATGTCACTGGTCCCACATCTGACTTACCCATGCAGTCACAGGTGGAGCAGCTGGGCATCTGTATGCTGCTCCCAGAGAAGAATGTCCTATGGGTCTGTCTACAGTGTGGGAAACAGACACATGTCCTTGAGCATGCAGGAGAGACAGTGAAGTCCAGGAGCTAAAGGAGTTGGCCCTGATCCTGCAGAGCACAAGTGCCCCTTGAAGGCAGGCAAGCTCAGAAAAATGCAAGACTGAGGATCTGGGTGGGATTGCGCCACATTAAGCAGGACCTGTACACTCTGACCCTTCCCAGTAGCAACAGGTGCTCCTTGCAGTCATGCAGGTCATCATCTGTTAGGTCAGAGAGCCCAAAGGCAGGGAGAGAGCCACTGCAGTCACTGCCCCCAGTATTTTCCTAAAAGGTTTCTACGTCATAGGCTGAGACCGGAACAGACTAGCAAGTACATCCAACTCTGTCTAATTTACAGGCCTTTTAAAGTGTACAAAGCAAAGAATATCCCCCAAAGCAAAACTGTAAGCATAAGTGTTTGGAGGTATGGCAGAAACACGCATTTATGTTTCTAAGATTCTGAGCCTAAGAGTTTTTACAGTGACAGTCATCTGCAAATATTCATGTGCAAGTGGGGTGCAAAATGGGGTGGCTGATGAAGTGCCTTTGTCACTGCACCGTAAACACAATGTGAGACTCACTGAGCACAATAGCAGCAGGCCCAGGACTGTGTTGCGTTTTGTTCACGTGGAAATGTTCCCGTGGGGTGACTAAGTGAATGCCTGGTGACAGGACACGAAGTACGGAATGTAAGTCAGCCGAGCCTTCGGTGCTGAGGGTAGCACTTTCATTCTGTAAGATATTTCTTGTTATTTATTGTTACAGACAGAATCCTTCCACCATGAAAGCTGGGGGGTGAACGCAGGGCCGCCACTTACGTGCTCCTTTCGCTCTGTTCCCTCGCAGTATGTGCACCGAGTGCTTGCGCACGAGCTGTTGTGCCCTCAAGGAGGACCCAGCTGTGAGTATTTCTTGGTTCTGGCCCAGACTCACCTTCTCAAGAAGGACTTTGCCAAGGCGGAGGAATACCTTCAGCAAGCAGCCCAGATGGACTACCTGGTAACAGCTCTCACTAGAGCCTCCTGAGTGGAAGATGGGAAAGTAGGCCTTCCTAAAAGTAGTGGTGCCATGTGGATGAAGAGGCAGGCGGCTCTAACCCCAAGTAGTTACCGGGAAGCTGAGGCAAGAAGATGAACTGAACCCAGGAGTTTGAGGCCAACCTGGGCAGCATAGTGAGACCCCATCTCAAAAACAGAAAAAAGTTGTGGTGCTACATTACAAGTTGATTTCTGATAACCAGGAGCGGGGGTCATCTGTTAAGTCATCTATCTGTTCCCCTCATTTTTTTTCCTTAAGTAATCATGAGTTTTGCAAAAGGCAGAGAAAAGGATCAGGATACATCTTTAGCAGATACTATTCATCAAAATCAAGTTTTCTAGACTTCCCTTTTCTCCTTGTATTAAGTAATGTCATGGTTATTGTCATGTAATGCCATGGAGTATTGTCATGGTTATATTTGAGTGTTTTTCTTGACATTCACCTCAAAGACAAAATGACTTTGAAGAATGCAAGAAAGAAATGAGAGTCAGGTGTGTGGGAGGCTGAGGCTGGAGGATTGCTGCAAGTTTGAGGCCATCCTGGGGCAGTGAATTCAAGGCCAGCCTGAACTGCACAGCAAAACCCTGGCTCAGAAAGACCAAAAAAAAAAAAAAAAAAAAAAAAAAGAAAGAAAGAAGAAGAATTAAGAAAGAAAGCAGACATAGAAAAATATTCCCAGTGCGACTGAATGACCCTCTTTCTGAGTGCTCTTAGAAAAAGGAAATTTCCTGGGGCTGGGGATTTAGCTCAGCGGCATAAGCACCTGCCTTGCAAGCAGGCGGTCATGAGTTCGATCCTTGGTACTGATAAAAATGAAAAAGACAAAAAAAAAAAAGAAAAAGAAAAAGGAAACTTCCTAATCTAAATGTAGTGGTAAATGAAGCCTTTAACCTACTTTTAAAAGCTCATCATTTCATGTACTCATTGTTCTGTGTTTTCTCAGAATCCTGATGTCTGGGGCCTGAAGGGCCATCTCTGTTTTCTGAGTGGAAACCACACTGAGGCCAAGGCATGCTATGAGCGAACCGTTAGTTTCGTAGTGGATGCTTCTGAGATGCACTTCATCTTGCTGCGCCTCGGGCTCATTTATCTGGAAGAGAAAGAGGTAAGGAAGAGAGACTGGCAAGAACCACATAAGTCGGGCCCTGGCCCGGGACCTGATGATAGTCAAGCATTTACATCCATACAAAAAATAGTAACACGGTAATGACATGTTTACATCCAAACTAGAATGACTTATCCAATATCAGATAACCAGTAACTAATGGAAGCTGGATACAGACCCAGCACTGTAAAACCCAAGTTCATAGTGTTGATCATTACACTACTGAAAAGTTATTAAGACTCAATAAATGTTACTTTAGCTAAAATTAATTTTATTAGCAGCAATGGAATTTACTATTTGCAGTACTAGAAACATTCTCATCTTAATTTTAATTTTTTTCTCATCTTGATTAGCAGAGAGCATCATGAGCTCCAAAAAGACTTCTCAAAAAAAAAAAAAAAAGAAAGAAAGAAAGAAAGAAAAAAAGAAAGAAAGAAAAAAGACTTCTCCAAACTTCCTTCTTGGCATAGTTGTATTTAACAGAACTGAGGCCAACCCCAATGCTCAGGGCCCTCTGGCCTGTCCATACCACTTCCATATTTTAGGAAATAGCTACAAAATGAACAAAAAAATTAGACCCATCACTCCACTATAATAATGATCAGCATTCTACTAAAGGTCAGGAAAGATTGTCTTCCTGGTATGGCAAGCTGCAGCTCCACAGCACTCGCTGGCCTCCACAGTCACCAGGCAGGCAGTGCTTAGGCCGTTTGCTGAGGCCCAGCTTCAGGTGCTCTTTCTGTCATACTGGAAAACCAAATATAAGACAAGAAATGATCCTTTTAGGGATACTTTTGAAAGTTAAAAAGAGAGAGAGAGACAAGGTCTTGCTGAGTGCCTTACATTTGTAGTCCCAGCACTTAGAAGGAAGATCACTGGAGCCTGGGGTTTGGAGGCCAGCTGGGCACATAGTGCAATCTTGTCTCAAAAGAAATGAATAAAAGGAGACAAGAGTCTCACTACTGTCTTTTGCCTAAGACGGCCTCCAACTCCTGGGCTCGGAGGCGGGCCCACCGCTTCAGCCCCTAAACCTCTGAGTAGCCTTTAAGACCATGTGTGATAAAGGAACAGACTCTCAGAATGATGAAGCTATGTCAAGAATACTTCAGTCCAGGCATTCAGTGTCCATCATCTCACCACATGATGTCACTGTCAAGTGAAAGGGAATTCCATGAGGTCCAGGAGGAGCTCAGATAATCACAGTGGTTGCCCAGAACTTTCAGTGTAATCCCTTACCTCAAGATTTACAGAGACTGTATGTGTCTTTGGAACTGCTTCCAGATGAGATCTTCCCTTTCATGGGGTCTGTTTATCTCCTCTCCCCAATCTTGCAATAGCTCCCTTAAACTAGATGTAAAATTGCAATCCATAGGGGTCACTTAAGTTGTTCTGAAATGAAACTAGCATGATTTTCATAGTAATAATGTTTGAAGCTTCTAGAACAGTAGCTTTTTCTTTTTATAGTATGAAAAGGCAAAGAAAATCTACCTGCGGGCCTGTAAGAGATCTCCTTCCTGCCTTACCTGGTTGGGACTGGGAATCGCCTGTTACCGGGTAAGTGAATGAAGCCTTGAGGCCAGGCCTGTGCACACAAGTGACTTTGGTTCCTTGATCTTCCAAGCACACTGGGAGTTTGTGATGACAGTGGGATGGCAGTGGGTGTGTTCTGCACTAGTGAAAAGGCAGTCTTCAAAGCTGTTCTTTTTTTGGTACCAGGAATAGAGTCCAGGATCTTGTGCTTGCCAGGTAGGTGCTGTGCCCCTGAGTTATATTCCCAGACCCTCCAAAGACCCTTCTAAACTAGGAAAACAAAATGTCCTTTGAAAATCCTTATCTTGGCATGGTGGTGCAAACTGTGATCCCAGCACTTAGGAAACTAAGGCAGGAGGATTGCCCTGGATACCTGGCCAATGTAGCTATATAGCAAGTTCAAAGCTAGTTTGAAGTATAGTAAGATCCTGTCTCAAAACCAAATCAAACTGAGTAAAATCCTATAAAAACCAGAACCAGGAAGATACATTTTTAAAAAATTAATGTTGGGCTGGCAATGTTTTTCAACAGCACAGTACCTATCTGACAAGCACAAGAGCCTGAGTTCAATTCCTGGTATCAAAAATAATAATACATAAAAATTAATGTTATTGGGCTGGAGGTTTAGCTCAGCGGCATAAGCGCCTGCCTTGCAAGCAGGCAGTCGTGAGTTCGATCCCTGGTACCGATAAAAAGGAAAAAGACAAAAAAAAAAAAAAAAAAAAAATTAATGTTATTTGGTTTAGACTCTTTTGTGTGATGTTACCTATAAGAAAAAGACAATATAGAAAATAAAGAATCTACTCAATTAAAAACAAATTGATCCAGGTATGGCATTGCACTGTAGAGCTGCTGCTTCTCTGAGCCTGTCTTTTAGAAAGCCTTCTTTCTTCAGGTGGCCTTTGGGTTTTACAAAGTGAGCTCAAGATTTTAGGATGTATTGATGCCCTTCAGAAGTTTTTTCCAAAGCAAGCTGATATTAGAGGAAAGGAAGTTTTCTGAACAGCAATATTTCGACAGGTCAGTTAGATTTTAGCCTTAAGAAAGAGATGCACACTGTAAAGAAAAAACTGAAAATGTATCTGTACACAGGGAAATGATTGACTGATGACAGTGACCTCCGGCCCTGGCCCAGATGCTCCGATGGGACTACTGGAGAGGGACAAAGAGGGAGAAAGGGCATAAATAACCCACCAGGCAGGGCTCCAGATCCTACTAACTAGCTTTTTAGTCAGCAAAGTTCTAATTTTAATTGGTTCATATACTTCGTCACCACAGAAAATTTTGTCAGAATAATGTTCTGATGCTAACGATAGAAAAAGTTGACAGTATAGATAATGAATGGGCGTATTACTTGCACATACTCGCTATGTAGTGGTTTCAGCTACGTCTGCCTTCAGTGAAAACCACTTCACTTTACTTATTTGCTGCTTTTTCTCTCAAGCTGGATGAGCTCACGGAAGCTGAGGATGCGCTCTCTGAAGCCAATGCACTGAACAACTGCAATGCTGAAGTGTGGGCATACTTGGCTCTGGTCTGCCTGAAAGTGAGTAGAATTATCGCCTTTACACAGAGTCCTGTCAGGGGCCAGAGGTTTGGGACCAAGTCAGCAAGAGACCGATGGCTATTAACACACGATAGCTGCAGTCTCATGAGCTCTGAGTTTCGTTGTTATACTCAAAGAAAAGGCCAAATCTGGGCATCTTCTACTTGGAATACGGATAAAAATTATATTAAAATGTATTTTCTAGAAAGGAAGTTCTAAAAATGGGAACAATGTGCCTGTAATCTAAGCACAGGAAGGCTGAAACAGAAGATCACAAGTTTGAAGCCAGACGTGGGCTACTGGGATACATGGTTCAAGCCAGTCTGGACTACAGGGCAAGACCCTGTCTCAAAAAATAAATAACAACCACAACAAAGAAAGAAAGAAGGAAGGAAGAGAGGAAAAAAGAAAGAGAAAAGGAAAGAAAGAAAGAAAAAAGAAAAGAAAGAAAGAAAGAAAAATTTAAAAGGCGGGAACAGTGTTGTATCAGAACATAAACTAGATCAAAGATCAGCAGAACTGCTGGTTGAGGGTGTTCGTTCTTGATTCATATGCAGAATTGGGTAGGACGTATTAGAGAAATTCTTGACAAGTGCTTTACCTATTAAAATATAAATCTCCTTTGGATAGACTCAAATAATTTACATTTCAGACTAAGATCAACTGGGAGCCCAGAGAACTACCCTTATTTGTCTGTTAGTCAATATGACACCGAATTGACAGGGAGTGTTATAATTAGAAGAGAAATGAACAAAATAAAAGTCAGTGGAGATGAGCACAGTGGTGCACACCTGTAAGTCCAGCACTGGGGTGCTGCGGCAGAAGGATCACTGCCACTGCGAGGCCACCCTGGGCTACAATAGTGAGTTCAAGGCCAGCCTGAATTATGAGAAAGACCCTGTTTCAAAAAAAAAAAAAAAAAAAATCTGGGTGTTTACCCCAGCTCTGCTCCAAATAGCTATCGGGTACAGGAAAAGTCACTTAAACTTACTGAGCTTCATATGCTTCACCAGTAAGTTAAAAGGGTAAAAAAGAAAGATTTCAATGTACTTCTCTCAGAAAGCGATAGGTCAAATTGGAAAATAGATAAGGATCTGTCTATAAAATAGACAGATAAAATAGACAGATAAAATGTATCTGTAAATACCTAGCTCACAGTTAACTGGGCTGTGATCAGACACCATTACCTAACTCTGTTCTTAACAATTAGAAGACACGTTTCAAGCACAAATCGCTCATAAAAGCTGAAGCTGAACACATGGTAGACCACAAAGAGGTATAACAAATACACACTGTGGTAAAATATACTAATCATCAACAATAGTAGAGGCCAGAAACATAAACTTTTAAAACTTAAAAACATGCTTATAATTAATTCATTGATCACAGAAGAAATTGTGATCTTTCTTTTTTTTATATATATATTTTTTTATTTAAAGAAAAGGAAACAAAACAATACATGGAGATAAAAAAGGGTAGAAATAATACAAACTTACAGAAAAACAAACGGTAAGAAATTGCTGGTTGATAAGTTACACATTGTCATCTCAGAAATAGCTGTCCAGGTTATAGAATTAAAGTATTTAGAATGACAAAATTGTGATACTTTCAAATATGGGGCCTTGTGCTAAATAGAATTTTAAAGGTGTCCCCTCTCCCACAGCACTGTAGCATCAGCCACCTATCTAGGTATTTTGTGAAGGGTTTTGCAGATGTATTTAAAGCCTCAAATTAGTTGATCTCTAGATGGAGAGATTATCTGACCCAATTGAACACATCTGCTGAAAGCAGTTTTTTTCTGTCAGCGGGCAGAAATAAAAGTCATTCAACTCACCGTAGATGGTGTCTCAGTTACTTTTCTCTACCTAGTGGGACAAAATACCCAACACCCAAACGTTAAGGGAGGAAAGCTCAAGTTTGTAGAAGTTTCAGTCCTTAGTTGGCAAGGTAGCATGGCAGGTGGGAATTACAGGAGAAACAGTTCACAGCAGGCAGAAGGCAGCAAAGCAACAAGGATGCCCACAGCTCTTTCCACCCCTTATTTAAGCTACAGGTAGCACTCACACTCTTAACCTTTGTGCCCTTGATCTTAGCAAAGCACCACAAATCAATTCTGTCATCACACATTTAGGATCCAGCCACCCCTGACAAATCCCACCACTGCCTGAGGCTTTGTGGGAACATCTAGATAGACCCATAGCAGGTGGTCTGGTGCTTGAGAAAGATACATCAGGGAATATGAGTGACCTCTAGACGCTAACAGTAGCCCAGCTGAGAGCCACAAGGAAATGGGGACCCTCCTATTAAGTACGAGAAACTGGATTCTACAGTGGTGATAGTGGTCAGAAAGCCAAATAATAAATGTACAAAGAATGATAGAATTAGAAAATACAATTTGGAAACTATAATGGTAGTAGAGTCATTGAATATTCATCAGTGTATCCAAAAATCACAGGTGAAAGTTTAAGGATTAAAAAGATATTCACACTGGGTACGGTGGCACACACCTGTAATCCCAGCAACTTAGGAGGCTGAGACAGGAGGATCATTGCAAGTTTGAGACCAACCTGGGCTATAAAGCGAGCCCAAGGCCAGCCTGAACTGCATAGCAAGACCCTGTCTCAAAAAGACCAAAAGAAGAAGGAGGAGGAGGAGGAGGAGGAAGGGGGGAGCGGGAGGAGAAAGAGGAGGAGGAGAAGAAGAAAGAAGAAAGAAAGAAAGAAGAAGAAGAAGAAAGTATTCACAGAGTCTTAAAGTATCTCCTCATAAATACATTTTACAAGGCAGAGAAGAGTAATATAATAGAGAAACCTGGAAGATTGTTATCTATACCAATGATCAGTTATTATCACCAGTGCTGACATAAAGACCATGTGCTTCCTCATCTCATGGACTGAGAACGTGACATCACTTTTGTGTTATTCCTAACCTGATATGGTTAGGAGGGAACATTAGACAGCACATACTGAGGAACATTTTACAAAATGTGCTGTACTTATTTAAAAACACCAATGTCATAAAACATAAAGACTCAGAAACTATTCTAGATTAAAAGAAAATCAAGAGATAATAAATATACTTGATATTGGATTTTATTTTTCTATAAAAGGCATTATTGGGATAATTGGAAAGATCTGAATAAGCTAATAGATAGTAATAGTATAGATATTAATATAGATAGTATTATATCCGTATTAATCTGATTTTGATCATTGTACTGTGGTTATATAAAAGAATATCTTTGATTTTAGAAACACCAAAACATGAAAATTGTTTCATGTTTGCAATTCTAAAATATTTTTGGAAAAAGTTAAAAGTATATATACATGGGCTGGGGGTTTAGCTCAGCGCCGTAAGTGCCTGCTTGGCAAACGTGAGGTCTTGAGTTCAATCCCTGGTACAAAAAAAAAAAAAAAAAAAAAAAAAAAAATATATATATATATATATATATATATATATATGCACACATACAGTACATACATAGGTAAATATATTTATCTATGTATGTGTATAAATGAATATATAGCAAAAGAAAGACAACTCTTCTTATAATTTTCTTTTATCTGTAATTATGCCATAAAGTGGTAGGTTGGTTCATGAATTTTTTTTTATTTAAGGTAGTAAAATACAATAGAACAAGACAGAACAAAGCCAATTGACACAAAGTGTAGTGAAATTGGTTCAGAACTTCCCAGCAGGTTACCGGGATCACAGTAATAGGTATCACAGTATATTTCGTTATCTTTATAATAGTTGTTCTTTCAATCACACATATCAAAATGAGATGAAATACAGAACATTATAGAACTTATCAAAACAGAATATTGAATAGAGTAGTACCATTAATTAGAATAGGGCAAAACAGTAATAAAAATATTTGCCTTTAAAAAGATGGTAGAAGGAAATCCCCCTTATTTGCTATGGTCAACCTCCCAGGAGATGCTCAGATCTCTGGTTCCCATTTGCTAACAGGAGGCAGGGGAAGAGAAGCAGGGGAAGTGGGATGTTTGACTCTCAGCTCGTGCACCAGTAGGCTCACTGTTGCTTAGCAGGGAGCCAGGCTGGTAGCTTGGTTTCCCAGTGCCCTAAGTTCCAACATGGCGCGGATCTTAGGAGACACTGGTGGTTTTCCCTCTGGGGCACCTGCAGCCTTGTTTCATGAATTTGTTTCTTCCCATGATTCTGGTTGCAAGTGGACACAAACCAAATCAAATTCAATGGTTAGGTCCAGTGTTGGCCTTGTGGGGACACTTGATTTGATTCTTGTCCAGTTCGGTGTATGACCAGAATTGTGGAGAAAAGTTTGTGAACTGAGGTGCCATTGTATATTTTTAAAAGATATTTCATTAAGATAATGAAAATTTATCCACACTATAACTCATTAGAATAAGTTAAGTAAAAAAAAAGACAGGTGATACTGTTTACAAGGAGATGTATAAACTGGAACCCTCACATACTACTACTGATAGGGCTGCAAAGTGGTGAAAACAGATGGACAGATTCTAGAACAATTACACATACATTTACCATGTTTCCTAGCAATGTCATTTCTCTGAAAAAAAAAAAAAAGAAAGAAACCATCTGTCCACACAAAAATTTAAATGTGAATTTTAATCATGGCATTTACTAAAAACTGGAAATTTCTATCACTAGATGGCTAAATGACATTTATACAATAGAGTACTATCAACAATTAAAATGGAATTCTGATTTATACAACAATATGGATCAGAAACAGTTACATGACTATCTGTGATTCCATTCATTTGAAAATACGGAAACTATAGAGACTCAACATAGATTGTTACCTAGAGCCAAGGATGGGAATGGGACTGACTGCAAAGAGGCATGAAAGAACTTTCTAGGATAATACAAGTCTTCTAAGATCGGATAGTATCCATGGTTGAACAACTGAATCTAGCCAGGCATGGTGGCACATGCCTGCAATCCTAGCACTTGGGAGGTTAAGGCAGGAGGATCACTGTGAGTTTGGGACAGCCTGGTTTTGAAACCGTGTCTCAAAAAACAAAAACAATAACAAAAACAACCACAATAAAGAAGACCTTTTTAAACCCAGTGAACAACTGAATCTTGAAATTAGTGGATTCTGTAGCATGTAAATTATACTTTAATGTACCTATTTTTAAAAGATAATATAGCTCTTCTAAAATGAGAAACAAGTAATTATTCAGTAAATAATGAGGAGGCATCTGTTTCCTACCCATATGAAAAAAAAATCAGTTCCTTACTCCAGCAAAAAATTATTATTTGTCTTATGTCATGTGGTCTCTACCTCCCTATGGCGGAAGAGTCAAAGGTAACAGGAGTGCTAGAAAACGTCCCGCCAATTCAGTAAACTTCAGGTAGCAATAGTTCAAAATGTAGGTAGGGAAGGGATTGGAGTGTGAAAGTTTCATGAACTAGTAAAAATTTTGTGTGAACTTCAGGAGACTGGACTATATGTTCTAAGTTTTCTTTCAGTGAGAATTACTCTATGGTCTTGTATACGTATTTAATTTTTCCTAAGTGAATGCATAGCTTAATTTACTAAGCACAAACTTAGGAAATACAATAGTAAATTCACATGATCTTGTTGAACTCATAGAGTACCTCATGCAAAAAATATAATGGGCAGAGTAGTTAGGGGTCTCATCACATATCCAGATCTGCATGGGAGGAATTCCTGTATTTTTTCCAATGCATTCAGGTAGATAAAGTACAGTAAATAAAAACACAGACTCTGGTGCAGACTTCATTGTTCTAAAATCTGGATCTTCCACTTACTAGTCTAATAACCCTGGTCAGTTATTTAACCCCTCTGTGCCTTAATTTCTCTTTCTGTTAGAATGAAAACATAAGTAATTAACTCCTAAGTCAGCAATGGTGAACCTTTTAGAGCCTTCCATGATACAAACAGCTGCAGGACATATGCCATAGGTTCACCACCACTGTGACCTAATTCATGGAGACTGAGAGTGAATATAGGTAAATCATTCAAAACGTCAAAATGAAAACAGGGTAAATCACATATAACCACTGTAATGGGAAACTATTAGCAAAGTGGCCACAATCCTGAGATGAATAAATAATTTAATGTGCCTACAGAAAAAATAAGAAGCCAAAATGTCTTTAAATTTTCCAAAATCAAGGAGAGAGTTTGACAATACCAGCTTTTCCTATCACCTTCCATTTTTCCTGTTTCCTTTGTGAATTCAAATGCCTAAGTAGGCAGGTGCTATCGCCTATGGCAGGTAGAAAAATCTGAATCGATATACTTCTCCACCATGATGCTTCTGACATGTGTTTACCACCAGCTGCTGTACCTTTTTTTTCAGGCTGGACGACAACTGGAAGCTGAACAGGCCTACAAATACACAGTAAAGGTAAGGTGCAGATGCCTCTGTCATTTGCTTGTACATGTTGAGGCTGGGAGCCTGGGAAGGAGCTGCTGGCTTAATTTAGGACTTCAGAGCACTTGATGATGTGAATCTTTTTCAAGAGGCTTTACCCACCATTTTGCCATTATCATGAAGTTGCTGGATTTTTAATAATAATCTCCCTATTCCTTTCAGTGATCTTTCTATAGTTTAAGGCAAGGACAGACAGTCTGAATTGTTTCTGGTTTGCCAGTAAGTTCTCTGGGCTTCATTCTACTCATGGGTTGCTTGAGCCCAGGGGTTAGCAACCTTTTTGCCTATAAATGAAAAATAGGAAATATTTTAGGGAACATAGGCCAATCTGTTGCACCTGTTGAATTTTGCCCTTGTAAACACAGAAGCAATCATAGATATTATGTAAATGAATGGCTGTGTTCCACTAAAATTTTTATTTACATAAAAGTAGGTAGCATGCTGGAGTTGGTTTATAAACCACCGTTGGTCTGTTAGTTACAAATTGCAAGTAATTTGAATGGAAAGACAGCAGCTTACAAAGTTAGTTTTTTCAATTTGTTGAAGTCCTGGGCTGGCATTACAGGTCAATAATGTCATTAGTAACTCAACCCCTATCTTTTGCTCCAGCTGTATCATACTTCTAGACAGTCAGTGTAGCTGCAGCCACCACGCCTATGTTTCTGGCAAGATAAAGAACAAAAGAAGGAAAAATAGAAAAGAGACCATGTTACAGCTATTTCACTTCCTGTCAAAGGATTTTCCAAAGGTTGTAAATGTGGTTTGGTGGTAGGGTGCTTGCCTACCATGCGCGAAGCTCAGGTTCAGTCCCCAGCACACATACAAAAAGCCAATTCCATTCTTAGGAACTATGTTCTTTAGCTTTGGCCCCACAAATGGGAGGCCTTCAAAGGTATATAGCATATCAGATATGACACGTGTTCTTCCCTTTCTTGTTCATGTAGCTGAAATTGAAGGATGAGGCTTTGCTTGCAGAGATCCACATGGTACAGGAGATGGTTGGATTTGGAGATCCATCTTTCTGACATTCTTAAGCTGAAGAGTTTTCAATGTGGGACTGAGTTCCTTTCAATATGGAAATTTTACCACGTGAACTCTGGAGCTGGAAAACCAAATAATGTTCACTTTCAACAGAAACTTGTATATTTCCATTGGCTCAAACTGAAAGTTTTAAAGGTTGACAGTAAATGGGATACAATAAAATTGTAAATATGAAAACTTTGTCAGTGTGGCTCTAACGTTAATGAAGGTACACTGAGCTATGTGTAATGCGTTTTTATATATAATTGTAATTATATACCTAATATATCACTAGTTAGCTGGGCCTGGTGGCTCACACCTGTAATCCCAGCACTCAGGAGGCTGAGGTAGGAGGACTGCTGTGAGTTCAAAGCTAGACTGAACTACAGCAAGACCCTGTCTCAAAAAACAAAACAAAACAAAAAACCCCAAAATACCACTAGTTATATGTAAATAAAGTGAAGCACTAGTGGGGTCAACAGTTAGGTTTCTGATGAAAGCTCATGGGTTACTGCTGGAAGAAGTCTGCAGCCAAGGCCCTTGGCCAGGTTCACTACTGGAACTTGAGAATTAAGGCATCACCTTTAAAGGTGGGCCTAGAGACTGCAGCACTGGGCTATTATATTAGAGCAAAGGGCCTATGAGTTGTACCTTTAGAACCAATGGTGAACAGAGGCCTTTCCTGAAGGGAGAGGTATTAACTCCTTGTAATCAACCAGGGGTATCTTCATGGATCTAAACCACAAGGGGTCTGTGAAAACAACACCATTACTCCTGTGAGAGATGCAGAATTCCTTAATAGTGAGTTCTTATTCTTGGGCTTGGGATGGCAATCAATCAGACTCCAACCCTGCACTTTTGATCATAGTGCAGCAAAAGCAGGAATAAGGGTTTCCTCTCCTTTGTTTTTTAATGGCACGTCTGTCTCTTCAGTGGTGGGAGAATAAAGAGGGAAAATGAGAGGCAAATTAGTCATCCGAGGAGGATAAACTGTGGTCATTTGGAATCCTCCTAGTCGCAGGGCTAACTCTAGCTCTTTATGAAGTCTTCCCGAGGAAGTCTCAGCTTCTTTTCTGCCCCTCTGTACTATTACCCGCCCTTAATTTCTCTGGACACTGTCGGCGGCTCCCCGCCAGGCAGCTTCCGGACGGCAGAGGACAGCGGCTTGTGCTCAGGCCTAACAGATATTAAGGAAGCGTTTGCAGGACGGATGGATTTGCAGAGAGCTTAGCTCTTCTCCTGGGTACTTAAGATTTCCCCAGAAGTTTTCATTCCAACAGACTGCAAGCGAGGGATCGCTTTACCACGCCCACGTCTCTCCAATCTGTGATGGAGGAGGTAGGGCCGTGTTGCATGACGGGAAATAAAGAGCCGAGGAGGAGAGGCGGGGCGAATTGAGCACCTGCTTCCGGAACTGAACCTTTGGGTTTCCGTAGCTGGCTAGGGGTCTCAATCTCTAGGAATTGACGTTTCCTGCTGCTTTCGGGTGGATACGAGACCGTGGACCTCGGCTGTGGGAACAGCGGGACGATCCGAGGATCTGCACGCTGGCTGCACCATGGTCCAGCTTGGTGAGTCATCTCGGCCCCATGAGACTTGCGGGGCGGTCGCAGGATTGGATTGTCCGGGGCCAAGTGAAGGCCACCGGAACCACCGCAGCACTCGCTTACAGCTGATCTTCCTGTCGGCTTTTCCTCACTTAATCCTCGCTGAAACCCTCATCTCATTTTGCGATAAGCCAACCAAGGCTACAACAAGGTCACAGAGCGATTAACTAACAGGCTAGTGGGGAGTGGACATGGGGATGAGGAGAGGTAATCTCTGTCTGGCTGGAATGGTCTCAAAGGAAGATAATAACCAAGCCAGATTTACTAGAATGGGTTGGAAGTAAGGACATGTCAGTGGAAGATAGAAGTTGTTACTCGACCTCATTTTGCCCATTTTGTGCTCTCAGTTCGTGTATCTTAACCAGTTATTTCTCTACAGGTACCCTTCTGTGCAAGGCCTACCGTAGCGGCCACTTAACTATCCGCCTTGCTCTGGGTGGCTGCACCAACCGACCCTTTTACCGCATTGTGGCTGCTCACAACAAGTGTCCCAGGGACGGCCGTTTTGTGGAACAGGTGGGCTCCTATGATCCACTGCCCAACAGTCACGGAGAAAAACTCGTTGCTCTGAACCTGGAGAGGATTCGGCATTGGATTGGCTGTGGGGCCCACCTCTCTAAGCCTATGGAGAAGCTTCTGGGTAATTTAAATGTTGTCCTACCTCATTCAGGGATTTTTTGAAGTCAGCTTCAGCATAATGCGAATGAAGAATGATTTTCATTTCCTCCAGGCGGCTCAGGACTGGAGTTGAAGCTCAAGTTGTGAACGGATTATTTCAAGTCTGGGAAGGTTTTCTGCTAAAAATGACAATAGTTTGTCTCGAATGCATCAGTTTACCTATGTTTCAAGTAAACAGTGCTAGGATAGGAGATAAACATCATTCATTGTCACCTTGCTGTAAACGAGGGGAGGAAGTTGGTGGAAGATGAAGGACGAGGGTCTGGCAAGTGTAAAACATTTTACTTCCATGCTCAGCGTTAGGTCTCAGCCCTCAGTTCTATGAGGCAGGGTTGCCAGGAAAATATTGGCTGTATTATAATAAATGAAAATCCTGTGCTTTTAGGTCTGGCTGGCTTTTTCCCCCTGCATCCTATGACGATCACAAATGCTGAGAGACTGAGAAGGAAGCGGGCACGTGAGATCGTCTTAGCTTCTCAGAAAACAAACACAGAGGCTACAGAAACAGAAGCGAGCTGACTTCAGTGAATGTGGCAGTGGTTATAAGGTCAAGATCTTCTGTATGCAGAACTCTCAATTTTGTTAGGTTCAATGAACAATAAATGAAGTTTTCTGAGTCACCTGTGCTCTTCAGGCCTAGCCTGAATAGAATCCAGAAAGAAATGTGTTCTTGTCTGGCATAGGAGCTAGGTCTAGATACTAATTAGTTTATTTGGCCCTTATCTTGGGAAAAACAATGGCTTGGGGAAAATTGGGTCACTAGGACAGTTGTATTACCTGCTGCTTTCCAGGTCTTTCCTGATTCTATATATATATATATATATATATATATATATATATATATATATATATTTCTTTTTGGTGGTATTGGGAATTGAACCCAGGGTCTCTGCAGTACATCCCCAGCTCTTTTTCTTTTGGCTTTTTGAGACAGAGTCTCACTAGGTGGTTCTGGCTGGCACCAAACTCACTGTGTAGCCCAGGCTGGTCTTGAGCTCATGATGATCCTCCAGCTTCAGCCTCCTGAGTGCTGGGATTACAGACATATGCCACCACATCTGGCTCTAGCCCTTTTTAAATTTTGAGACAAGGTTTCACCAAAGTGTCTAGTCTGGGCTCAAACTGAATATCTACCTGCTCTTAGCCTTGCAGAGTGCATAGGCTATAGGCATAGGCTATCATACTTGGTTGGCCTTTCTTGCTCCCAACCTTTCTTGGCCCATCTCAATGTTTCTTTATTTCTAGTCATTCTACAAGTTCAAGAACAGAGTTACCTTGTTTATTGTTTTGTTTTCTTTTTTTCAGTCCTGGGGATGAACCCAGGGTCTTAGCACCAAGCTATATCCCCAGCCCCCAGAAAGGGTCTCACTGAGTTGCTGAGTTGCCCAGGGTAGACTGAAATATGGAATCTTCCTGCTGCAGCATCCCAGAGAACTGGGGTTACTGGCATATGCCATCACCTCTAGCACTGTTTTTGTAATTGGAAATGTATATTGCTTTGCTTGACACATAATACCACATTTACAAAGACAGATCGATTGTGAAAATTTTGGGGGGGCTATAACAACCTATCTTTTAAGAATAGAAAATTAGAAGGAAGCTAATGTTGTAGAGCACCTACATAAATCTCCACCCCCTTTGTGTGTACCCTTTATATAGTATGACGGAGGGAGGGGTTTCTCCATTTTACAGATGAGAGGGCTGTGGCTGGGGGGTGTAAAAACTTGCCCAGCAATATAGGATTCAGACACCAACATGGCCACCTGGAATCTCCTTTCCAACATAATATCTATAAAGGGGAAAAATAAAGATGAAAGGGTTTCAAAAGCCTTAAAAAATTAGTAGTAGCTGCGTGTAGTTATACGCCTATAATTCCAGCTGCTTGGGAGGCCAAGGCATGAGGATTGCAAATTTAAGACCAGCCTGGATAACTTAGATCCTCTCTTAGAATAAAAAAGTTAACAGGCCAGGAGATACAGCTCAGTACTTCTACCACCAGTGGGATCTTATCTATGTATCATGAATTTGGTAATATAAATGACCAGTTGAGCCAAAGCCAAACATGTTGCCTGTCCCACCAGAACTGCACAATTCAACATCCATTTTGTTTACATGAATTAGCTTGTTTTACTGAACGTTTTGAATAATACAGATTTCAGATTCTGGTGTAACAGTAAGATAAAGGAAATATATAGAGAAAGTTTCGTAGTTTCAATATTACAGCTGGTTTTCTGCATTCTGTATTCTGAGAACGATTATAGTCATCTCAAATTCTAGGGTCACTGAAACTCCCCAAGGTTGTTGCCAGTTGACCTCTGCTTGTGTTGAGGAAACTGAAACTAGAATCGATGGAAAGGAACTGACTTTTGATTATTTTGAGCTTGGATTGGAGAAAAAAAAAGCATTGAAAACTCTGGCAACTGTGGGACTTTAAAAGATACTAGCATATCCTAGGAAGTCTGAGGCTTTGTAGAAACTTAATGGCAGAGGACACTGTGATTCTGCAGTAATTGTCCAGTATTATTTTGATTATCACTTAATTTCTGCTAGATGACGTATTCACTAAGCATTATGGATTATTCTTTGTGTAAGGTGTATATATCCATATATCTAGTGGAAGCTTATCTTTTTAGTTTCCATAGTTCTCTAGCCTTTGTCTTGTTTTAGACCTCCAGGCCCAAGTTTCCCACCCTATTGTAGGTGATTTGCCCGCCCATCCCACTGTTAGCTCAAATCCTTGTTGCTCAAACAGCATGTTGAATTTTACAAATACTCCATAGACCTGTTTTTATTAAGATCATGTTGAGTCAGGTAAGGTAAAGGGAACAGGAGGGAGGTGTTAATTTTACAATGTAGATAAAGTGTTCTTTTAAACTAAGGCTAGTGTTTAGTGCTTTTTGTACATAGACAGTTCTTTTACCCCTGCAGGGGTTTCAGGGAAAGTAACCCAACAGCCCCAGCCTGTAGGTTGTAGTCACTGATCTACAGTCCTATTGCTTTGCAGATCATCTTTGAAAAACCAAATCTATTAAACTGTTAGGTTGAGCCAAATATAACTGCAGAATGCTGCTATTTGACCAATTTCCACTTTAAATAATTCCATTTATTAATGTAACCAAATATTGGGACAGTCTGTATATATCAATAGATGTTTCTGTGCTGGGACACTTAGGGTAAGACAGACATAATATTTCCAGAGAAAGGGGACGAGGACCGCTAGGGAGAGGATATGGTAGGACCCTGAAGGTCCCCCACTCTTGGAGCTCTCAGAGACTGGGCCGCAGGATGCACCATGCACTCTAAGCAGGGCTTTTCAGCCTGGGCCGCCGCCTGGCCACGCCCCTCCGCGGCCGCCGTAGCGCGTAGTTGCGCGCGTTGTCCCGCGCTTTCTGTGACGCAGGCGCCGTGGGCTTTTGAGCGCGGAAAAGAAAGTCGGGCAACGCTGGCTCTGCTACAGCTTTGAACCGCTGTGTTCTCAAAGACCGTCCTCGGCCCAACATGGGGCTGCTGGAGCTGTGCGAACAAGAGTTTGGTACCGCCGACCTGTACCGGGTGCTGGGCGTGCGGCGCGAGGCCTCGGACGGCGAGGTCCGACGCGGCTACCACAAAGTGTCCCTGCAGGTGCACCCAGACCGAGTGGAAGAGGGCGACAAGGAAGACGCCACCCGCCGCTTCCAGGTCCGCTCTGATTCCGACTCAGAAATCGATTTCAGCCTCCTCCTCTGGCCGGCCGGCGCTCCTCTGGCGCAGTGCGCTGCTCGGCGTTTTCTAACCTTTTTGCTCGCGGCGCGGCTTCAGTACGGGGTACAAGGCTGACTTTTGGGTGCTCTTTTCCTTCAGATACTGGGGAGAGTCTATGCCGTTTTAAGTGACAAGGAGCAGAGAGCGGTGTACGATGAGCAGGGGACAGTGGACGAAGACTGTGCTGTACTCAACCAAGACCGGGACTGGGAGGCATACTGGAGGTTACTGTTTAAAAAGGTGGGGGCTTTGGAGCGTTCTTCGTGATGTTTCCCATCATTCAGTCAACAAGTGTTTGTTTACAGGGTGTCCCTATTTATGGCGCCACATGCCTTGAATTCTAAGTTAATGAAGTTGAGGGATTTAATTACAGCCTGTAAATATACACCACACACTAACTGAATAAGAGTTTTTTCTTTCTGACATGATTGTCGCAGTAAAAGGGGTGGGTTTTTCTTAAGGCTGTGCTTTATTTTACATATCCAAATCGAAGATCTGAATTTTCTTTTTTTGAGTCTCTTATTCTCTTAGAAACTTCATTTAAATGAAGCCTTATGTGGCCCCTAGTTTAGCAGTTTTAAAGGCTGGCTTAGGGAGAACTCTGGAAAAGCTTAGGCATAGGAAATTTATTTTCTTGCAACGATTTCGATTCAAGTAACTATTGTATCAGAGGAGAAGCATTTCAACACTTAAATGTTGTTTTACTAGTATACCTTTTACTTAAAATTCTTCAAGTTAAAGCAGTGTCTTTTATCATCATCAGATAACTCTAGAAGACATTCAAGCTTTTGAAAAGACATACAAAGGTTCCGAGGAAGAGCTGGCTGATATTAAGCAGGCCTATTTGGATTTCAAGGGTGATATGAATCAGATCATGGAGTCTGTGCTGTGTGTGGAGTATACAGAGGAACCTCGGATAAGGAATATCATCCAGCAGGCTATTGACACTGGAGAGGTCCCGTCCTATAATGCCTTTGTCAAAGAATCAAAACAAAAAATGAATGCAAGGAAAAGAAGGGTAAGAGTTTGATGCTATCAGTGATTTATATCTTTTTCTTTGCATTTTTTTGAGAAATTGTTCATATAGACTAATGGGTTTTATTTTTGCTGGTACAAATGTGTAAAATATTTTGCTCATTTTCACCCCCTTATCATACAGCTTCTCTTCCTAATTTCACATTTGGGGGGAAGGTTGAATTATGTATAGTATATTTTGCTCAACCCTATTCCCCATGTTATCCACTCTGACACCCCTCCCCCTGCCCTAGTGTATATACCCTTCTTCTTGTCTAATAATGGTCTCCAGACTTGTCATGTTTGTTTTTTAGCTTCCGCATGATTTGAAAGTATTTATAACAGTGGAAGTAAGAGATCACTGAAGTATGCAGTGAGGTTATCTTGATCTATAACTCATATAGTTAAATGAGCAACAATAAGTATGCTCATTTTTACAAAATAACTGTAAGAAAAACCTTTATTTTGGTATGTGGTGCTTAAGATTTTCTGCATGAATTGATTAAATAGTGTGATCTTAAAAAGACTAATATTTTTCATATGGGCCAATTTTTGCAGTTTTGCTGAGGTATTCTTTAGAGCCAAGGGTACGTGGCATAGACAGCAGTCCTCACTTTAGCTGACAAACAGAAAGAGAATGGCAGAGTCAGTTGTTAAAAAGTGTATGCTGAGGGGGTGTAGCTTAGTGGTAGACCCCTTGCCCAGGGTTGGGTCCCCAGCAGTGAAAAAAAAAGGTGCACATTCTTTGCCCCATAAATTCAACTTGAAAAATATAATTCACAGTTTTTAAAAGGTGGAGATTCTCAAGCCTTTGCTCAGAGCTTGATTCTTGGGTTAGATCCAGAATATACATTTTGAAAAAATTAATTTATTTTCTTGAGGCTGTTTCTCACCAAACTTTGAGAGACAATTACGAAGAATAAGGAATATGGCCTGTGTGTCTTTATACTGGTGTTGAACCCAGGTTGTAGGAAATAGCAAAGGAAAGGTGGTAAGGGACAGGAGGAGTTCAGGGTGGGCTCAAAGTAACCATTATCTCACCCTGGCTTGCATAACTGGAGCTTCATGGAAAGCAGAAAGTTTGAGGTTTTAGATCTTTGGTAGGTACTTGAGATGACTTTGTGTGGCTGAAGTTGGAGATGGGAAGGTCTGCAGGTTTTAGAGAAAAGGTAACAGAGAAAGAAGACTGACCCTTTGTTTTGGTGAAAGCTGAAGGACCTGTTTTGCCTGGGGAAAAGGCCATGCCATCTCTGTGCTGAGCTGAAGGCAGAAGTGGAATGAAGACACTGTATATCAAGGTTGTCCTTTTGCTTCATGAGATACATCTGTTTAGATTCAGGCTCAGAATAAATCATTTTGTCAGTAACACTGAGCACAGTTGTATTCAATTTTAGACTATTAGCTTGAGAAACTTCCCTAGAGTTTGAAGGGAAATAGCACAGTTTTAAGAGACTGTCCACACAAATTAGGGGAGAGAGGAAATCTAAACTTTAAGAGATACCAAAACAAACAAACAAACAAAATAAAAACAAAACCTGTGTCTCTTTATTGGGATATCAAAATCCTAATTTATCAGCCCTCCCAATATTAAAAGCATGTTTTGCTACTTAGAAAATTCAGCAAGAGTTAGAGTCACTTATACTTACTTGGTGCTCTAAAATATTCTTGGTATTTTGGGAAATATGGTCCATGGAGCAGCTTTGAAATCAGCTAAAGACAGGTTAAAACTGAGTTTGTTAATGTTTCTTCGGACACTCTGGAGAAGTCATTTTAAGCCAGGACTATTAACAAAGCTGCCATCAATCTCATAGTAAATGGGATTGCTACAGGAGGATTCCAAAGTGCCTGTGTGCTGGTATCCTTTTGAGGATATCCTAGGTTAAATGCCTTTCCTAGGTTAAATGGCTGTCCTGGCATGTTGTTTTCTGTTCTGTTACTTTGTGGTTTTTAATTCCAAAGTATTTGCTACCGCTAGCAAGTAGAAATGAAGAAAAAAACAAATGCTTATTAGAAGAATCTGCTGCTTGCTCTTAGCAATGTTTGTTGCCTTCTAATGAATATTTGTGTAATTTTATCGATTCATATAACCCTCAAATTGAAAAGGAAAGAGGGTATATTTCAAGCATGGCTACTGTGGTGTCTCATAAGAGTTTTTATTTCAGGCCCAGGCAGAAGCTAAAGAAGCAGAAATGTGCAGGAAGGAACTGGGCCTTGATGAAGGAGTAGATAACTTGAAAGCGCTCATTCAGGTAAACTTGCCAGGTTTTTGCCACTTTTTCATGGTCTGACTCCTATTGCTGATAGTCTCTTTGGAGTCTATGTATGATACTGTATTTTTTTAAGAATGTACAAATCCAGGCTGGGTTTGGTGGTGCACAGCTTTAATCCTAGCACTCTTGGGAGACTGAGGCTAAAGAATCACAAGTTTGAACCCAACCTGAACAGTTTATGACTTAGTAAGTCTTTGTCTCAAAATAAAAAAAAATTTAAAAAGCTGAGGTGGGTTCAGTCCTAAGCCAGTACTGGGAAAAAAAGAAGAAGAAAAAAAAAATGCACAGCTTAATACATTCACAAAATTGTATAACTATCACCACTATCTCATTGTAGAATATTGTCACCATTCCAGAATAAGCCCTTAGCTCCTTGCAATCATTCCCATGCTCCCTTTTCTCCCAGTCCTTGGTAACTGTTAAGTACTTTTTGACTCTGTAAATAGTGTATTTTGAAAGCTGTATCTTAACTTCTCAAACAGAGCAGACAGAAGGATCGGCAAAAGGAAATGGACAGTTTTCTGGCTCAGATGGAAGCAAAATACTGCAAACCTTCCAAAGGAGGAGGGAAAAAAGCAGCCATCAAGAAAGAAAAGAAATAATGGAATTTTTCTCTACAGAGGTCCTAATGCATCAGTTGGTGCTATTGTAGACAAGATGCACTCAAGATCTGAAGTCAAAGTTAACTCTTAAGAGGAGTTATCTTTCCAGCCTAAATTATTTAGATCAACCAGACAAACCAGAATTTCTTGACCTGATCTGAGATTTCCTAGAATCACCTGACATCTTGAGAAGCCCTCACATGAAGGACTGGGCTGGTGATAGTGGGGATAGCAGTGTTTCTCTCTCCATGGGTCCTCGGCCCTAGGAGCTCCCTTTAGAAGGTGGTTCTGTGCATCCTGCTTTCAGTGATGTGTGCCCACTAGAATGTTCAGAATACTTGCTGAACATCTAGCTGTCTTCCAGATAATTGCCAACTTGCTTTTGGTTCTAAGGATTTTAAATAGACTCTCTTCTTTTTTATTAGTCAGGTTTTGTACTCTTAGCCCTAACGTATAGGAGAAACAGGTATTCAGATTCAAACATTTTTGTAAAGACTTGTGTGTAATTAAATAAATAAGTAAAAAGTTCTGGTAGCTTTCTAAATGATCCCATTGATTATTTAAAATGTAATCTAGAATAAATATGAATGGTATTTTGGATAGACAAGATTTTAAAAATTTCCTAGTCAGCATTGTAATAGTGTGCATAAAGAGATTTATGTTTTCCAGCTTTGAACTTGTTTTCTCCTCTGTAAGAGTGTTATCCTGTCTTGTCATATCAGATGTATAATTTTGGTTTCAAGAAGCAGGCTGCACTACCTTTGAGAGGACAGACAAAAAAAGGGTAAGGGAATTGGCTAAACCACTTTTTAGAGGCATCTGACTCTTAACTTTGAAAGGCAAGCCTTATAGATCTAGTGTTATAATGTCGTGGTACTGTTGTCTACGAATAATGGTACAGAGTTTCTATATATATGGGTTGGTGGTATATATTCATCGTAACATGAAATTTTTCGTAAAGAACTGTTGAACTTAAAATCTTCAGTTTGTAAACTATAGTCAATATACAATAACGCATAAAAGCTTTTTCTTGCCATTAAACATTATATATCATAATTTAGAAAGAAACATACATTTTCATTAAGTAGTTGAGAAAAGTTAAAAAATACTCTTTAATTGTATTAAAAATATAATGTAGGTATGAAGCTTGTTTTCTTATGATATAGCATTAGAACACTTGTATAGTTTAAAATTCACTTTATGATCATTTCAATTTATACAGTGTAAATTAATATCTAAAACTAGTATAAATAAGGTTAATTTTCAGTGAAATTTAGATAAGATAAATTAACATCTAAAATTACTGCTACATTTGGAAATTCACAGTAAAAATCAGAAGTCTGCCTAAGTTCTCTATTCCTGCTGCTCTTAGGATATGTTAATACTGGGCTAATTACCATAGTTGCAATTCTGTAAGTTTTTTAAAGTATTGTACCTTAATGGCTCAAAATATAGATTATACAAATTATTTTATAACTTTCAGGGCTGGGGATTTAGCTCAGTGGCATCAGCACCAGCCTTGCAAGTGCAAGGTAGTGAGTTCCATCCCTGGCACCAAAGACAAAACAAAGAATGTTGATATAACTTTAAAGAGCTTTAGCAGAAGATCGGTCAAGGGAAGCTAAATATTTTGAGGGGGAAAATGAGTATAGTACTTTAAGAAGAAAATATGCTTAACCTGATATAGCAAGCAGGATTATATAAGGTTGAGCTATCCAATCAAAAAGTATATGCAATTTATTTAATTTTTTACTCAAGCTATTTTTTTACCATTGCTTATATCTTTACTGAATCCTATTCCATTTTGGTAATAGGATTGGACATCTAAGGGGAAAGCTTTAGGAATGAAGTTTATTTGATGAGATCAGAGTTTGATAACACTATCTCTTAAAAATGAGTTGACTTAGAAATTGAGTATAGCTCTCCATAACTTAATACTAGCTGAAGTATTCTGAAGCCAGTGAATTTGCTGCTTTTTATGTTTATATAATCTCAAAGAATCCTGTAATAGTTGAACTGATTATTATTAACAGACAACAGAAGCAGTGATTGGAGGTAACCATTCATTGTTACATCTGGGGTACAGTCTTTACTGTCCAGTGGAAGAGGTAACTTATGCTGAAGGAAGACAGTAACTGGAGATAGAGACTGTGCCCTTGCAGTCTTTGGCCGATACATCCTTGGTTTTCCTCAGTCAGTTATTCCAAAATAACTTCATGAAGATGGATTCAAGCTGATCTTGTGCACAAGCCCTGCACACTCAGTGACTGAACTCTGATTCATGAAATCTCACATTTGCTGTAGCTCCATAGGTTCTTTACATTTGCTCTATGGTCCTTGCCTGCTTCTAGTCACTGGTCCACCTCTGCTGTGAGATTTTGTAGAGCCATGCAATTGTGAACCTGTCAGATGACATCAGAGTAACATTAGTAAATAGTCCAGACTTGGTAATATCAAATTTCATGTTTTTTGGTTGATTGGGGGGGGGCAGTATCTGTAATGAAAATTTGTATTTTAGGGCTTTTCTGCTCCAATTGCCAGTTGGACTTTAAAATTTGGAGACTGGGATTAAGTAGTAAATCATGTATTTGCCAAGACATTAAAAACCAAGTTTATGTATTTTATCCTTTAAAAATATTGAGAAGACCTATATTTTAAGAAATGAAGCAGTAACCTACATTTGCTGTCCAGTGGAAGAGGTAACTTATGCTTAAGAGCACTATAATTAGGCCTCAGTTGGGTTTGCTCACCAAAATGTTACATTAGTTGTACCTGATGAAAAATGTGGCTGAGTGTAATAAATCCATTTGAATCCATTAGATAATATGAAGCAGGCAAACTCCTCAAATGGGAATGGAATCAAGAGATGGAGGGAATAGGGGATGAAAAAAAAAAAGAATTGAGATGTGTTATGTACATGTACCAATGCCACACAAAGAATAAAAACTACAAACATAAGAACTGTAAAAAAAAAAAACAAGAAAATACGAATAATGCTACTAGGAACTAAGAAATTGGTTGAACAAAAATGGCTTGAGGAAGATTTTTTTTACTGTATTTGCCCATTTATCATTAACAGGAAACAGTTTAACTGTCCAGTTCACCTACAACATAATAAGAAAAACACTGAGGGTAGTGAGAAGACGTGAAAGAATTAAGACACCCTGCTATTTTCTCTCATTTCTCCTTTGTTAATATAACTTACAGATACATAATTAAGAGATTAAGCAAGTTAAGATAAAATCAGATTAACCATATCCTGACATTTTAGAACTTACCTTGGCTTGACAGGTAAAAGAAGTTTAATTCATGGCAATATGGGCTTTGCCTACATAAAATCTATGCTGTATGCTAAAAGAATATTTTAGATATTACAAAAATGACTTAACTTTGCTCAGATTTTTTTTTTTTTTTTTTTTGGTACCAGGGATCGAACTCACGACTTCATGCTTGCCAGGCAGGCACTTAGGCCACTGAGCTAAATCTCCAGCCCCTTTGTTCAAATTTTTATATTAAAAAAATTGAAGTTTACCAGAGTAGTGAAAGATTAATTACATGATATGAAAAGAACAGCAGAAGTTTGGTTTACTTTTGAGAAACTGAACTCTTTATTGTACCCAATCTTCCAAAATAAATTTGGGTGATTTCCACAAATGCAGAAAAACTAAATATAAGAAAATCTGGAGGAATGAAAGGGAGAGTGAAACGGAAAGGGAGAAAAAGGGGAAAAAAAGATGAAGGCAGGGTCGTTAACAGTCAGAGTAGTAAGGTAAGATCTGCAGCCCTACCTGTCCCTGTGGCTCCCCTGCCGGGTCGGGCCTGATGAGGATGCTCAACTGCACATGCCTGGCGATATGGTGTGTCCAGCTAAAAGAAAAGGAGAGAGACATCTTACAGTGCTCGTTCTCCCAAAGGAAAATCCTACAGGGTTACAGAGGAAAACATGAAATTGGCAACATTGCAAAAGGCATCACTGGCCAACCTGAGAAAAAAGTTAGCTAAGGGCACTGGATAAAATTCTGAAGGAAAAGATAGCCAAAGCCACTTGCTAACTTGTGTAAAAGCTACACATTCTATAATTTTATTAATATGTCTTTAAGAAAACAGTCTATAGGGTTTTATATTTGTTAGCTACCAAGGGAATTTTACCTGATTTCTCATTATTTTGTGTTTTAAAACAAAACCCCCCTTTTCAGTAATGGTGATAAGACTTTACCACATATTGAAATTTAACTTTGTATATTTTTAGCTTTATGAAATAAATACCGTGGAAATATGCCATCCTGTTGGGCTTTTGGAATGAAAAAGAAAAAAAAAAAAAAAAAAAACATCCTTTAATGCCCTTTCAGAGCACTGGAATTGGGGGATTTAAAGAAGAAAAAAAATTTTTTTTTTTTTGGAATCGGGATTGAACTCACGACCTTGCGCTTGTCAGGCAGGCGCTTATGCCACTGAACTAAACCCCTGACCCTGAAAAATTTTTTTAGTGAAGCCACATATTGTAGAAATTATGGTTCAGCGAATTTACTTTTTGTAAAGAGTCACATAGATATCATAGGTTTTCCGGGTCAATAAAGCTTTACTTAAGAAAACAGGTGGTAGGTTCAAAAACTTGTGAACTGTAGTTTACTGATCCTTATTCTACAGAAAGCACCAATGGGTATAGTGGCAGAGTACAAGTCTCTCCCTCCCTCCAGGCCTCAGAACTCACCTAGCTTTTTTTCTTCCCCAGTGGTAGAAGAATTAACACAATTAATTATATTGAAATATTAGCTATATTCCTTTTTTGTTTTTGATACTGGGGATCAAACTCACGACCTCATGCTTGCCAGGCAGATGTTTACACTGCTGATCTAAACCCCCGGCCCAGCTCATCTTCCTTTCTGTGACAGCAGATACAGAGAAAAACTGCTAGCATATATAATTCTTTGTTATTGTTAGAAATTTATTTAGACTTTGGAACCTTAGACTTAAAAGGTTTCATGAATTCAGTTTTATTCTTGAGGCAACCAGAATTACATTTTGAAAGTATAGCTATATAATATAATTATTAACATTGCTTAATATATGTCACTTGGATCAAATTATGAGATGACCAATTCAATAGATGTTCTCAGGCTTTCTGGGATTTAAGAAATCAGAAGTGTTTGTATTTTTGCCCTTATTTTCAGTGAGTATCTTCCTGAATTAAACCTTATGAGGTCTACTGGACTCAATAGTGTACCCCCAAAACTCATGGCCCCTTGTGAATGGGACTATATTTGGAAATATGGTCTTTGAATGTGTAATTGAATTACGGTGAAATCACCTGATGTTGGGGCCCATACTTATAATAGCACTTGGGAGGCTGAGGCAGGAGGGTTGCTGCTAGTTCCAGGCCACCCTGGGTTTCATAATGAGTTCAAGATCAAGCCTGCACTATAGTGAGACTGTGTCTTAAAAAAACAAGTGAAATCTTACTGGATTAGGGTGGGCTCTGAGTTCAGCGACTATCTATAAGAAAAAAGAAACTTGGACACAAGCACACAGGATTGAAGGGCACATAATGATGAGGCGAACACTGGAGTGATGAAGTTGCACGCCAAGAAGGAGACTACCGAAGGTGGGAAGAAGCAAGCAAAGGTTCTCCAGAGTCTGCAGAAGGAGCCTGATTTTGGACTTCAGCCTCGGGAGCTGTGAGAATGTTTGTTTTATGCCACCTACTTTGTGTCATTTGTTATGGCAGCACCAGGAAACACACAAAACCCCCTCGTGTTATTTTCATTACTCTTAACAGAAGAAAGGCTATACAGTACTTGAGGCTGACACAGTGGAAGAGTCATGGGTTGTGATAAACAGGCTGCCAAGACCACCGCTCTGAGAAGTGGTACATGATGTGGGGCTTTGGGTTGAGAGGAGCACTGCCATTTCCCTCACTCCACAAGTCCTCTTGCTGCTGAGCAGATGACGTGGGCTGTACCCCTGATGTACAAACGCGCAAGGCTCCCAATCAGGCTTTTTCCTGTCTTGCTTAAAAGTAAAAGAATGAGTAACTGCACAGTAAATGGGAAGACAGTATTAGCCCTTAAACACCAGGAGGAAAAAGGCCTACATTGGTCTCCTCAGCCTTCTGATACCATTTTGATGTAATTCCACAAGAGCAGGTAGACAGAAGCCAGGCTCATATAACACACACACCAGGGTTTAACATTGTTGCTTGTATCAAAGAAAATCACAAGTGGAAAAGAAAAAAATTGTTGCTTGTGCTCAAAAATACTTAAATTGTTTATAATTTGTAATTTGTAGGGTTGACGAATGAATGGGCAATTTGAATATCAACAAAAATATACGCAGAATGCTATTATCACTGGAACTGCATGTTTATTCTTGGCGTTAAACCACTAGATAAAGTGTTAGGTCTAACAAACTAGAGTTTTCCCCCACTTCTCCCAGCTATCAAAAGCAAATTAGGAAGCAGGTCACTTTACCAGAAATGACTGAGTTGTATTGGGTCTGGAAAAGTCAGGTAAAAGGATCCTCTCCTGGGGCTGCTGACGGTTAGGCTCGTCCATCACAGCACTTCGAGCTCGACTGGGATCGCCTTGGGCATGGGCTTTCTGCAAAGGAGATGAGTGACCTGGGTTAAGACTAATGGGCACTGCATGTGTCCCCCATTGGAGGTCAAGCAACACCAATCCCACTGTCGTAAATTAGCACGCAGTTTGCACTTTTGACAGAACACAGCACATATTCTGAGAAGGAATGCTCTTGAGAGACTTACCAGTTGCCTTTGTGGCCCCACAGTGCTCAGATGTTCCACTTCAGCTGTACCAATAGGTGGTAGCAGATTGTTCCGACTCAAGGGCATTGGTGGGGGGGAGGAAAATGAGTCGGGTGCCACTGGGCTTCAGACCATCAAACACCAAGATGCAAAAGCATGAAATTGAGTACAAACAAATGGATTAAAAAACAAATGAAGCAGGGTTTAAATGTGCACAGAAAGTTTACCCATATTTTTAAGGGATCTCAAAGGATTCTGGAAAATTAGGGTGTTAACATATTTTAGAAATATAAATCTTAAGCTAAATCAACACATCCAGTATCTATTTCATTAAATTTTAACCCTACTTAAAAAATTCTTTGTGTTCTAAACCAATGGACAATCCATTGTATGATTACTTAGTGAATAGTTTAGGCATAGATTTCATATTCTCTGTAAAATTCATTAGTGTTACCATATTGTGGAAATTCTGCTTTTGAAACCTACACTCGGGATCCTCTGAGGATTTCTTCCACAGGTCTTGGCGTTCCAGTGCGGGAATGGCTTGTGCTGATCGGATGAAGGGTACGTGGTGGGGGGTTACGTCTCCTGGCAGACTGTACTGTATGTGACAGAGATGATGTACTAAGCTCCAGGGCTCGGTTTGGCCAATTTCGGGTTGGAAAGATGGTACTGGACCCAGGCCTCATAAGTAGCTTGTCATCAAGATCTCTAGTGGCCAAATCAAAAACCCACAATGAAATAAAGATTACTACGTACAGGAAGATAAGACTCACTGGTAAACACCTTTCTTCTAAAACATTTTTTGGGGAAGTAACAAAAAAGTTTTCAGTCAGTAACTTACTTTCCAGAACAGAATCTACAGCACAGCCATGAGAATCTAGTCTTAAAGGAGGACACTATTCAAACAAAAACGGAGTCATGAGAGCAGTTCCACAGGGCTTGGGGCTAGGATAATTTGAAAGCTGGGGGTAGGGAGAGGGTACGCGCAAGCTGTCCAGTGCAGTGAGACCACAGTAGATCACATTTTCAAAATATGGCTTTCGTCCTATGCCTAACAGTTCAGTGTCTTAAACACTGCCTTACAGATTTGGAGATTTTCTGTTTTTGTTTTTTAAACCACGTGAGAAGGTGAATATTATGACATCTAAGACACTGTAATTTGCCTAGTGAAAAGTGAAATGGAGGGAAAATAAAGCAGCTAAGGTCTGCCACTTGCTCATGTGGCTTTTAGGAATCTCAGCTTTTTGGGCGATTTTACTGTCCTGTAGCACAAAATATGCTTCAGTGTTTGGAGAACTTTGAAGGGAGAGTGCCCATCAAGGAACAGGTTCAAACCTTGAGAATGATGAGACCTTGTCTTCCTGCCTCCAGTCATTCACTTACCTATGCCTTGTTTTTTTCCAGACTTCATCACTGCTTTTTAATTGCAAGAGGTCTAGGCTTTAGCTGCCTATGTTCACTTTTATTCTATGAGCTTCTCATTCATGATTCTCGGGTCAGTTACCAACTCCAGCCAAGTGACTTAGGTTAGTCTCCAAATTTGATCTCTTCCTCATTTCCCACAAGATGGCCTGTCACTGTAAACTGAACATAGCCCAAAAGAAACTCATCTTTTCCTGAAAAATTTCTTTTGAACTTGATTTCTGCTTCTATAGAATTTCATAATTATCTCAAGTTATTTCCCGTCCTGTGCTGCTGCTCAAGTGCACACCCAATCCCTGTGTAGATGCCTTAAGAATTCCTACTACTGCAATCCAGTCTATATTCCATTGACTTTTTACATTCCTGATTTAAATATATGTGCTTCCCAACGGAAACTAACTTGCTGGTGGGAATGTAAAATGGTGTGACTACTCTGGGAAGTTATATGACAGTTTCTTATAAAATGAAACACGAACCTATCATCACTGTCTCACTTGCAGATTTTTTTCATTTGTAGATATTAACCCCCCAAAAATGTGCCCATATGTCCACAAATAAAGATCCATGGAAGAGTATTTATAGAGGGCCGGGGATTTAGCTCAGCGGCATAAGCACCTGCCTGGCAAGTATGAGGTGCTGAGTTCAATCCCCGGTTCCAAAAAGAAAAAAGAATACTTAAACGAGCTTTTATGCATAAGAGCCTCAGTCTGGAAATAACCCTAATGTTAACAGGAAAATAAACTGCATTGTGTCCCTACAGTGGAATACCAAGCAACGGAAGGGCACATGCAACAGCAGGGATACATGATGTTCAACACCATCACTGCCCGGCCACCATGTTCATTAGTTTCATGGTCTCTTCCTACTAATCATACCATGGCCTATTTTAATTTTATGAAATTGTCAATGATATTTGACCAAAAGCATTAAAGTTCTCTTGTCTGTCTTCTTACTCTACTGTAGCAAAAATAGTATCTTCTTAAATGTTTAGTTTTCCCATTTCCAAACCTCTTCCTACACTTTTTCCTGCCTAAAATGCCTCTGTTGCTCTTCTGTTCACCAAAATGCCTCCTTTTTAAGGGCTGCCATACTGTTCACTCTACCTAGCATTTGCTTGGTACTTGGTCACTAAAACCTCCTACGTAGTTAGGCCTTTTAACCCACGTGTGTCTTTTCAGTTGCCAGCTCCCTGCAGGTAGAGATTTGGATGTTTTACCGCTGGGTGCATCTGTGGTTCCTTGGCAGGCATTCAGGAAGGCATAGCAGTGAACTGACTTTGCTTTCTCTTTATTAGTGATTGATTTAAACTCTGTAGTCTTAAAATTTTGTACTTCTTACAGGAGCTTGTCCATTAGGGAGAGATTTCTTGGCTGTAGAGGCATCCCATGAACCAAGAGACCGTTCACATTTGGCTGATGACTACTTGCTTGACAGAAGCTCATCTAAGTGTCAAAGAAGACATTACTCATTATTGGTTAGTTAAGATACCTGCTTGATTTCCCAACTTTGCCAGCAGTTAGTATTTCCAACTAGATTATTTACACATTTACTCTCTATGCCTTAACTTTTCTACTATCTTGGCCCATAGTCCTGAAGATAGGGTCCTTTTCTGTCTTCTCCATTTCTGAGTGATAGCAAGTTGGAGATATCCTCCTATGAAGCTAAATGAAAGCAATTAATAGCCACTCTTAGAGGAAAGATGACTACTGTGAGGGTCTTTACAATAGAAAACAAAACCTAAGTAGAAAATCCACAAATAATGCAGGAAACAGCAATAGAAAAACAAATAAATGAGTACACGCTTACAGACTTTATCTCCCTTGTCACCCTGTAATCCTGAACTCTAGTCCAGCGTCTTAACTACTGGGCTGCAACTACAGATTAACCCTAAATTATATACAAATTTAACCTCTTTTCTTTCACTCCCCAGGAGCAGTCAGCTCTCAATGATTACCTCGATCCTAGTTTTTGTTTTTGAGATGGCATCTTGCTAAGCTGCCCAGGCTAGTCTCAAACTCCTGGGCTCAAATGATCCTATCTCAGCCTCTCTACTGCTTGGGACTACAGATACTCTGCCATGCCTGCCTTGATAACCTAAATCCTGAAGACTTTATTAGGAATTAATCCTATTTATTCTAATGGTATAAGAATTTAATCTTGGCATCACTACCCTAGAGCCCTGCTTATAACTCAGATCAGCTCAGTGCCTTTTCTACCATCTCCTCCTCCACCAGAGTGTATTTTCCTTCCTCTTTTTCTCATGAATGTTTTAAGTTAATCTTTCTGTATTCTTTAGTTGTTAAGCAGCCAAAACCATTTAGTTAACTAGTCAGGGTTACGGCTAAACCACAGCTAGATTACTTCAGAGTGCTTGATCACCACCAAAGGAGTACTGATTTGTCTGGTTCATTTCTGACGTGGTAGGTGGGTAATGAACCTTGCTAGTTTTATTTATTTATTTATTTTTGGTCTTTTTTTTTTTTTTTTTTTTTTTTTCTTTTTTCATTTTTATCGGTACCGGGGATTGAACTCACGACCACCTGCTTGCAATGCAGGTGCTTATGCCGCTGAGCTAAATCCCCAGCCCCGCTAGTTTTATTTTTAATACCTCTTCTGTGAATCTAGCTGGATAATACCTGGTCAATATACTAATAAGGTTTATGACTAAATATGATAATAAAACCAAAGCTTCATGAGCATGGCCCAAAGATTAACAGTGTTTTTCTTTCCCTTGCCCCCACCTGCCCTTTTTCTTTTGCTATAAGTAAGGTTAGGAAACCATCATGTAGAAAATTGGACTACATACACTATATGGGAATGAGACTAAGTTCACCACCAGAAATGGTTAATTTTGTCCTTGTTCACAGATTTAAATAGGTTTTCTCTTTCCCTTGACTTTCTCATTGAGGAAAATACCCAAAGATAAAAAAGTCATTCGTATATTAAAGAATAAAAAAGTGTAGCATGAGTTAAGAGAAAAAAAAAGTGAAAGACAAAAAGGACTTTAAGAGACAGACGTAAAAAGCACAGAAAATCTGTTGTTAACCCCTCTTCATCATAATATCCTTGATACTTCCCAAAATAGACTTAGGCTGATCGCACAGTTGAATCTAGATGGTACAGCTTACCGGTGCTTCTTCCAAAGTGCTAAGAATTATTTATCAACCCTACTTTGCTGTTAAACTGAAATTGATCATTGCAAAGAGTCATTGTATTGTCATAATAAACAAACAAGTGTACTTAAAAAGTACTGAGTGATACACTTTCAGAGCAAATTTCCTCTGGCAAGAACAGTCCTAAGTTTCCTCTAGCACTTACCAGATTTGAGGTAACGGACAGCATCTTAGACTGTGGCACTCGTGGTAACACCAAAGGGTGTGGTTCACTCAGCATACAGGGACTTTCCATATCCAGCCTGGTGGGTCCAACATTACTGTCATCATCTGAGCAAAGCAAAAAAAATACTTTACCCATGAGTGTCTTCTGACTTATAGCAATGGTACTGTGAAAAATTTCCCAAGAATCTAATTCCAACAAGGCTTCATCTTTGCAGTCCAATTTCATTTCATTTGCGTGGTTCCAATCCCCTCCCACCTGCCCCTCAAACTAAGAGTTTGGTTTAAAATAGTTTTCCAGGATGGTGATGCCTGGTGGTACCCAGCAGAAGGAAACAGAAAAATGTCTAGAACAATGGTTTGTGATGGGACCTTTGGAATTGACAGAACTGTTTTAGACCTGTGTTATCCAGTACTGCAGCCACAAGCAACTTAAAAATGTGGTTACCATGGTTGAGGAACTAAATTATACTTAATTTTTAATATTTATTTGCTTATTTAGGTTTTTTGAAACAGAATCTTGCTATGTAGTTCAGTCTGCCCAGAAGCTTACTACGTAGCCCTCACTGGCTTCAAGCTCTCAGTGATTTTCCTGCCTCAGCCTCTGGAGTTCTGGGATTACAGATATGTACCACTATGTCTGGTTTACTTAATGTTAATTAAACTTAAAGAGTCACACGTTACTAGTGCCTAGGGACAGTATAATTCCAGGGGAGCCTTTAGATCATTAACCTAGATCTATCTCAATTCCCACAGATAAATTTGTGAAATTTGGAAATATTGTTAAAAATCACATGATCAAAAGCTGAGTATGGTGGCAGGTTCCTGTAATCTCAGGATTTGGGAGGCTGAAGCAGGAGGATTATTGAGAGTTCAAGACTAGCCTGGGCTATAAAGACTCTTTAAAAAAATAATTTTTTAAAAATCACATGATTGGGCCAGGGATTTAGCTCAGTGGGGTAAGCACCTGCCTGGCAAACGCAAGGTTGTGAGTTCAATCCCTGGTACCAAAAGAAAAAAAAGTCACATGACCTATAAGGAAATGAAGTTACCATGATAAAGAGCAAGCAGAAACAACAGAACTTGAGTTTGCAAAGACTATAGAAATGACAAGATTTTTAAAAAAGCATAATAAAACTATAAAAGAAAATTAAAATTAAAAGCTTGCAGAAGTTAGCAGAAGAGTGAATTAGAAGAAAAAAATCTGAAGGAATTATCCTGAATTAAAGGAAACAAGAAAATATAAACTGTTGAGTTTGAACACTAAAAGGGATGCATCTTACTATGTGTAAATTATATCTTAACTTTAAAAATAGAGAAGAGTTCTGGAAGAGTACTCATGCTGACAAAAATTGGAATGGAAACAGGAAGTATTAGTAAGACTGGGCATAGGAACCTGTGTCCTGGTATGGGCATGTGAGCTGGTGTGATCACTTTGGATCATTTGGCATTACCTAGTAAAACTGCAGGTGCATATTCAGTTTCATTCCGTGACACACCTGAGAGTGCCTTTATATAAATGAAACAGGAGAAATACTTAAAAATGTTTATAGCATCAGTGCTCATACTTGTCAAATACTGTACTTTAGTATTTTTAAAACACTAGGATTTTAGTACTCATCATGAGTTGACTATAAAAAGTTAAAAGGAAACTCATGTGAATAAAACTATCAACACTTGAGGTTTTTATTGTTTCTAAGTCATTTCCATTATTCTTTGATTTACTGTCATTTAATAGAGAGAAGGTAAAACTTCTTTTGAAAAAAATTACCAGTGAGTCTTTTTTCCCCATTAGCACATTAAGGTTAAAAATAGTGATAATGATAATTTAAAAAATATTCTTCCATAATTTATGTTTTAAAAACTGTCTTGATTAAAAGTTAAAATGATTGCTAAAAGTAACTACATATAGAGGCAAGGGTGGAAAGCCCTTTTCTGGTACCCAAAAGGCCTGTGTTTGATCCCCAGCAGCACACAAAGACACACAAACCTAAATTATAAAAATAAATAACATTTATGCAATTTTATATAATTCTGAATTATAGTTGACAAACCTTAAAATACCATAAATTGTTTCATGGTTTTGCTGCATATGACTAGAATGTAGCTTGGTAGGAGAGTAAAGATAGATTTGTGCAAGTGCCCAGATGTCAGTTCTCACAAACGGTTACTAGCCAACTGGTCCACATCACAGCCAAAAATATGTTATTTTAAGGTGCAGTGAAGCAGTGATGCTAAGCGTGAAAGCCCTGGATTCAACGCCCCAGTACAAAAAAAGTCCCCAGAAAGCAATGATAGTCACTAACATTTATTGGAGCACTTCTTATTACAGAAACTACTTAGGTGTTTTCTTTTTCTTTTTTTTTTTTTTTTTATCGGTACTGGGGATCAAACTCATGGCTGCCTGCTTGCAAGGCAGGTGCTTACGCCGCTGAGCTAAGTCCCCAGCCCCTACTTGTGTGTTTTCATGTAATTTGCATATTTTGTAAACAAGTTTCTGATGTAGATAGTAATAGTACACTCCTTTTATGGATAAAGAAGCTGCAGTATAAGAGTAAGCAACTTGTCAAGGATCTAAAGTTAGTGCCAGAGCTGGGTGTGGGGGTACATTTGTGAAATCCTAGCACTTGGGAGGCTGAGGCAGGAGGATTGCTGTGAGTTTGAGGCCAGCCAGCATTACATAGTGATAAACTTAATAGATTTTAACATTATGGAAGAAACAATTAGTGAACAGGGAAGCACAAAAATAGAAATTATCCAAAATTAAATGGATAGTAAAAAATAACCATAAACCAGTACATGGATAGAGGATTTAGCTCAGTGGCCTAAGCATCTGCCTGGCAAGTGTGAGGTGGCGAGTTCGATCCATGGTACCAAAAAACAAAACAAAACGGATAAAAAGGATGCCAAAATACAAGCAGAACATCACTTATCTGAATGATTAGTGATCAAATGAACTAGTTTATGGAAAACTGGATTCCTGACAAATGATGGGAGATAGAAAAAGTATTGAATAAATAATGGCTAAAAACTTTCTAGAGTGAAAAAGATAAATTCAGATCCAGGAAGTTCCATAAACTCTGAACAGATGAAACGTAAATGTGAACTACATACATAGGCATATCACCATCAAGTTACTCAAAACCACTGACACAGAGAGTCTTAAAGAGCTTGAGAGGAAAAAAAGATAAACACGCAAAGATTGGTGACATCAGGTTTCTTGTCAGAAATAATGGGAAAAGACAATGGACAGTATCTTTAAATAGTATGAGACAATCGTTGACTTTAAGTCTACTTCGTGAAAATGTAAGCAAAAGAAAATTTCATACATAACAAAAGAAACAATCAGCAGAGCTATAGACAAGGATTTTTTTTTTTTTTTTTTTTTTTGGTCTTTTGGAGACAAGGTCTCACTGTGCTATTCAGGCTGGTGTTAGTTAGGCTCACTTTGTAGCCTAAGCTGATCTTGAACTCTCAACAATCCTCCTGCCTCAGCCTCCCAAGTGCATGAGCCCACACACCCGGCTTACAGCTGACAAAGAACGTTAAAGGACATCCTTCGGAATAAAATATTTTTAAAGTGTGTGTGATAAAATTAATTTAACAAATTCATTTTAACTATTTTAAAGTGTACAATTCAGCAGTTCACAGTGTTATGTGATTATCACTACATTTACTTTCAAAAGTTCTCATTACCCCGATTCCCCACTTCCTCGGGGCTGGGGATTTAGCTCAGCAGCATAAGCACCTGCCTTGCAAGCAGGCAGTTGTGAGTTTGATCCCTGGTACCGATAAAAAGGAAAAAGACCCAAAAAAATAAAAAAATGACTTTTGTCTCTGTGGCCTACTCTTGACACTTCATATGAATGGAACCATAAAATATTATTTGGCCTTTCACTTCTTGCTTTTCAAGGTTCATTTATGTTGTAACATGTATCAGTACTTTATTTATGCTGAAGATTGTAATTTCTTGAATTTTTGCATGAAATTCATATAGTTACCTAGAAAAATACAAGGATCAAGAATTTGAAGAGAAACATACATTTTATTATGTTCCATTGTTACATGCCATTCTGAAAATGGATTATTAGCCATAAAATGATTAATTCCTTTTTATGGCCAAAAAATATTTCACTGCATGGTATATTATGTCTTCTAGAGATGCCATAATAAAATGCCAGACTGGTATTACACAACAAGCATTTTTTCACAGTTCTAGAATCCAAAATGCGTCAGGGTTGGTCTCTGGTAAGGCCTTTCTTCCTGCCTTGTAGGTGTCCCTTCCTTGCTGTGTTCTCAATCATCACCTCCTTTTGTGTGTGTGGAAAGAGATGGATCTCTGATGTATCTTCCTCTTCTATAAAGGACACCAGCCCCACTACCCTGCTCCCATTGCCTTGCTTAAGCTTAAAGTCCTTGTCAAATACAGTCTCAATGATGTTCAGGGATTCTACACATAAATTTTAAGGGGACAAAGTTCAGTCCATAACACATGGATAAACTAAATTTTGTTTATCCATTGATTAGCTGATGGACATTTGAGTTGTTTCCATTCTTTGGCTATCACACAAAAAACATGCTAAGAATGTTCATTCATGTGTAAGGTGGTCAAGGTGTTTTTGGCATTTTTTTGTTGAAACAAGTCTTGCTGTGTAGTCCAGGTTAGCTTCAAATTCAGTGATTCTCCTGCCTCTGCACCTCAAGTGCTAGGATACAGGTATGTACCACCTCACTTGGCTTCATGTACAAGTTTTAGTGTGGATATGTTTTTAATTCTCTTGGCTATATGCTTAGCAATAGAATTTCCTGGGTCATAGGATAATTTTATGTTTAGCATTTTGAAGAACTGTCACATCGTTTCTACAATGACTGCAAATTTTACATTCCTATCAGTAACATATAAAAGTTTAGATTTCTGCGAATCCTCACCAATACTTGTTATTTTTCCTTTTTTATAGAACTTTAGGGCTGGGGATTTAGCTCAGTGGCATAAGCACTTGCCTGGCAAGTGCGAGGTCATGAGTTCGATCCCCAGGACCACAAAAAAAAAAAAAAAAAAAAAAAAAAAGAACTTTGAGTCAGGGATATGGCTCAGTGACACAGCATCTGCCTGCCTGGCAGGCATGATATCATGAGTTTGATTCCTGGTATCAGTAGAAATAAATAAGTAGAAATAAAAATTAAAAAATGGAACTTCATTAATTTTTTTGGCTTGTTTGGTTTTTGAGTCAGGGTAGCTAAGGTTGCCTCAAACCAGTGATCCTCTTGCCTCAGCCTCCAAGTGCTAGGATTGTAGGCATGTGGCACTGTCTGGCAAAAAATACAATTTATTAATACCCCGCCCCCCCCCACACACAGTCATCCTAGTAGACATGAAGTGCATCTCCCTGTGGTTTCTATGTGCATCTCTAATTATGTACAACATCTTTTTGTGGGCTTACTGGCCATCTATTCGTATATATCTCCTTTGGAGAAGTTTCTATTCAGAGAATTCCGTTTTTTAACTGATCATTTTATTATTAAATTGCAGCTCTTTACTCTGAATACTGGATTCTTATCAGGTATACAATGGGTTGTCTTATTTTCTATGTGTGGGCTTTTACTTCTTTGATAATGTCTTTGATGCACAGAACCTTCAATTTTTATGAAATGTAATTTATCTGTTTTTTCTTTTATTGCTTATACTCTTGGTATCACATCTATGAATCTATTGTTAAAGGTCTTGAAGGTTTATTTTTTTTTAAATTTTTGGTATTGGGGATTGAACTCATGACCACATACTTGCAAGGCAGGCATTTATGCCACTGAGCTAAATCCCTTGCCCTGAAAATTCATTCTTTTTGTTTTGTTTTGTTTTTTTGTCTTTTTCCTTTTTATCGGTACCAGGGATCGAACTCATGACTGCCTGCTTGTAAGGCAGGCACTTAAACCACTGAGCTAAATCCCAGCCCCTGAAAGTTCATTCTTATGTTACCTAAGAGTTCTATAGTTTTACCTCTCAAAGATAAGTCTTTGATTCATTTCGAATTGACTTCTGTGTAAGATGTGAAGTCAGGGTCCAACTCCATTCTTTTCTATGTGAATATTCTCTTGTTTTGAACATCAGTTGTTGTAGAGATTATTCATTCAATGATTTTGGTGCCCGTGTTGAAAATCAGTTGGCCATGGATGTGTGGGTTTATTTCTGGACTTTGATTTTATTCCATTGATCAGTTTGGCCTCTGACAGTTCCACATTGTTTTAATTACTGTAGCTTTGTGGTAAGTTCTAACATCAATATGTATGAGTCCTCTAACTTTACTTATTCAGTACTGTATTAGTTATTCAGAGCCCCTTGCATTCCATATGAATTTTAGGATCAGCTTGCCCATTTCTGGACAAAAAAAAAGGGCAAGTTTTTTGTTTGTTTTTTATGGGCTGGAGATGGAACCCAAGGCCTTGCAGATGGTAGGTAGGTAGCTGTGGTCTTATCTTTGAGGCATCCCTGGCATCATAAGCCACTACAGGCCTCAGTCAGGCCCAGTGATTCATAGAGGTTCCCTTATTATGAATCTGCTACCCATCTCCAGACAACCACATCCCCAGATCAGTGGCTGGACTTTTGAGTAAAGCTGCATTGAACCTATATATCTGTTTGGAGAATATGGTCATCTTAGCAATATTTATGTCTTCTGATTCATGACCATGGGATGTCTTTCCATTTTTTTAGGATTTCTTCTCTTTCTATAGTACACAACTCTTGCACTTCCCTGGTCAAATTTATTACTAAATGTCTTATTTTTTAATACTATTAAAATAAGTTATTTTCTTAATCTCATTTTTGATTGGTTGGCTTTGAAAAATAATGCTGGTATGAGCACAGCCATGTAGAACTGTATGTTTCTGAGAACTTTCAAAAGGATCAGCGGAGGCTGGGAATTTAGCTCAGCGGTATAAGTGCCTGCCTGGCAGGTGCGAGGTCATGAGTTTGATCCCCAATACCACCCCCCACCACCAAAAAAAAAAAAAAAAAAAAAAAAAAAAGCAGTGGATCCTTTCCTAGCTGAGCCTCTACATGAGTACCCAGCCCTATATTACCTTAATCACAGCCTTGTGAAACTCTCAGCAGTGAACTGGCCAAATTGTTCTAGGACTTCTGACTCAAAATTGTGATATAATAATAAATATATATATTTGGTCTCTGTTCCTGGTTTCTGGCTTGTAACTTGGAAAATGCTTGAAATCTCTAAAGTGATATGTATCTTTTTGTATGTATGCCCATTAACTGGTGGCTGGGGAATCCTGGTTAGTTTCTAGGGTACTGACTGTCTGGGGAAATCAGTCATGTAATTAGTTCAACCATGTGAACTTCCAGCCCTTCCACAGATCCTGACCTCTGTGGAGGGAAGAGAGGCTGTAAGTTGAGTTGATCACCAGTTGCCAATTATTTAATCAAACATGCTTACATAATAAAGGTTCCATAAAAGCCAAAAAGGTTATTGGAGGCTGTCTGTCCAGAAACGGTGCCACACCCCTTCTCCCATGCCTTGCCCTGTGTATCTCTCTGTCTGGCTCTTCACTTGCAGCCTTTCTCATTCTGTCTGTCTGTCTATCTCTTTTCCGGCAGTACTGGAGACTGAATCAAGGGCGTTGCATGTACTAGGCAAGTACTCTGCCACTGAGCTATACCCCTCCCTTTTAGCTTTTATTTGGATACACACACTAAGTTGCCAATGCTGGCCTTGAATTTGAGATACCCCTGCTTCAGCCTCCTGAGTACTATAATGTTCTTTATAATAAACCAGTTAACGTGTTTCCCTGAGTTCTGCAAACCATCCTGGCAAATTAATCAAGCTTCAGGAGGGAGTCATCAGAATCCTGAGTTATAGCTGGTTAGACAGAGGCACATGTCACTGTTTATGGCTTGCAACTGTCACGTGAAGTAGAGCAGTCTTGTGAGATTGAGCCCTTAACCTGCGGGACCTCTTGATGCTATCCTCAGGCAGACAGAGTCAGAGGGTTGAATCAGAAGTGAACTCAATCCTAGGGTTGGTGTCCGCTAGAGAAATCTGGTGTACAAGGAAAAGCCCCTCTACACCTAGCATCACACTGTGCTGTGTGAGAGTAGGAAAAAGCATTTTGGTTTTCCTGTCTCATACTCACCTGCACTAACCAAGTATATAACCTGACAGTCTGGTTAGGGTGTAGAGACCATAAACAATTATTTTTGACAGTATTTTCACAAAGATCCTTACCAGAAGCAAATCCCTCCCAGTGACTACGTGTCAACTGCTCCAAACAGCCCACAACCTTGCTCCATACGTTGTCAAACACATAGGCAAGGACATCCTCTTTCATGCAGTAAAACGGAGCAATGGGAGGGTACCCTAACTTCTGTTTCTCTGCAGCTGCTTCTGATTTCTTTTCATGAAATCCCTCTTCCCTGAAACAGAAGCAAGAGAGAAAGACCTCATGATTATTCTTCATTATGTGCCCACCAGTACCCTTTGTACTTCTTAGGAATGTGATCAGTGCCCTCTCATCTCCTCCTGCATGGCACGTGTATGAAGCTGCCTTGTGAAAAAAGGAGCATTCAACAGAGGAAACTGCATTTCCCTTTATATCCCCACTTTACTCCACTATTCTGAAAAGAAAGCCAGGAGCCAAAAGCACAGAAGCTCCTCTGGGGAGTTTCTAAGACACTGAGTGTGTCACCTAGAAGCCCAGCCTGGCCAAGTCTGTCTGCTGTTCTGACAGGCAGCACCAACAGGCCTGGGGTTCGGGGGAAGGAAACTTTAGCTGGAGGACATACTCCCCTATCATAGACGGATTATGAACTGAGACAAAGCAAAGCTGGAACTGACCTGGAGTCGGAAGAACTATCTCCAGGCTTCTACAGGGAAAGTTACCCTGAGGCAGTAGGGGTCTCAAGAATTAAATAGGGAACTGTGGCATAAAGAAGGAGTTTTATATGGGCCGCTACAGACTGTCTTCTCTGCCTTCCCAGGGAAGATCTGGTCTGGCAGTAAGTGGAGGAATAAGCAATAGAATTACTTGTATTTAATTTTTATTTCCTTCAGAAGAGATAAGACACTCATCTTTATAAAAAAAATTTCAAATCAAAAGGACACAGTGAAAAAGAAGTCCCCTATACGTTTTTTCTGCTTTACATTCCAAGTAAGTTATTATATACTATTCCAGAGAAATAGCTGTATCATACACTATAATGTACCTTGTCCTTGTATTAATAATTTATCTCAGTCATTGATCCCTATCAATATTAATTTGCCTCTTAAAAACTGCTACAGTATTGTATTGGGTATACTATAACAAAAGAGCCCTAACTGACCAATAGTCAATACCACAATTACTATATCGATATGTACTATATCTATATGTAGTTTCTTGGTTTCAGGAATGATTGTATATGTAGGATAAGTTCCTATAAATGGACTTTTTTTTTTTTTTTTTGGTACTGGAGATTGAACTCACAACCTCACATGTGCCAGGCAGGCACTTATGCCACTGCCCAGGCGATATAAATGGACTTGTTAAGGGAATATGCTTTCCAATTTGAAAGACATTGCCAAGCTTCCTTTAAAAATGGTCTATGGTCCAATGGTAAAAGAACATGCCTGTTTACATACTTAAGGATTATTGAGCTACTTTATCTTTTGTTCTCTGCCAGTCTGACAAATAATTAGTGTCTTATTATACTTTTAATTTGTATCTCTAACACGAATGAGGTTGAATTTCATTTCATATGTTTAAATAGTTTCTTTTTATATGAACTTACTATTTACATTCTTTGACTGTTTAGTCCTTAATCTTTTGCTTCCTGATGTAAATATTAAGGAAGTAAACTTTATGCAGACATTTTTGCAAGTTTGTCATTTGTCTTCTGACCTTATGAGTTTTTTCTTCTATGTAGAAATTTCATCTTATGTAGTCATGTAAGGATTTCTTTTTTTTTTTTGTCTTTTTCTTTTTTATCGGTACCGGGGATCGAACTCACGACTGCCTGCTTGCAAGGCAGGCGCTTATGCCGCTGAGCTAAGTCCCCAGCCCCTTGTAGTCATGTAAGAATTTCTTATATGGCTGGGTATAGTGGCTCATGCCTGCAATCCCAGCACTCGGGAGGCTGAGGCAGGATTGTTGCAAGTTTGAGACTAGCCTAAGCTAAAAAGTGAGCTCAGGACCAGCATGAACTGTGTATATCACCCTGTCTCAAAAGAAAAAAAAAAAAAAAAAGTAAGAAAAGAATTGCTTATAAGCTTACAGGTTTTGTGTTATGTTTTTAAAGGCTTTCCCTGCTGGGAATATAGCTCAGCAGTGCAGCACCTGCCTGGCAAATGCAAGGTCATGAGTTTGATTTCCCGTATCAAAAATAAATAAATAAAGACCTTTTCCATTCTTAAATCAATTTTAATATGTATAATATATATTTAATTTTATTGTTAGTATATATTTGCAATCCATGCAGTTTACAATCATCTTGGGAACTGGTTACATGTACATATTATAGCTTTGTTTTCTGACTACCTTCCCCTTCCCTTTCTTCCTCTGGTTCCTCTACAACCTTTTACATACTTGTTGATATTATGAGTCTTAGCACATGTTTAAAGTGTGCTTATTTTTTCTAAACTTACAGGACTTGTCACATGAAATTTATTTTTTATAGAAAGAATAAGTTATGAATCTTACTTTTCCAGGTTTTTTTCCATTTGCACCAAAATAATTTGCGAGAATTATTTTATATACTAATTTCTGACAGGTGTTTTATTTCTTGAGCTTCAATCTTGTCACTTAGGAATATCTAAAAGACCGGCTACTCTATCACTTTACTATAAGATATCTTCAAGATATCTTGGCAGTATCTTTAAAAGAAGGCTGTTTTTCTAAAATCCCTATATCATCTGAAAATTCATTTGAGTTTCTACCAGAAAGAAAAGAGATGCTTCTGCGACACCTATCAACCATTTATGTCACACTGTAAATAAGTTAAATCAATTTTTTTTTTTTACAACCTTAAGGCAAGGGAGAAGACTTCTGAGAAGAAGAAGGAAATACACTGACACAAGCTTGGAGAAATGAGGGTGAGGGGAACATTCTCTAGACAACCAATAGAATTTACAGTGAGTTAGTTCAGTTGTCTTACGTTTAGACATCTGCTTCCTCTTAGCTGGCTCTAGAGCTGTGGTGTGCGTGAGTAAACACGTGCGTGGCCGTGGCTCAGTGGGAAGAAGAGAAGTCCACAACTATGAGACACAATACAAGCTACACAGCCTCACAGACCAAAATGAGATTCTCGCCCACTTCAGATGTGCTGCTGGGAAACTCAGTTCTAGACTCCTAGAGAACAGTTTAAGAAGTTTATGTTTCTTGCAGGCGCATGGTCACGAGTTTGATCAAAGTACAAAAAAAAAAAAGTTTATGTTTCAGAAAAGTAGTAAAGACAGCATGAATTTACAATTGGATGCATAGGGTTTTGGTTTTAGTTTTCCCTCAGACAAATTATTTAACCATTCTGATTCTTATCTTCTAAGAAGGTAAATAATACCTAAGTCATAGGATTGCTGTCAGGATATAATAGACATAAATGTTATTAATTATAAAGTCTATATCAAACATAAGGTTTTATGTAGGCTGAATATACTTGTTTCAAATAGACTTTATATTAAACAATTCATACCTTTTTAACTGCTGTTTGAAAAAGTTTGAGTATTTCCATTGGTAATAATTTGCAAAAGCACAAAATTAAATCATGTAGAAAAAAACTAACTCATTTAAAAATCTCTGATACCAGGAAAAGGCAAATGATATGTGAAGAATAAAATACAGAAAGGAAGCCTAGTATGTGGTGGCAATAACTAAAAACATGGACCTTCAACTACTCTGAAGATGATAAGATGTAAAAGATACCCATTCTGGTTTTGATTATTAACTGCTTTCAAGTCCTACAATGTCTTCAAAGTTGTGTTTTTATTAAAATAGCTATGTAATGTTATGTTCAGTTATATTATGCCTGATGATGTGGACAATTCTATAGAAAATAACAAGAGAAAGCATAGTAACTATCGTAGCTCACCTAATATTGTGGTCCTATATGTCTTTTTCATGTTATGTTTTTCTAGGAACTTATTTTGTTGTCTTGTTTTGATCTGTTTTTCCCTATAATACAGAAAGGATAGATATACATGTAGAGATTCACACATGGGAAGAATTTCTAAACTATTTACGGGAACAGATTATGTAATACAGGATGTAATGAACGGATGCTCTGAGAAAGAAGAGACACTAAGAAACCTAATGCTAATTCTGTAGCGTTATATGAAATCTACCAATAGTATCTTTCACTGTTCAGAGTGATATTAGTATAGTCTCTTATGTTCAATTTCAGCATACGTAAAGATAAAGACAGCTACTATGAAGAGACTGAGAAACATTATGGTAGTCATTATTGACTTCCTCAAAATCAGATCTTGAAGACCTAAAAAGCCTTCATCATCCTGTAATGATTTGATTAGTTCTAAGTTCTTGTTGGATCATTGAGCAGAACTGTTTGCAGTGTCATTAATTGAATATCACTTTGTATGCTTTAATTTTGTAACTCACACAGCTATTTCTAAGATGACAGTATGTAACTTATTGACTGGTGATTTCTTACTGTTTATTTTTCTGAAATTCTGTATTGTTTCTACCCTTTTTTCCTGTTTTTTTTCTGTTCTCTTTAAATAAAAATTAAATTAAATAAATAAAAATTAAAATTAAATTTAAAAAATCTATAGTAAAAAAAAAACAAAAACCCATGGACCTTGGGAACTTTAGCTAGCTGAAAATAAATAAAGAACTGCTGTAGACATTTAATAGGAAAAACTGATAGCATAGTTTAGGAAAATAGATATTAATATACCAAATAGGAATAAAAAATTAAAGAACAATACTTACATATCTGTGTGATCATATGCTAGGTATTCCTCTATTATTCCTTCTGAGATTATACAATCTTCCTTTTCTGTTTCCATAGCACAAAAGCCAGGGGATTTGGCAATAGAAGATGCTTTATGGGGATAAGATGATGAAAACTGTAACCTTTTCCCCCTGATACCAAATCTGAGAGAAAAAATAAAGTCCATATTAATTATGGACAATATATATCATACTCACAGCAGTGGTCACATGACTTCTGGCTCAGAACCCCACTGCTGTGGTATCACCTTCCTAGGCTAGGCCAGGCCTTATTTGCCTAGTGTGTGTCTCAGAACAGAAAGGCTGAACACAGCCCACAGACCTCTTCAGCTTAGGAGTGCTGTGCACTGTTTAAAATGGCTTGCTATCTTCTCAGATGCAAATAGCTACAGCTGTAAATTCTTTAAAATGAAGAATAGTTACATTCATAATTACGTTTTTAAGGTACTTTCAGAGATTATGTGCCTATTTTAATAACCCCATTATTCAGCAGTTGGGAGGCTGAAGCAGGGTGATTGCTGTGAGTTCAAGGCCAGCCTGGGCTATATTGTGAGACCTTGCCTTAAAACAAGAAACAAAAAATAACCTCATCATTATTCAAAATGAATGTTCTTTAAAGGGAGGTATCTTATTAAAATTTCTTTACACCTAAATGTTCAGTAAGTATGTGATGACTTATTTTGAATTTGAGTTTACTTTGAGGAAAGTCAATTACACGTGAGCAACAATTTTTTAAAATGGCTCTCAGTTTAATCAAATATTTAATATAATCAATTTATGCTTCATATTACTTTTCTTTTTTGTGCATTTAAATACATTTTTTTCTAAGAAAAAGAAAAAAGAATAAACATGGCATTTTTCAGCAAGGCTGGTGGCAAAATCTTTTGGGAGACATTTTGGAATTATGTATTAAGAGACTTAAATACACCCTTTGATTCAGTGGTTTCATCCATAAGATCCTTTAAGGATATGATTGATAAGATTTACCTGTAAGAATTAACAGCATGAGGGATGGGGATGTTGCTCAATGGTAGAGCACAAGCTTAGCATGCTCAAGGGCTTGAGTTCAGTCCTCAGAACCAATACAACAAAAAGCAAAACAAAAAACTATCACAGAATTACGTGTATGTTTAGATGTATATAGTAATTTCATAAAAACAGTATACATATTTAGCAGAGAATGCTAGATAGCCGTCAATATAGATTCTCCTTTTTCTAGTAAAAGTGTTGTGACTTAATTCAGGTAGGCATTACTTCCTCAAAGACTTTATTTTCCAGCTTCTCAACAGTCAGATGTAGTCAATGAAACAGCATAATTATTATGTCAGAGTCTAGAAAGGCTGGTTAAGGGGAACTGGCTTAGCTACAAGGGGTGCCTGTTGCAGTCCTCTCTCCATTCTGATAGCTGGAAAGTGAGCATCATGTTTGAACCTCTGTCTGTCACTAAAGAAAACCTCAAGGAAAACACTATGGGCTGTGATGGTGCAGCAGAAGGATGGAAGCAGTCTAAATCCTTGAAAACACCACATTACCACTTTACTATCTTTAGATTGCCTTCATCCAGACTTCTTTTCAATAAAGAGAAATTCTTTGTTAAGTCATTAAACAGTGTAGGGGTCATAGGAAGTAGTTCCTAGTCTGGCGAGGTTTGCTGTATTAATCTGGCTACTTTACAGTAATGGAAAGTAAAGTTTCAAAGAACGGGAGCGTCTTTCACTTTTCTGTCACTGGACACGATACCCAACATCTGAAACTTAAAGGAGTAGCTTATTTTGGCTCATGATTTCAGTCTATGGTGGCCAGGCTCTGAGGCAGAATCCGATGGCAAAAGGGCAGAGCAGAGGGAAAGGTGTTGAACCCATGGCAGTCAGGAGGCAGAGAAAGAAGAAAGGAGTGGAGAGGGAGAGCCGCCCTTCCAGGCACTTCCCCAGTGACCCACCTTTGATCAGGTCTCCCTTCCTAACAGCAAGTCAGCTATGAACTCATCAGTGGAGACTTGGATGCACATTTTAGATTTAAACCATGAGAGGGGTTGCCAAGATCTTTATGTTAGAACACTGTGGTAGTGGTAAAGAGGAAAATGGAGTGAAGAGGCTGCTGCACAAGATGCAGCAGGGCTGGTAAGAGCGTGGACAATGGCAGGAGGCAGAGGGAGTGAGGGTAAGGGGTAAGAGAAACAGCCTGGAGAGCCCACTTCTAAACCAGCTGTAATAGTGTTTATGAGTCTTTAAATTTGTAACTTAAGGTTGTTTAAACTTTTTGCTTTGTTTCATATTTATAGAGTTTAATTTGGAACCAGCCCTTCAAAGCTTCAAACTTCTTCAGCTTTCCAGAATGGTTGGGAGGAATAAGTAGCCAAAAGCTCTTTTTCCTTCCTAACATCTGAGAAGCACAGATGGCCACTCAGCTCCATTTTGGACCCAGGTTATCTCCCAGTGGACTTGTGATGACTGCAATAAAGAAAATTTACATGAAAGTGTGATCTCATGATGCCAAAAGAAAGAAAACATAATGCTGGAAAGCAAATATGACTGTGGATGGCTCTACACAGAAGAACTGAAATAGATTATTTCCCTGGCTTTATAGAGTTTCAGAAAGCTCTTCATCTAAAAACAAATTCTGATCTGTAATTAGCTTCACCAGCTCATATGTTTAGGACAATTGAAAAACAGAAAACCAAAGCAAGGAAAATCTGTAACTTCTAATGAGTAACATGAGGGAGCAGGGTTTAGAACAAACAGTTGTTATATTATTTAATAACGTTTTGATATTATAAGACATTAGATATATCATCTTCATCATTTAAGTGTATGATTCACTCGTGTTAAGTAGATTCACATTATCACGCAGATTTCTGTAACTTGTCTTGCAAAAGTGAAACTCCAATGGCTCTTTCTTCTCTCCAGCCCTTGACAATTGCCTTCTGTTTTGTTGCTCTAATTTCTGACTGCTTCAGATACTTCATGTGAATGGAATCATAGTACTTGTCCTTTTGTGATTGCTTATTTCACTTACAATAAAGTCTTTGAGGCTCACCAATGTTGTAGCATGTGGCAGAACTTCCTTATTTCATAAGGTTGCATAATATTCATATATTTATATATCACATTTGTAAAAATCCATTCATCTGTCAGCACACATTTAGATTGCTTCCACCTCCTGGCTGTTCCAAATGATGCTGCAGTGAATTCAAGTGTGCAAGAACCTATCTGAAGATCTGGCTTTCAATTCTTCTGGAAATATAACCAGAGGAGGGATTGCTGGGTCACAGGACAGTTACATATATTATCTTTTTAGGAGCCTCCACGCTGTTTTCCATAATGACTGTACCATTTTATATGCATGCCAAAAATAACCCAAGGGTTTCAGTTTCTGTGCGTCCTTTTTAGTGTTTATTTGCTGTTCCTTTGATGATGGCCATTCTGATGGATATAAAGTGTGACTTCACATAGTTCTAAGTTATTTCTTTTATGATAGCAATAGTGAGTGTCTTTACATGAGCCTCGTGGCCATTTATGTATCTCTGGTTGTCTATCCAAGTACTCTGTTGATTTTTCAACGTGGCTACTTCTTTTTGTTCTTGTCTAGTTGTAGAAATTCCTTATAAAAGCCAGGAGAGGTGGTTCACACCTGTAATCCCAGCATTTGGGGAGGCTGACGAAGAAGTATCACTGTGAGTTTGAGGCCATCCTGGACTACAAAGTGCATTCATGGCCAGCCTAAGACTATGTAGTAAGGCCATGTCTCAAAAAGACACCACAAAAAATAAGCTAAAAAAAAACTTCCTTATAAAACCCCTTATCAAACATGTTTTGCAAATAGTTTTTCTCATTTCTTATCTTTTAATGTTTTTTATTATTTCTTTGATACACAGAAATGTTTGATACAGTCCTATTTGACTATTTTTGCTTTTGTTGCTTGTTCTTCTAATATTAAGTCCAAGAAGTTATTATCAGGGCTGGGATTTAGCTCAGTGGTATTAGCACCTGCCTGGCAAGGGCAAGGTTGGAAATTCAATCTCCAAAAAAAAAAAAAAAAAAAGAAATTAGCAAATTAATGTAGTTTTATCTTATGTTTTATTATAGAAGTTTTATAATTGTGGGCCTTCTAAGTTTTTAACTTATTTTGAGTTAATAATTTTATATGGTAGAAGGTAAAGGTTGAACTTCATTCTTCTAGATGTGTATATCTAGTTTTGCCCACACCATTTGTAAAAGAGACTATCCTTTCTCCATTTCTTATTTTTGTCTGAGAACAGCTGGGGCTACAAAGTGAGCCCAAGGCCAGCCTTAACTGTACAGCGAGACCCTGTCTCAAAAAGACACAAAAAAAGTTTAAATATTTAAGTATCTGAGAGGCTATGAGTTCAAAATAGTACTCAGGAATAAGTATCAAGTATACACAAAAGTTGTTACATGAAAAGAGTAAATATGGATTAACTTTTACTCCTTTAAATAAGTAGGGTGTGCTATATAGCTGAATAAATTTTGTCTACGTATATGTTTATGTATATGGTATATAGTTAGGTATTTATTTTATCTATGTAAGTATCTATTGAGAATTGTAAGTCAAATTCGTAGAAAAAGTCAACCTGAAAATGAAAGACTCATCAGCAATGGTGGCAGGAAGGAGAAAGGAGAGAAAGGATGTCAGTAGCCTGCTGCAGAATGAAAAGTCAGCCAGACATCTTCAAGAGGAAAGCTGACTGCTCAGACTTGGGTTTTTATTTCTTTGGAGGTAAAACCTCTAAATGGACCTACTTCTTATTGTTATAAATAAGGTACACAATGAAGTTTATACTCACAGATGAGGAAAATATATCCTAATGACAATATATGTTATATAATTTTGTTCAGAGAAAATCAAAGAATATATTATTTCTATGGGTGCCAGATTGTAAAAAGTTTAAATTTATGAAAAAAAAACTTTAAATTTATGTAAGAGTAAATTTTAAAAGACTTATTGATATAGTACATTGAAAAAGAAAGCTAAAAGCTTGAGTTTAAATCAGTTTGAGAAAAAAAAATATATAATTCTTTGGACAAAAACCAGTTGACAATGCAGTCTCCCAACTCCGACTGGCCTATAACAGTATGTATTACTTTTGTAGTTTGGTGAGATTATTGAAAACCCAAAAATCACCAAAATTAAATTCTGTTACTATAACTCTTGGGAGATAGTGAGTAAAACTATAGCCTTCACAAAAAGCATAGGAATAATTTTTAAATGAGTTAAAATATAATATGTTTTACAGTGGACTTCAGTATAAGCATAGGTTTATAATAATAATAGGTTTATAATTTAGAAATAATGATACTTGGATAGTGTCACTGTTCAAAAATCTTGAGGCAATCAAAAGATTTAGCCTTTTAAAATTATTTTGAGCTGGATGTGGTCACAAACACTTGTAATCCCAGCACTTGGAAGCTGAGGGCAGGAGGAGGACTGCTACAAATTCAAGGCCAGCCTGGGCCTTGAACTCACTATATGTATATAGTGAGTTCATAACCAGCCTGAATTACACATTAAGACTACTCCTAATCCTTTAGCATTTTCTGTACTTTACCAGTAAGTAGAAAGAAGTGTCTTAATCCTGTAATTCAGTTGTCAGAATACAATACTTAAATACTAGGATACTGAAATACAGTAATACTTACATAGTAGAATCTCTTTCTTGAGATAAAACTGCTTCTTGTGAAACTGAAACAGCAGAAGGGGATCTAGGATATAATTCATAACCTTCACTTGGAGTAATTATCTGCCTACCTAGAATCCTTCAAAATGAAAAAACAGACAATTAAGCACTTTGGCATACATATAAAATCTGGGCATTTTTGGAACAAGTCTAGTGGTTCTTCACAGAAGTTCATTACACACTTAAGTCTGACATGATTAAAAATTATTCTAGATTCTTAAAATAATTGGAAAACACAGAAGAAATGGACCAATTCCTAGATACATACGAATTACAAAGCTGAATCAGAAAATATAAAAATCCTAAATAACCCAGTATCAATAAATGAAATTGAAGAAGTAATTAAAATCCTATCAACAAAGAAAAGCCCAAACTCTGACAGATTTACTGCTGAATTCTACAAGAAATTTAGGGAAGACCTAGCACCACTACTTCTCAAACACTTTGTCACTGAAAGGGAAGCAATCCAAATTCATTCCTGGAAGTAAGCATTACCCTGATACCAAAACCAGAGAAGGACCCCACTAAGAAAGAAAATTACAGACCAATTTCTTTACTGATGCAAAAATCCTCAATAAGATGCTGGCAGACTGCAGCAAATCATCAAGAAGATTATATACCATAATTAAGTGGATTCATCCCAGGAATGCAGGGACAGTTCAACATATGCAAATCAATAAATGTAATACACCATATATATATATTTTTTGTCTTTTTCCTTTTTATCGGTACCGGGGATCAAACTCACGACTGCCTGCTTGCAAGGCAGGTGCTTATGCCGCTGAGCTAAATCCCCAGCCCCTGTAATACACTATATTAACAGAACCAAAGACAAAAATCTATGATCATCTCAATAGATGCAGAAAAAGCTAGTTTACAAAGTCCAGCATCCATTCATGATAAATACAGAAAACTAGATTAAAAGCCATCTATGACAAACCAACAGTCAACATCATGCTAAATGGACAAAAACTGAAAACTCTTTCTCTAAAATCAAGAACAAGACAAGGATGTCCACTGTCTCCTCTCTTATTCAACACAGTCCTGGAAACTTTAACTGGAGTAATTAGATAAGAGAAAGAAATAAAAGGAATAAATATAGGAAAGGAATAAGTTAAACTGTCATTATTTGCAGATGACATGATATTCTACATAGAAATCCCAAAAGCTCCACCAAAAAACTGTTAGATTTAATAAGCAAATTCAATCATGTAGCTGGATACAAAGTCAACATTCAAAAGTCAGTAGTCTTCCTGTACATAAATAACAAATTCACTGAGCAAAAAATCAGGAAAACAACACCTTTCACAATAGCATCCAAAAAAAGAAGAAGAAAAAGAAATACCTAGGAATCAATCTAACAAAGAATGTAAAAGACCCCTACATTGAAAACTATAGTACTCTGAAAAAGGAGATGGAAGAAGATATTAGAAATTGGAGTGATATCTCATGCTCTTGGGTAGGAAGAACCAATATAGTGAAAATGGCCATGCTTCCAAAACTATTACACAGATTCAAGGCAATCCCAATCAAAATTCTAATAGCATATCTCACAGAAGTAGGGAAAACAATCCTAAAATTCATCTGGAACCAGAAGATACCTAGAATAGCAAAGGCAATCCTGGGCAACAGAGGAAAGGCAGGGGACATCACAATCCTTGAAATTATACTATAAAGCTACTATGATAAAAATTGTGTTGTACTGGCAAAAACAGACGCAAAGATCAATGGAACTGATTAGAAGATGCAGAAACAACTGCAGACACACTAAGCGACCTTATCTTTGACAAAGGTGTCAAACACATTCACTGGAAGAAAGACAACCTCTTTAATAAATGGTGCAGGAAAAACTGGTTCTGTACATGCCAAAGATTAAACCTGGACCCATATCTTACATGTACCAAGCTAAAATCAGAATGGATCAAAGATCTTAAATGTTTTTTTTTGTTTTGTTTTGTTTTGTTTCTTTTGGTACCAAGGATTGAATTCACGACCATATGCTTGCAAGGCAGGTGCTTATGCCGCTGAGCTAAATCCCTGGCCCAAAGATCTTAATATTAAAACAGAAACATCAAATCTTATGGAAGACAGAATAGGTAAAACTCTTGAAGACACAGGTGTAGGCAAATACTTTATGAACAAACTTTATGAACAAGGAATCAACAACTGAGACCTCATGTTATTGAAAAGCTTTTGCATAGCAAGAGAAACCACCAACAGAGTAAATGTTTGTCAGCTATTCCTTAGACAAAGGATTACTACTGAGAACATACAAAGAACTAAACAAAAATCAGTCCTCCCAGAATTAAAAACCCAATCCAAAAATGGGCATCTGAGATGAATACACCCTTCTCAGATAAAAAAAAATACATACAACCAATAAATATATGAAAAGGGGATGGGGATTTAGCTCAGCGACATAAGCACCTGCCTTGCAAGCAGGTGGTTATGAGTTCGATCCCTGGTACCGATAAAAAAAAAAATTCAAATAAATGTATGAAAAAATGTTCAACATCACTGGTCATTTGAGAGATTCAAATTAAAACCACACTGAGATTCCTCCTCACCCATAAAGAATGACTACTATCAAGAAATCAAGCTATAACAAATGCTGGAAGGGCTGTGGGGAAAAAGGAACCCTTCTCCATTGTTGGTAGGAGTACAGAATGGTGCAACCACAGTGGAAATCAGTGTAGAGATTCCTCAAAAGATTAGGTTAGGAGGTTCCATTTGACCCAGCTATTCCCCTTCTGGGTTCCTTTCCAGAGAATTAAAAATATTGTGCCACAGTGATATATGTCTACCCATGTTTAGAGTAGCACAATTTGTAATAGCTAGATCTTGGAAACAACCAAAATGCCCATCAACAGAGGATGAATAAAAAAAACATGTGGTACGTTTATATAATAGAGTACTACTCAGCCATAAAGAAGGACAAAGTTGAGACTTTTTTTTTTGGTCTTTTGAGACAGGGTCTCACTATGCAGTTCAGGCAGGCCTTGAGCTCACTTTGTAGCCCAGGCTGGTCTCACACTTGCAAGGATCCTCCTGCCTCAGCCTCCTGAGTGCTGGGATTACAGGCCACCATGCCTGGCTCAAACTTGAAACTTTTATAGGTAAAAGGGTGCAACTTGAGACTGTACTCATAAGTGAAATGTCAGATATGCATATGTAAACATCATATTGTCTCACTAATGTGAGACGCTGAAAGAAAAATATAAAACATATAGTTAAAATACTTACACTACTGATTTCTCTGAGTTTCTGAAGAGAAAGGGAATTGTTTGGTCACTGAATGCAGATGTCTTGCACACTGGGTGACCAATTTGGGGATAGCAATGTGCAGTGTATGTACCACTGTTGTCCCTTGATTGTTGTTTAAATTTTTTTTTTACTTTGAAATAAAATGGATTTGACTTAAACATTATTCTTGAAAGAAAATATGAGGTCTTACTATGGTATATGTTCAAAAAAATAGAGATGGAAAAGAAAAGCTATAGCCTAGAACTTAAAAAAACCCAAGGAAAATTGAAGTTAATCAAGAGGAAAAGAAATCAAAGGAAGCTGTGTAAACATTTGCCCTTCTTCCTAATAATCAGCATTAAATCATTCATAACAGGATAAAAGCTCAGCCAAATTGTTGACAACTATGACTTACATTCTTAAAATATGAAGCTGTATGGATTTTAATTACACATGGTAAATGTACTACTGTGGATTCTGAGAGAAGCTCCTGCCTGGTAGGTTGTTTATATTTTCAAGTATGCATAAGAATTTAGTTGTAGACAACAATGTCAACAAATACATTTTCCTGATCATCCTATTTAAAAGAAGGGCTCTTGGTGGGCATGGTGGCGCACACCTGTAATCCCAGTGCTTGGAAGGCTGAGCCTGAGAGACTAGTGTTACTTCAGGCCAGCCTGAACTTTAGATGAGACCTTGTTTAATAACAATTAAAAAAAAAAACAAGGAAGAAAGGTTCTTTGGACGGCCCTGACACCCAGACCTTAGTTACCAGTATAGAAAGTTTAACTCAGTTAGGATGACATATTTGATGATTATGCGTAAATACGTCAAGAAACGTCCATCACTTGGAATGTTCTCTCAGTGAAGGCTTATACCATATAACCTTATTTATGTTTATTCACATCATACCCATAAAGATTTCAGAATATAAGCTTTCTTTGGAAATCCACTTTTTAAATGTTAGTTTTTGCCACAAGCACAAGTCACCAGTAGGGCCTCAGTACCTGAGGTGAGGAAAGCTGGATGTCCACTGTTGGCACTCGTCATGGAGACTCCTTGTGTGCACACTCAACTTCCGCTCATAAAGGAGCTCATCAATGGCTGTGAACATTGCCTGCACTTTTTCAGTGGCATTTTGATCAAGTTCCTAGAGGAAAATAGTCCCCCAAAATATTTAGGTGAGCCTCAACCTCTGGTAACAAAGACTGAAAGTAATCAGGTTTTGCTTTGTTTTAAATATTCGGTCTACTTGAAACAAGTTCACATGAAAGAAAGTTAAATTAAGTTTCAGAGCGCATGTAATTTTCAGAATTTTTTTCTATTCTATTTAGAAAACTTACAGAAATAACCTCTTTTAATATATTCTTCATTATAAACTATTTTTATTGTAAAAAAATTTTTTTTGGTACTGGAGATCAAACTCATAACCTCATGCTTACCAGGCAGGTGCTTATGACACTCAGCTATATCCCCAGTCCCTATTGTAAGTATCTTAAAAAACACAGAAAAATATAAAAATTAAAATTATCAAAAAAATAAAATTGTCTATATTTTCAGCTCTCAAAGCTGATGTCTGTTATTTATTTATATTTAGGAGACAAGGTCTTGCTCTGTTGCCCAGGCCATTGCCCCAGACTCCTGGGCTCTGACAATTCTCTTGCCTCAGCTTTGCGAGTAGCTGAGAATACAATAAAGAGCGTGCAGTTTCTTTTTGGGTGATAGAACTGTTCTAAAGTTAGACAATAATGATGGCTGCAGAACTCTGAGAATAGACTGAAAGCTACTTACTTGACACTTTAAAAGGGTAAGTTTTATAGTATGTGAATTGTATATTAAATAAGAAAACAAGAATAATAAAGCTAATGAAATTTTAACCTTTTTTTGAATTTTAATCTATTAAATAGATGAGATAAAATATTTAAATTAAATGTCAAAAAATTAAAAGGACAAAGAATGTAAATTTCTTTCAGAGGCCAACACTTCCCTAGGATTCAGTTCCATTAAAAAACTAGATATTCTATTTTTTTTTTTTTTTTTGTCTTTTTCCTTTTTATCGGTACCAGGGATCGAACTCACAACTGCCTGCTTGCAAGGCAGGCGCTTATGCCGCTGAGCTAAATCCCCAGCCCCGATATTCTATTTTCAAAATGAATGTTAAGAAAATATTGTCAGACAAAAAAATAAAAAAATAAAAAAAAAAAAAGGGGGCTGGGGATTTAGCTCAGTGGCATAGGCGCCTGCCTTGCATGCAGGCAGTCGTGAGTTCGATCCCTGGTACCGATAAAAAGGAAAAAGACAAAAAAAAAAAAAAAAAAAATTAAAAAAAAAAAAAGAAAATATTGTCTTCCAAATCCCATTGAGAGAAGGTAAAAAAGGAATACATGTGTAGAACCGTCATATTCCTTTGGATTTGTTTTCACGACAGCAGCTTACATTCTGATGAAATGGGAAAATCTGTATTTTCTGGTATGAAAGAAATTCCTCCTGAAATTGATGTACACAGTGCCTTTTTCCGGCTTTCATATTCTTCTATAGACTCAAATCCCTTCTGTCCTCCAAGGCCCATTCAGATTACATCCTTTTTTTTTTTTTCACATTCTCTTTTTACCTTGTGTGACTTTTTTGTTCCTACCTTCACCCTGTACCATAAATTATTCCCTGTATAAAACTTTTATATTTTAACCTAATTGTCTCTTAGGTCTTTATTTATTTTATTTTTTATTTATTTATTTATTTTTTTTGTCTTTTTCATTTTTATCGGTACCGGGGATCGAACTCACGACCGCCTGCTTGTAAGGCAGGTGCTTATGCCACTGAGCTAAACCTCCAGCCCCTTATTTATTTTCTAATTTGAAGTTTTAGAGAAGTAAATTTTATTTTTTTACTGAATCTTTGTATCTCACAGTAAATCCAAATTGATTAAAATAGTAAATAAAAAAACAAAGGCATAAAAATTTTAAAAATAGGTATTCTCTACCTATGTTTTGGCAACACATAGTTTTAAATTTTAACTTAAAATCATACTTTGCAAGTTCCTAGGAATGAATCTTTAACAAATGTACAATGATTTTATGAATAAAATTATTTAAATCTTACAGAAAGATACTAAATAAGATCTAAATAAAGTTCTTTAAAATTTACTTGGAGAGACTTGCATACCAAGTTCATGAGTAGAAATAATTATCAAGATGGCAGGCCTCCTAAAACTGACCAATGCAATTTTATTTTATTTCTTTCTTTCTTTTTTTTTTTTTTTTTTTTTTTTTTGGTATCACCAGGCAAACTCAGGACCTGTGTTTTCCAGGCGGTCACTATGCTGCTGAGCTATATTTCCGGTCTCTGATCTATGCAATTTTAGGAGCCTTCTGTCGTACATAAATATATTGACCAAGACAGGAACAATCCAAATTTACTCTACCAGATAGTATGAATTATTTTAAAGTTCCAGTTATAATTAAAGCCAGTTGTGTTGGCATGAGTTTATGATAGGTCAATTTAAAGGGTAAAGGAACAGGTCCTTTTAGATTTTAAAACTTGGTCTATGAAAGAGATAACATGGCTTATTAGTGGCAAAGGAATATATAGTTTCACTGGAATAATAATACCTAGTGAAAGAACTCAGAAATTAATGTGTGTAATTTTAGAGAACCCAATGGCAGAGTGGGGGGTGCCTCAAGTATTTAATAGAAAAACATCATAAATACTGAAAATTTTGCTGGACATTCTCTACATTAACCAAACCCAAAATGTGAAAAATGTTCCTGCTTAGACCTAGTCAATAAATGGTGCTAAAACAATTCATTATGCATATGGGAAAAACAGGATTGGGTTCCTACTATACACCATATACAAAAGGTAATACTAGGATAAGGTCTAAATGTGAAAATTATGGAAGTCACATATTATTGTACAATTCATTTAGCAAAGGATTAGTGTCAGTCATGAACTGTATTTTGTTACTATAAATAGTAACAAAAATAACATGACTTAAACATGTAAAAGTTTAATTTCCTCTCATAAAACGTAAAAATCTAAGAGGCAGGCATTAAAAAACAGATATGGTGGTTTCAGGGACATTAAGGACCTAGTTTCTTCTATCATTAACATTCTCAGTAATGTTTCATGGTCTGAGATGGCTCCATGTCTCAGGAGTTAGGGGAAAAGGTATAAATGGAAAAAATGGCACTCCAGAAAGCCCCATCTCCTGACCTCTGTGTGCAAGTGATTATCTACCCCTACCTAGAATAGAGGCTGGGAAATACAATTTTTCAAGTGAATCCAGTACTCAAAGTTCTACAGAGATAGGGGATAGAATACAGATATTCCTTGTTTAATAACCTGTTTAAAGACTGTTTGAATTGGGGCTGGGGATTTAGCTCAGCGGCATAAGCGCCTGCCCTGCAAGCAGGCAGTCGTGAGTTTGAGCACTGGTACCGATAAAAAACGAAAAGACGACCAAAAAAAAAGATTGTTTGGATTTAGGACAGAGGCCTAGTGTTTGGATTTATGACCTGCTACTTGTACTTATGAACTATTTTTTGTATAGTTATGTACATCTTGTTGATAGAGCCTCAGTGTTTTTTATTTATATAGTCCTGTAATTTTTGCTAATTGTACTGTACAGGACAGTACTGTAGTTTTATGTTCTATTACACATTACAGTATTCCATGTAAGAGTTAAATAAAGGCAAAGTCAAGTTGGAGTTTCCTTTGACCATTTCTTTGTCCTGAATATTGTAATGTACATACTATATACCATTCCTCATTTAGTGACCAGTTCATTTAATAATGTACTCAGAGGAATAGAACTCCATTGTTAAACTAAGAGTGCCTGTAGCCCATTGTGTTTTAGGCACATTCACTAAGCAAGTTGTGCAAATAAACACAGCATTCATGAAAAGACAAATGTCTTCAAAATATGTATTATTTCTAATGTCTGATATTGGGGAAAATAAATTGTCTGGCTCTTTTGGATACTGAAGAAAATAAACAACCTCAAAAAAAAAAAATGTATAGTTTGTTTTGATGCAGAAGAGAGTGATTTGAACCTGAGTCTTAGGAGACCTGTCCATCACAGATGATGCAGGCAGAACAGCTGTACCAAAGGGCCAGCAATAGTTACCAGTGCACTCTTTTCACCTCTAAGCACTATTTACTTCCAACAGTGCCTCCGGTGACAATGAAACACACTCATTTGAAGTTAAATAAATACCTTTTTTTTTTTTTTTTTTTTTTTTTGGTCTTTTTCGTTTTTACTGGTACCAGGGATTGAACTCACGACTGCCTGCTTGCAAGGCAGGCGCTTATGCCGCTGAGCTAAATCCCCAGCCCCAAATACTTAAGGTTATTTTCAAACAAACTCTTCAGAAGTGATGTTTCCTTTGAAACTTTTGGATATATAGAAATGTCTCATAAGGGTGTACATATTTTCTCAAGGGTTACATACACACTTCTGAATCATGGGGAACAACTAATTATCACTGTTACTCTTGGCCCTGTGATTGTTTCATGTGTATCACTTCTGATACTTGTGGCCAGCAGTAAGTTCCTTTACTACATAGTTTGTATGTGTTTCTGTCTTTCAAGGTATTTACTGCAGAGGCAGGCAGAGTGATGGCTCCGTTGATGCCAGGATGTTTGGCATTTCCCGTGATTTTTAGAGTCAAGCAGGCTTATTGTCTGTGATATGTTCTTGTAGTGTTTTAGTTTCCTTGGCCCCTTGCAATGACCTGCAAAAGATCCTTTATTAGTGAATCAAACCTGCACATTCAAAACACAGCTTCTAGGAGAATCAACTGTTTGATCAATGTAACTGATCAACTGAAGAATTTATGGAAGCTGCTAAGATGCCAAGAAAGAGCATGTGAGGAAATACAGGAACAGAGCTTTATTGGTTTGTTAAAAGTTCATGTCTGGATTGCATCTGTTTTGCAATCATGATTACTGGTAAGCACTTTCTGAATGATTTTCATCCCTACCTTTTCTGACATGTGAGGGATCTTTATTATCTGAACCCAGTTGATGTGATAGCTGTGATTTATTGGTGGCTGCTCTATTTTATTTTAAAGGTTTTGGAGAGCAGGTGTTCTTAAGAAAAACAAATCATTTTCATTGAACTATTTTGATAATAAACCGATATTCCTTGTT